GTAATAAGAAAAGACAATTTTATAAGGACAAGTTAAAGAAATACTTAGAAATGCATATGCTCAACTGTGAGAACACAATTGATTTTTGTTAGTTGAAGAGGCAGCACAGTAGGCTTTACTTTATTTAAGAGTTAAATATAAAAGATGAGTTTTGTTTGGACTTTCTGTGCCACTTTTGCAGAGAACTGGATTATGTGAGCCAGTTCTCTGAAAGGTTGAGGATAGTATTAGCTAGGAAGATGTTGCTAATATATTGCCAAAACCATTCTGAGCTGGTCTCTGATTTTGAAATAATTAGTGACTAATGAATATCAGCTGCATTTTTATTCTAGGAAAGACTATAGTAGGCATTTTTGAGTTGTCTTTTTGTTCTATTGGCCTTAACATAACGCTAATAACATATAATCATTTTCAGCCTTAATCAATGCCATAACTTATTATTCATTTTAGTAAATGATTAGTAACTTGAACTTAAATAAGAGTGGTTGTTGTTTGATTTAATTGGATGCTTTCTCCAATGATGTGGAAAATGAGAGGTGGATGTACAGTAAAGTAATTTATCACAATCAGTTCTATACAGCAAGGAAGGAAAAAAACTTCTAGGTTTTTTCCATTTCTCTCTCTATTACTCTTGAGTGCATTTCAAACATTTTTTTGTTTTACTTCATTGGGTATAAAGGTAAAATTTTGGCACAAATTTATAGGCTATTTTTATAAAAATGTTTTATGTGCTTTACATAATGTCCTGATTTAAAAAAAAGGTCCAATTAGGCAAAAAATATTTAAAAACAAATTAAGGACACAAACTATTCTTTATGAAGGAATTATATTATTTGAAACAGTATATGAGTAGAAGATGCATATCCATTTCATCAGACAAGAATTTTATTTATCTAGTAGTTCAATTAATCCAATATGATATACACATATAAAATTATTTATGAATTAAACATACTCCTTTGGTATCCAGGGACTCCTGGGTTACCCTGGAGTCCCTGGATATCACATCCCTAGTTTACCTTTTTACATCCACATCCTGAAGTTCCACATTCAGGATGGGATGGTAAAGTAAAAGAAAGATCAGAGAAATCCTTCTCAAGAGTCCTGACACCAGTTAGGATAATTTCTTTTCTGTCTTAACTTGCAATTCTACTTGTCTTTTGAGTGGAAAAAGATATATTTAGAAAACGTGACCAGAATTTTAGGAGGGTTTAGTTTGAACACTAAATGACATATCTGAATTACATGAGTTACATGGATTTTGTTGATTACATGGGCGATTACAATAGAGTTAGACATAAATCAAATCCAAATATGACAAATTAGGAATATGTCTATATGTTTATTTATACAAGATCTACAGTATATATACATACATACATATATATACATATACACTGTATATGTACTATAGATCATAAATTATAATAAGGATAAAATGGTTAGGTTCAACAATTATATGAAGAAGGGCTTCAAATCCTAATCTAGTAAATCTATTCTGACAAGAGAGTTTACATAGCAATATTATATTACCTGAGTTCATACATAATAGTCCTGAGGTGGAGAGCCAAGAGCTCCTGGGACAAGCCAAAATGAAGAACTGGAAGACGGATGAGAGCATTAGCTATGAACCTTAGCAAGAGCAGATTCGAAGGTGACCTCTCACCTTTTATACCGAATTCTATTCAATCAAAATATTGGAAACTGCCTTCCATGCTTCCAATGCTTGACAGAAGTCAGATGGTCTCATGGATAGAGACATCACACTCTAGCTATCATTTTGGGTGGAACTGACTGTCCTCATCTGGCAGAAAAATGAAGTTTCCTTTTAGATAGATAAAATCTTTATAAAAATTATAACAGTTTAAATAAATTTGTCAAAAAATAATCTCCCAACTCCAGATTCTCACACATTCATAAATTTACTTAAAATTTTATTATAAGACAGATATTTTATGACATAACAATTTTTTCTAGAACCAACTTTCGAAAATTAATCAATTGTCAAATTATTAATGATATAAAATTTTAATGTATGCAGCTATATCTGTTATAGGTAGAATGATGCCATAATTTTATAATATTCCTATCAGCCAGATTGTTGTGTAATAAGATATTATTTTACTATTGTAAAGATCTAACGTTTTTTACTTCTTTATGGATAGTTTGATATAAGGAAATGTTTCTCATCTCAATTATTCTGTAATTCCAAGTCCACTGTAGATTTATTTGATCCAGAAGTACACATTGTTGATTGAGACAAATATGAAATTTATGATTTGTTCTTAATAACAAAATTGGGCTGGATGTATAGTTCATTGGGCCTCAATTTGGAAAAATTGTAGACCTATAAATTTCTATTGTCGTACGTCCATTTGTCTGTCTGTTCTTAAGGTTAAGAACAGAGATAGATAGATGAAAGACAAGACCAGATATGAAAACTTTAGGGGCAGGAGCCCAAATTAACTATATATGAGCTTTGATGCAAACCAGAAGTCATGTTACTTCAATTAAAAAATTTTTTCTGAAAGGTGTTAGATAGATGACTGTCATGACTGTATTGTTAAAGGAAATGTATGATGTACAGGTGCAAGCCACTGCTAATTTGAGTTGGAGAGCATATATTTTAAATTAAATAAATTAAAAATACAGTTGACCCCCCCCTGTAACATTGTTGATTATTCCATTTTATATGAATTCCATGTTGTACAAGTCACTTAGATTTTACAAATACATGAGCCGTTCACAGCCCGGCACACGTATTTGTAAAATCTAAGTGACTCGTACAACATGGAATTCATATAAAATGGAATAATCAACAGTGTTATAGGGGGATCGACTGTATGATTAAAAATTGCAGTCTGATATTGTGACAATGTCACAATAAATAATTGCTTGTTGCACTGTTTATTAGTATATTATCAATAAATCAATTAGTACAATTAATGAGAGAAATTATAATGAATACAGGTATACCTTGAGTGACGTCATTTCGAGTTATATTGTTCTCGATTATACGTCGTTTGTCAAAAAATATATGGAAAAATAAAAATCAAGTTTAAGTCATTTTATTCGACTTTACGTCTGTCTGCCACAAATATTGAGGTCATAATATCACTAGAAAAGCGTTAAAGCACATAAAATGCTATTAAAATATGTACATTTACAGTAAATGTTAATATAATCATCATAAATACTAGAGAACGAAACATGAAAACATCTGTGTTTCTGTGTTGTTGTCTTATTTAGCGATCTTTAAGTGCTCACTATTGGTGTTTTCCATGGTAGCTCCAATATCTACCATTTGGTGTCGTTGTCAGCTCCACTCGATATTGGTAAATTTAATATAAATTAGTTTATTTTCTACTGTCACAAGATAATTTTAATAACTGTATTTGTTATTTAACCTTACAAAATCATCTTATTTTATAATATCTTAGAGCAAACCACGTTCACAATAAAGAGTCTGCGATGTACTGTAAACATCGCCAAATTGTAAACATGTACATTTACAAGTATGTATCGTACATACTGTACGTGAATTTGTAAATTTAGATGACTTTTTTCTGTACTGTATTAAAAACTAAAATTTATTTGTTTGTAAGCTTAAAATAGATTCTTATTAACCATATATTAAAATGCATTTATAAATAAAATACAGCACTGGGAATGGCTATTTGTGGTTTAGCCTAGTGACAAGTAAATTCCAAGACAAGTAAATTTGACTTATGTCATTTTTCAACTTAAGTCGTCTCTCCTAGAACCAATTACTGATGTAAGACGAGGTATACCTGTATATAGGTTGCAATAACTAACCTGTTTTAGCATCCTATTCACTTGAGTATAATAATTTTTTATAGAGAAATAAGTTCACACATAGTAATTGCTTTTTTTTTAATTAATGAAACATAAGATTTTCCATTAAAATATAATTTTAGACAAAGCTATTTAGAATTGCAAAAATGTTCATTGATTTTGGAAATGGATATTATATTTTTTGAGATCGCATCTAATCTCCAGATCATATTTTTAGGACTATTCTTGATTGAGGCTTTTAAATTGAAATGCAATTACTTAATATGACAAGTTATATGCCAATACTTTCTAGTGTTGCTCAATTTTAATATTAAGAGATCCTAACATTATCACAACTCAGTCTTCTTTGAGCAAAATGGTCAAATAAAAGCTAATACTTGATGATAAAGCACTATTGTTTATTCCTTGGTACAAAAGCAAGACAGTTTGACAGTTTGAGATAGTAATTTCAAATGATTTCAATAAGTATTTTATTGTGTATATAAATTATGTATGTAGTCCACAAAGATTAAGAACACACATCATATTAAGTATTGGTTAACACCAATACTTAATGTGATGTGTGTGTAATGTAAAAAATATTTCTGATTATGCATATTATTAATTAATACAATTGTAATTTTCATTTGTTGTGTGATGCACTATATTAATAATTTATATTAAAAATGTTTTATTCACATTAGGTGCTGGTATTTGAAGACTCTCCTATTGGAGTTGAAGCAGCCGTGGCAGCAGGAATGCAGGTGGTCATGATTCCAGATCCCCGAGTGGATCCGAGCGTTTTTGAAAAAGCCACCGTTGTTTTAAATTCCATGTTGGACTTTCGTCCAGAAATATTTGGACTCCCGCCATTTGAAGACAGTTAAATTATTTAAGTTTGTTTTTTCAAACTGAAAATCAAAAAGAAAGTTTTGAATACAATAAATATAATGTAAATAAAAATAAAATTCAAATCTTAAAGATTTTTCATGGAATTTTTTATAATTTCATATCATGGTTTTACCATTGTTTTTAAAATAAATTCAAATGAGCTGTATACAAATAGTTTGCAATTTTTTAAGAATGAGTAAATTTCCATCAAAACTTTAGAAACATTCAATCAAAACTTATTCGAAAGTACAAATAAGATTAATTTTTAATGATAGAATTAAATTGTAAAATATGGACAACAACATTTCCTCACTAAACATTTTAGTCATCCTGTTAGATGACTAAAATGAAATGAAGCAGTTTGGACTCAGCTAGAGGGAAGGTTGCTAAAAGGAAGTGCATCATCTAGCCATAAAAAATATGCCTAAAAAACCATCTGACTATCCAGAAATACAGGAAACAAATATGCAGTGATCCCATATCAAGCATAAAACAGATAGTGAAGAATTAAATATGTGCATTTTATATCTTATGACTTATCATCATCTGATACACATCAATGTAGTCATAATACTGTAAGTATTTGTTGATATATATGAAAACAAAATTTTGAGTGAAATAAAAATATTTATGAATGAATGTAAGTTAATATCAGGATAAGATTGGAAATTACATATCAGGAGGCATTTATGTTCTTAAAATTGATGTTGTCATTTCTATGATGATAAAAAATATAAATTTTTTAAAGATGCATATCTGCCCAAAACTTATTTTAAATAGTAGTAAAACAATTGGCATTGATTTTCTGCCAAAATAATGAAAAATAAGTATGAAAATGTTATACAAAACAATAATAAAATTATCTTATCATTCACTTATTATTATATGATACAATGGCCGGGCTCATGGTTATCTAAATGCATTAACACACATGCAGAAAATAATTGTCATTAATCACTAACTCATCTGCTTTGCTGGCTATTGACCAACAGGGAAAGGTAAATTATACTTTACTGAAATATCCAGTTTATTAGGAGTGACTATGAGTTGTGTGTGTAAAAATTTACCTGTTCTATTTGCTAGATACAGGATTTAAATGGTAATGGATTAATTGGAATGGCATTTTTCTCATTCATACTGGATAACTGAATATATAAAATGGTTAAATTGCTGTTGAAAAGAGTGATCCTTTGTAATATTCAACTGCAATTAATGATGCCTAATCAATATGCATAAAATGTCATGAAATTGTTGAGTATAAACTTTGTAATTAATAAAATATATTAATCATTAAATCTTATCATAACTTAATTTCGGTAAACAAATATTGAAATGCTTTATACATGTATAATATGAAGTATTTCGATATTCCTGTTTAAATTAAACCCAAATTGTAAAGAAAAAAATATAAAAATCCAGGACGTAATATAATTATTTTCAAAAAAATACATTATAGAAATACAAAGTATTAAGAAAATACGAATTCGAATTCTCCTAGACCCAAATTCTTTGTGGATATTTAAGCATATAGGATGATATGCAGACAAATTCTATATGATTATTAAGATGAGATTTGAGGAGAAAGAATATTAACTTCGAATTGTAAATTATCAAAAAATTGAAGTTTTTTGGTATGAATAGATAAAAAAAAAAAACTGAAGTTGATATAAGTAGAAAAGATGGATAATGCACTTATAACTGATGTTATTAGCATTCAAATATTACATCAGCAAAAATTGACCCTTTCTTGATCCCCTCTCCCATCATCAGTCATAAATCAAAGTATGCTCTCCCCTAATTATGACATCAGGTTGTAAGTTAAAAGCATTCGCAAATACACTAGAATTGTTTTCAGACAATTTTATGATGGAAGAACAACAAACGATGAATGCAATCTTACATCATCAAAGACATTTCGTTTCTCATCGTCAGCAATCATCAGAAACAAACGAACTCTTCCCTGTAAACTAAACTGACCATATTTTGGTACAATCAATATGGAAAAGTCAGTCCTCTCTCCCTTGTCCTCCCGCGTCTGGGCCATCTTCCTTACCGCCCATTTGCTTGTCATAGATCGGAGATGGCGAACCTTTTTGAGTCGGTGTGCAATATAGTAAGCGTACTTACCTTTAAAAATGTTTATGCGTGCCAAAGTTCTGAACTTCCAATAACTATGTTAAATAAATCAAATGAATATGCTTTAATTAGAGTAAATGTAAATAAGCTGATTGAAAAAGGATGATCGGGTGATAAACCGAAAGGATGATTGAATAAGATAGATGATGAACCGAAGTCGTATAATACGTTAAGTGTCAGTAAATTGCTCCGACGTACCACTTTTGGCACTCGTGCCATAGGTTCGCTACCCCTGTCATAGATAAAAGTAGGAAAACGACAATTTAATACAAAATGCATTTCCCTAATAAAAAAAAGAGATCATTTGAATTGTATAAGTTTATTAAATAACGTATTTAGCCTAATACTAGTAAAATTTAATAAAAAATCTTGAACATGTACTGTACAGTAGATTAAATTTCTCAACAAATTTAGATTAAACATCTTTTGGTTCGTACACATACCAAAGAAGACTCTCCCATATTTCTGTTCCAGATAAAACCTCATGAGTAGAGAGAATGTCATGAATACCACAAAAGTACTGTTATCGGTCTAAAAGTATCGAAGGAAAGTATCGGTACAGCATCGGTATCGGTATCAGCAGTATCGGGACAACCTTAATCATGAAAGACCTCTCTTATAGTTCTCTCTTAAGCACTTCAATATAAATTTTTCAACGCAGAAAAAAGTAACTTGCTCTGTTCAATTTTGTATTTAGTTTTCACAGAACTTCAGAAAATACTTATTTTGTTTTCTTTCCATCCATATTTACGCCATATCAATTGTATGCATTCCATGGAAGCTGTGGAAGCGCCGCTTCCCTTGTATTTTCTAAAATATAAATACTTATTGTGCGATTATTTTCATATTTTAACGTACTTTGAATTACTTAAAACTGATATTTTATTATAACCGCATTATTTATTTTATTACAAATTTCTATACATGTGAAAAACAATGATNCAAATAATAATAACAGTTTGCCTTTCATTTTAATTTATTAATATGATATTTAACAGATAGAATAAAACAAAGTTTCTAATTATTTGACAACACTTTAACAAATAAAAAATTTTCTGTATCTTCAGTTATTAAATATCATTTTTTAATTTTGTTCAGTTCCATTCAGAATTCCCAGAGTCTGGTGTGTCTATATTAATGATTAATAGATCTACAAAGTGTCTTTGGAAGAAAAGTCAAATTTTCAAATTATTATTATTATTTTTAACATGATTGACAAATGAGGCATATGTGGATTGATGAGCAGCATTTATACCATCTTCAAATAAAATTCTGACATCATCTTACTTGAAAGTTTTATTGGGATGTACAATGTAATATTTGACCTGACCCCAGGCAAACTCAATCAGGTTTAACTTCTGCATGATATGTTGATAGATGTAATATAGTGTGTTTTCTGCTCCTTTAGTCATGTCAATGACATGATAACTCAAATATTTCTGCTCTATTTTCATTTTCTCTTACATTTCCTGTTGTTATTGGTATCATGATCTCTCTCAGTCACACAGTCACAAATTTGTGGGTAGATATTCAGAGCAAATGCTGTGATATCCTTGCATTATCTATAACAATAGCAGAACCACATTATTGAGTGCAATAAATGTTTCAAACCATTCTTTAAAGTTTCAATGTTACAACCTTTCAATTTCTGGAGAAAATCACAATTGCTATTTTTGATGCAAAAGTAGGAGAGATTTTCATTGCCTGTATGGATGCAGCTTAAGCATTTTCCACAATCACTTTGTTTTTTAATCCAGTTGATAACCCATGAAGTTATGTATCTTGATAATATTTTACAGTACTATCTTCCAGCAATTGAAAACTATATGATCACATTAATAAATGTTTCATCCAAATAGTAAATATTCTTCTTTTCTTTATACTTATAATATTGACAGATAGTTTTCAAGTAATAATGTTTAAATGATCATTTTGGATGACTTTTGCAATATTGATTTTGACAATCAAACAGTAATCCAGTTATTTTTAATAAATGATGCAAAGTTGACTTAAATTGTCAACTTTGCACTATTTGTAAATTGGGATTGTTATTTATTTCATGAAGAGTGGATTTAATTTTGGGAGACTCATTTCTAAAGAAAACTTGCTGAGTTATGCTTCTAATAGTTTTGAAGACAAACTCATCACATTTCAACACCTTGTCTTTTCTTTATATGAAATATCAAACACACCACTGTTAATGTTGTTTCAAATGTAATAAGAAAAGACAATTTTATAAGGACAAGTTAAAGAAATACTTAGAAATGCATATGCTCAACTGTGAGAACACAATTGATTTTTGTTAGTTGAAGAGGCAGCACAGTAGGCTTTACTTTATTTAAGAGTTAAATATAAAAGATGAGTTTTGTTTGGACTTTCTGTGCCACTTTTGCAGAGAACTGGATTATGTGAGCCAGTTCTCTGAAAGGTTGAGGATAGTATTAGCTAGGAAGATGTTGCTAATATATTGCCAAAACCATTCTGAGCTGGTCTCTGATTTTGAAATAATCAGTGACTAATGAATATCAGCTGCATTTTTATTCTAGGAAAGACTATAGTAGGCATTTTTGAGTTGTCTTTTTGTTCTATTGGCCTTAACATAACGCTAATAACATATAATCATTTTCAGCCTTAATCAATGCCATAACTTATTATTCATTTTAGTAAATGATCAGTAACTTGAACTTAAATAAGAGTGGTTGTTGTTTGATTTAATTGGATGCTTTCTCCAATGATGTGGAAAATGAGAGGTGGATGTACAGTAAAGTAATTTATCACAATCAGTTCTATACAGCAAGGAAGGAAAAAAACTTCTAGGTTTTTCCATTTCTCTCTCTATTACTCTTGAGTGCATTTCAAACATTTTTTTGTTTTACTTCATTGGGTATAAAGGTAAAATTTTGGCACAAATTTATAGGCTATTTTTATAAAAATGTTTTATGTGCTTTACATAATGTCCTGATTTAAAAAAAAGGTCCAATTAGGCAAAAAATATTTAAAAACAAATTAAGGACACAAACTATTCTTTATGAAGGAATTATATTATTTGAAACAGTATATGAGTAGAAGATGCATATCCATTTCATCAGACAAGAATTTTATTTATCTAGTAGTTCAATTAATCCAATATGATATACACATATAAAATTATTTATGAATTAAACATACTCCTTTGGTATCCAGGGACTCCTGGGTTACCCTGGAGTCCCTGGATATCACATCCCTAGTTTACCTTTTTACATCCACATCCTGAAGTTCCACATTCAGGATGGGATGGTAAAGTAAAAGAAAGATCAGAGAAATCCTTCTCAAGAGTCCTGACACCAGTTAAGATAATTTCTTTTCTGTCTTAACTTGCAATTCTACTTGTCTTTTGAGTGGAAAAAGATATATTTAGAAAACGTGACCAGAATTTTAGGAGGGTTTAGTTTGAACACTAAATGACATATCTGAATTACATGAGTTACATGGATTTTGTTGATTACATGGGCGATTACAATAGAGTTAGACATAAATCAAATCCAAATATGACAAATTAGGAATATGTCTATATGTTTATTTATACAAGATCTACAGTATATATACATACATACATATATATACATATACACTGTATATGTACTATAGATCATAAATTGTAATAAGGATAAAATGGTTAGGTTCAACAATTATATGAAGAAGGGCTTCAAATCCTAATCTAGTAAATCTATTCTGACAAGAGAGTTTACATAGCAATATTATATTACCTGAGTTCATACATAATAGTCCTGAGGTGGAGAGCCAAGAGCTCCTGGGACAAGCCAAAATGAAGAACTGGAAGACGGATGAGAGCATTAGCTATGAACCTTAGCAAGAGCAGATTCGAAGGTGACCTCTCACCTTTTATACCGAATTCTATTCAATCAAAATATTGGAAATTGCCTTCCATGCTTCCAATGCTTGACAAGAGCTCCTGGGACAAGCCAAAATGAAGAACTGGAAGACAGATGAGAGCATTAGCTATGAACCTTAGCAAGAGCAGATTCGAAGATGACCTCTCACCTTTTATACCGAATTCTATTCAATCAAAATATTGGAAACTGCCTTCCATGCTTCCAATGCTTGACAGAAGTCAGATGGTCTCATGGATAGAGACATCACACTCTAGCTATCATTTTGGGTGGAACTGACTGTCCTCATCTGGCAGAAAAATGAAGTTTCCTTTTAGATAGATAAAATCTTTATAAAAATTATAACAGTTTAAATAAATTTGTCAAAAAATAATCTCCCAACTCCAGATTCTCACACATTCATAAATTTACTTAAAATTTTATTATAAGACAGATATTTTATGACATAACAATTTTTTCTAGAACCAACTTTCGAAAATTAATCAATTGTCAAATTATTAATGATATAAAATTTTAATGTATGCAGCTATATCTGTTATAGGTAGAATGATGCCATAATTTTATAATATTCCTATCAGCCAGATTGTTGTGTAATAAGATATTATTTTACTATTGTAAAGATCTAACGTTTTTTACTTCTTTATGGATAGTTTGATATAAGGAAATGTTTCTCATCTCAATTATTCTGTAATTCCAAGTCCACTGTAGATTTATTTGATCCAGAAGTACACATTGTTGATTGAGACAAATATGAAATTTATGATTTGTTCTTAATAACAAAATTGGGCTGGATGTATAGTTCATTGGGCCTCAATTTGGAAAAATTGTAGACCTATAAATTTCTATTGTCGTACGTCCATTTGTCTGTCTGTTCTTAAGGTTAAGAACAGAGATAGATAGATGAAAGACAAGACCAGATATGAAAACTTTAGGGGCAGGAGCCCAAATTAACTATATATGAGCTTTGATGCAAACCAGAAGTCATGTTACTTCAATTAAAAAATTTTTTCTGAAAGGTGTTAGATAGATGACTGTCATGACTGTATTGTTAAAGGAAATGTATGATGTACAGGTGCAAGCCACTGCTAATTTGAGTTGGAGAGCATATATTTTAAATTAAATAAATTAAAAATACAGTTGACCCCCCCTGTAACATTGTTGATTATTCCATTTTATATGAATTCCATGTTGTACAAGTCACTTAGATTTTACAAATACATGAGCCGTTCACAGCCCGGCACACATATTTGTAAAATCTAAGTGACTCGTACAACATGGAATTCATATAAAACGNCTGTGTTTAATTCTATTATTAAAACAGCTATGGTAGCAAAGTTCTGGAAATAAGTATCAATGCACACTTACACTTTTCACCATAGGAACGTCTGTAGCCAGTCGTGTTGCTAGTTTACCAGAGGTATGCTTTTCATCATCAAACCATCCAGCATGTTGTCTTAGAATATTATTGAATGCATTTTGGCGGAGTCTCATAGTGAGATGTTCCCCAGAATAAGCGAATCCGATGGTCTGAAAAATTTCAAAATGTTTTTCATATTTAACAAATACTCTGTTTCAGTAATCAGAAATAAAATAACCAAGTACAAACTCTGAAACAGTATCCAATAAAAGATATGACTGCCAAAACAATAAACATCATGGACCAGAAAAACGCTGCTGATATCAATTCCTCACCCTCCAGAGTAAAGGTCTGTATTTTGAAAGAATTAAAGATCACGTAACAATTTTTCTGTTTTATGTATACAAATTACTATACTCACAGAAAAAATTTCACTGTAAAACACAGCGAAAGTTGGCATTACTGCTCCAACTATGATCGAACATATTGTACCCATAAATATTTCTTTCCATTCTTTACTGCAGATTTTTACAATTTCCCACCCTGAAGGCATCTGAATATCTTCCTAGAGACATTATTTTAAAAATATTAAGAATAAAATTAACAAATAAAAAGTTTTTAAACAAAATATTCGTACATTTTCTACTTCGCTCATTAGACGATTAAGATGGCGATCCTTCTCTGATAAGGGTCTATGAAGACTGTACTTCCTACCTGATTTAGTTAATGATTTTTCTACATAACCTGTAATTGAATTAAATATCATAAAATGTGAAAAATTTAAAAACAAAATTACTTGAAAAGTATTTACTTGGTTCCTCAGTTGTTGAATATCCAGTTTCGTCCATCATCATCTGATTTGTAACTAATTGGTAATAGAGACCTTCTTTATCCATCAATTCTTCGTGCGTACCTTTTTCCATAATTTGTCCATTTTCGATGGCACATATTATATCAGCATTTTTTATAGTAGATAAACGATGAGCTATTATTATTGTGGTTCGACCGGAACAAGCCTAAAATTCGAATTAATTTGGCATCTAATCAGTTCATCATCTTCCAATGTGGCATAAGCCTATAACCTAAGTTTTTCTACTTACATTATCTAGAGCTTGTTGAACAATGGCTTCGCTTTCTGCATCTAGAGCCGAAGTAGCTTCGTCAAGAAGTAAGATTTTTGGATCTCGAACTAAGGCACGAGCAATTGCTATTCTCTGTTTCTGTCCTCCTGATAGTTGAGCACCACGTTCACCCACTAATGTGTCGTAAGTCTTTATAAAATTTTAAGATATAATTATTTATTTTTGTTATAACAAACTTCATCTTATTTTTCGTATTAAAATATTATTCGTATTGCAACAGTAATATTTCTTATCAAGATCATTGATTCTTCCAACCAAAATTATTGTTAGATTATCGTTATACCGAGTTTAATCTCACTATTTTTATCTACTCATCTTAATTACAATTAAATTTAATTGACAGGTATTCAATAAGGCAAGTAAATTAGTGAAAGCTACCCAAGTTAATTAATAGAATTCTATCAAGTTAATAAAAACTCAATTTTAATGAATAAAACTTTTCAAGTTAATCAACAGAAATATTTAATTAATTAAGTTTTTCTTAGCTAACAGAAGCCTGTCAACTTAATTAATAAATTCTACTACATTAAATAAGAGAATCTCACTAAATTATTAATCAATTTCTTCAAAATTAGTTAACAAAACTTCTAAATAGAACGAAATAATTTACCCACAGGGTATTTAATATGTATAAATTAACAATACAAGTTATGATATAAAATGAAATTAGCTTACAAATATCTTTTCTACACACCAATGACTTAATTAATGATTATGAAATTATACAAATATAAAATTTATGTAAAATACACCTTTAATTTTCAAATATGTTTAAAAAATTTGAATAATTACATCTGGCAGGGACACGATAAAATTATGAACATTTGCCATCTTAGCTGCTGCTACAATTTCGTGAAAAGTGACATCAGGTCGTCCATATCGGATATTTTCGGCGATGGTGCAACCGAACAATACAGGTTCCTGACTAACTACACCCACAATATGTCGAAGCCAATTAACATTCAGATCTTTCAAATTGTGCCCATCGATTTCTATCTAAAGTATAGAAAACTTGATTCGTTAATTAAGGATTTCAAGAGTTGTACTAATTAAATCAGCTTTATGTTTTTTTAATTAAAAATTTCAAATTAACATACCTGTCCAATTATAGGATCATAAAATCTGAGTAACAAGCTTACTACAGTGGATTTTCCACTACCACTTGGTCCACATAATGCGATCGTTTGTCCTTCTTGAATGGATAACGAAAAATTTCTCAGAACCTGTTTAATAAATTTATTTCAAACTTTTTAATAAATAAACTAAATTTAAGTGATTTAAATTGTCTTACTTTCACTGATTTCCTGATAGGATAATTGAAAACTACATTTTTGAACTGTATATCGGCTTTGAAATCTTGTAATTTGATTCCTTCGGTAGAATAGGCATCTATCAGAGGTTTCTGCAATGATAATTTAATTATGATCACAGATATCGTTGTGTATTCCATTTAGAATAAAGAAAATAAGAGTAAAATATAATGTACAGTACCGTATCAATAATATCATAAACGGTAGCAGCTGATCCTTTAGCAGTGGCCACGGCAGTTAAGTGAGGAATGGCATTCCCTAACGAAAAAGAACCGACCATAACTGCAAAAAATACCTGAAACAGAATCAGAATTCAATGTTTTATATAATAATTTAATATAAAATTTATAAGAAAATACAATATTTACAGTAAAAACTGCACCAGCATCTAGATTTTTATTCAAAATTAAACTGGATCCGTACCTGTTAAAATATTCAAGCTTTGAATTGAGAATTCTAACTTCTGAGATAGATTAAAAATGGGATTTTTTCTTTAGTAATAATTTCATTATATTTAAAGAAATACAAACCAGAATGCCAAAGCATATGAACAGTAAAGGACAAGAAATGTGAATCCAATTCCAATGGCCATGAAGAAGTATTTTCGAATAGCAACATTTTTTCCTTCTTGTAGAGCAGCAGTATATCTGAATCCATTATTATTATAATGAATATTTTAAAATCGAATTACGATTTTCATATAATTGTTTTTTCTTACCTTTCAACTTCAAACTTTTGACCACAGAAAGCAATCACTGTTTTTATGCTGCTCAATACCTCTTCAGCAATGCTTCCCGCTACGGCATACTTCTGTTGCTCTCTAGATGCCGACGTAGCTATCATCTAAAATTGATCAAAATATAGTTTTACGCCATTTATTCATTTTTTTCCTGTACATAAAAGTCTATTAAATATTTTTCTGTATTACTTTCAATAATTTAGAGATTCTTGTCAATTTGAGTGCTAACAAAATAATCCATTGTGGGCAGAATAAAACTGACTATTATGCATATCATTCCTATTATCAAATGACTTAAAAACATTAAAGTTGTTAGAATTATTTACCTTTCCAAGAAAGGCAGAGGATAATGCAAGAAGGGGGGTCATTGACATAATGACTAAAGTCAATTCCCAACTCTTGACAAATCCAACGATAAACCCGGCAACAAAAGTAGACGAAAATTCAATAAACATGCTGAATTTATCTCCAATACCCTCTCGAACACGTTCAAGATCACTAAAAATCAAAAATTTTATTTAAAAATATCTTAACTCAAGTACTTTTCATTGCCACTAAGAATTTTGGCGATAAAATTAAAGTCTTACTCATTTAATTTCATGGAAAGTTCTCCGGTTTGATGACAATCGAACCAAGCAATCTCCTTTCTCAATACCTCGTAGAAAAACTCCTGCCTCAATCTGTATACTTGCCTCTCGCACGCCCACATCCAAGTCATCACCTAAAACACATTAAAACAATGTTCGAATCTTCACTAATTTAATTACGCATTATATATAAAATACACACGAACCTGCATGTAAGAAGTGACAAATACACCTATTCCAATAAAGACATAATACAGTGCGTACGTAGTCATGTAGTCTTCGAATTCTTCCCTTGTAACACCATTGTATGGATCGGATTGTTGAAGATTTCTCACAGAGCTGGAATTATAATTAGAAAGTGATACGCTCGAATTTTGGTACATCGAAGTTGTATAACTTTCGAATTGGCTGTCGATGAATCCTATTTGCGTTTGTTGAATGAAAGTGTTTGTCATGCTTCCAAAAACAATGGCCAAAAGTGGCCAAGCGGCTCCGTGGATAACAGCAAATATCGATCCAATCGCCATAAGTAACTTGTCGAATGCTTTGGCATAACGAAACTGTTGAAGATAACTCGTGTTAACTATACTATTCTTTGGTATTTTTTGAAAATTAAATTCACCACTTACCAAACTTAATAAAGAAGTAGACGGGCCTGGTATTTTCTTATTTCTATAAATAAAATAATAAATATTATGAACAAACTTTGTTTTATATAATTTATAACTTCCTACCAAGATCACATTTACACATTTACTAAACAAACTATCAATATAACTTTTCACACTTCTAAGTTACTTATTAGTGAAGGGGAAGGGTCTGTTATATATTATAGTTTACAGCTAGGCTACAACCAGTTTTAATTCGGTTTTGCCGTCTCATTAACAACTATCAAACATCAACTTCGAAATTATTACTAAAATAACAATTTGCGTACAAACAAATAAAATATAAACATCGTTTAAACCACCAAAATTAATATTTTTAAATATGTTGATGTGAGGAAATTGAAGATATTCTTAGTTAATATTTTGCAAACTTTAGTAAACCGTTAATAAAAATACTAATTAATTCGATCCAGTTTACTTTAAACTATTTATTACTGATTTATTCCGTCGATTTTAAAGTATTATATTATGTTATCTATAAAATAGAATGCGTAAATTTTATTCTGTTTAGCCTATAAATCTAATTTGTATACCTTGTCTTAGAACAAGCATGGCATACAAATTAGAACATATATAGGCCTAATATAAAGGATTTAAAAAATGAGGCATGTAGACCTATTCGAAATATTTTTTAAATTTAGCATGGTTCTTAGAATAGAACAGAAATACAGTAATACAGTACTTATATATTTACACTTAGAACATGTAATGTGCATTCTATGCTCTAGAAATAAGAATACAGCTAATACGTTATTTTTACTCTATTAAAATAGTACTTGAAATAGTATCTAGATATCTTATTCTAAATACTGTAGTAATAGGTATAAAGCTTGGATTAGGGTTTATCGTTATGCAACTAAACAGAATGGAGTCTAAGTTATAGAATCGTATCCCTTAGTAAAACAACGTAATAAAAAGTTTTTGTATCTTTGTTTCGTGTCAATTATCTATTTTAGAATTAAAATAAATAAACTGTTTATTTTTATTGGCAATTAAAATTGTTATGGAATTAGTTTCCCTATCATCAAATGTCACGGCACGCCACTTGCGTCATATGTTATGCAAGTGTGTTCTTGACCTAAGTGCAATTTCGTTTTAAAACAATGGGAAGATTACTCCGTTTTCCTGATGTGTTGACGTGTTTAAATGAGAGCGCATTATCAAAAATGTTAAGTTTTCATCGTTAATTGACAGGCAAACTCTGAGATCACCAGACTATCGATATCGAATTTTTGCAATTAAATGACCCTATATGATGACCAGTAGCGAATTATGATTCTCTGAGGCCCTAGGAGAAATTTTGTTTTGGAGGTTCACTAAATTTTTAGAGATATTATCTTTTGGCTATGTAATTTTTGAGGACCCTTGAGAGGACGAGACTGTAGGCGGCGATAGACGACTAGGGTCTATTGGTAATCCGCCACTGATGATAATGATGATATCTAAAAGTCTACATTTAAAGTGTGAGAAAACACTAAAACGTTTCACTTAAAATATGAGTGCTTGGCGCGCACACTTTTTTCGATTGAGAATACTGCACATGAGTAGTTTCTTTTCTGTCTATTTTTTCTTTTATTTCTCGTCATTTCAATTGATGTTATGTTTGGTAAAAATAAAAAGAACCTTTACATTTTGAAGTAATGATAACCATTTTCTTGTTTCAATCTGCTACATATAGAAAACCTGCTTAAGCTGGAAAGTTTATATGTTGTATTATAAATATGTGTGTAGCAAAACATCAGTAATTAATGTCTTGTAAATAATTAACATAAATATTAATCTTCGAGTGTATGTATGTGCGATTTAGTTTAAATATTGGAACTTGTTAATTAAAAAATATATAAAATATGAAAATAAATTCTCAGCTACTTCCGACTTTGAAGGTGATTAAAAAAGATTCAAATAACACTTGTCAATCAGGGTAAGGCTATTGGAACCTTTTATTTATAAAGAATGAAATGAATTTAGTACCATTAGTTACCTAATAAATAGGCTTAAATATTAAATAATTAATTTTAAGCTATTTTTAAATACTATTGATACTAATTTTTCATGTTAATATGACATTTAATTGTAATTGAATTAACCTTCAAATGAAATGAATCTATATTATGAGATTACAAATTCTTTATTGTTGTTTATGTTTTATTAAATTTTATAAACACTAAAAATGATGAAAACATTGAGATAAATATAATGAAAAACATTATTATATTATAGAATTTATAATGCTTAATTTTTCTATTTTAAAATATTTGGAGTAATGATAGACTTCAATACTGATGGTTCTTTCCATGAAATTCTTTGGTCAAAGATTAACAAAGAATCAGTGCTTAATTCTTTGTCTTTTTGTTAATCTATAATAAAACCCTTTTTTCTCTAACAATTTCTCGTGACTTCCAAATTCTGTCACTCTTCCATGATCTATGACTACAATGCAATCTGCTCCTTGAATGGTAGAAAGTCGATGTGCCACTACAATACATGTTCTTCCGTGTCGCGCTTGATCCAAAGCCATTTGTACTAACTAGAATCAAAGGATATTGTAATTATTTTAGAGATTTAATCTACAAATATAACCAAAAAGTAATAATATAATTATGTTTTACCTTTTCACTTTCAGTATCTAAAGCTGAAGTGGCTTCATCTAGGAGTAAAATTTTGGGATTTCTAACTAAAGCACGGGCAATTGCTATTCTTTGCTTCTGTCCTCCTGAAAGTTGAGTTCCTCTTTCTCCTACTACAGTATCATAACCCTAAACGATTAAAATTGTTAGTTTTGTAAAGATATTTAAAAAATTCATCGCGGTTTTTAAGTGCTGAATGTTAAATACCTGTGGGAGAGAAATTATAAAATTATGAGCATTTGCCAGATGACAAGCTTTTTGGATATTTACTTCGCTCACGTATTCTTCCATACCATAAACAATATTATCTCTTATTGAACAGTTGAACAATACTGGCTCCTGACTAACAAGAGCTATGTGACTTCTAAGATGATTTATATTCATTGTTCTTATGTCGTAATCATCTATTTTCTACCAAGTTAACATGATATTAACGTAGGAATTTACATGGTAAATGTACATTTTTATGTACTCACCACTTGTCCATGCATAGGATCGTAGAATCTTTCTATGAGAGAAATTATTGTACTTTTCCCGCACCCACTAGGCCCAACTAATGCTACAGTTTGTCCAGGTTTAACATTTAGATTTAACCCTCTTAAAACTGGAAAATTTTTTCGACTTGGATACGAGAAATATACATCTTTGAAAGTAACTTCTCCTTTGATTTTCTACAAAGATCTGTTTTTGAAATTTATGAGATTCAGAAAGGTTCAGAAAGATTTTAATATACTTACTGGTTTCACCCCTCCCATTGAATAACTATCTATTTCAGGTTTTGTGTTGATAATATTAAATACTAAGGCTGCGGAAAGTTTAGCTTTAGTATAATCAGGTAAATAAGAACTCCATTGTCCAACTGATACTGCGCTGAAAGCCATCGCAAAAAATACTCTAAGGAAGAAAAATTCAAAAATATCGAAGTTACGGTTATGAGAATGGTTCTGTTAAGATAAAGTAAGATTACCTGTAAACATTGACTGCTTCCATGTCACCTCTTCCTACAAAGTAGGCTCCTAATCTAAATGCTGCTCCATAAATTAAAAATATCATTCCTTGCGAAAATGCAAAAGCCAAGGCGTATACTTGAGCATGTTTCTTATTCTCACTAAGATAATGCAATTTATAATATTATAAGATTAAAATTTGTTATTTGTTATTGGATATTTTGTATTATGGAAATTAAAAAAATTGAACATTTTGCTAATATTATCCTATAGTTGTAATTGATATTGAAGTGGCTCGATAAGTGAATTTATTATTGATAGAGATTATTGTATACATAGATTACATAACAACTCTATATAAAGATATAAAGAATATACTAACTTAAATGGTAGTAAGAGATGATTGACATAATTGAGAAAAAATGTCTGTTCTAAATTCAAACTCTGAACGGTCCGTACGTTTTCTAAAGATTCACTAACTACCTAAATAAAATTTAACATATTTAATGTGAAATTTGAAGAATAATTCTTAAATTTCAAACTTACATTTCCTGCATTTTCCATGAGTTCTGCATCCCTCTTTTGATTACCTCTTTGTACTTTCATCTGTACTGCTCCAGCAGCTAATAAAATTGGCATAGATGCCAACAATGCTAAAGCCAATTTCCATCCAAAGATGAAAGCTATTACAATGCTAGTAACTAAAGTAACTACTGCAGATACCACTGTGCCAATTCTATGCCCCGCAGCCTGTGTTTAATTCTATTATTAAAACAGCTATGGTAGCAAAGTTCTGGAAATAAGTATCAATGCACACTTACACTTTTCACCATAGGAACGTCTGTAGCCAGTCGTGTTGCTAGTTTACCAGAGGTATGCTTTTCATCATCAAACCATCCAGCATGTTGTCTTAGAATATTATTGAATGCATTTTGGCGGAGTCTCATAGTGAGATGTTCCCCAGAATAAGCGAATCCGATGGTCTGAAAAATTTCAAAATGTTTTTCATATTTAACAAATACTCTGTTTCAGTAATCAGAAATAAAATAACCAAGTACAAACTCTGAAACAGTATCCAATAAAAGATATGACTGCCAAAACAATAAACATCATGGACCAGAAAAACGCTGCTGATATCAATTCCTCACCCTCCAGAGTAAAGGTCTGTATTTTGAAAGAATTAAAGATCACGTAACAATTTTTCTGTTTTATGTATACAAATTACTATACTCACAGAAAAAATTTCACTGTAAAACACAGCGAAAGTTGGCATTACTGCTCCAACTATGATCGAACATATTGTACCCATAAATATTTCTTTCCATTCTTTACTGCAGATTTTTACAATTTCCCACCCTGAAGGCATCTGAATATCTTCCTAGAGACATTATTTTAAAAATATTAAGAATAAAATTAACAAATAAAAAGTTTTTAAACAAAATATTCGTACATTTTCTACTTCGCTCATTAGACGATTAAGATGGCGATCCTTCTCTGATAAGGGTCTATGAAGACTGTACTTCCTACCTGATTTAGTTAATGATTTTTCTACATAACCTGTAATTGAATTAAATATCATAAAATGTGAAAAATTTAAAAACAAAATTACTTGAAAAGTATTTACTTGGTTCCTCAGTTGTTGAATATCCAGTTTCGTCCATCATCATCTGATTTGTAACTAATTGGTAATAGAGACCTTCTTTATCCATCAATTCTTCGTGCGTACCTTTTTCCATAATTTGTCCATTTTCGATGGCACATATTATATCAGCATTTTTTATAGTAGATAAACGATGAGCTATTATTATTGTGGTTCGACCGGAACAAGCCTAAAATTCGAATTAATTTGGCATCTAATCAGTTCATCATCTTCCAATGTGGCATAAGCCTATAACCTAAGTTTTTCTACTTACATTATCTAGAGCTTGTTGAACAATGGCTTCGCTTTCTGCATCTAGAGCCGAAGTAGCTTCGTCAAGAAGTAAGATTTTTGGATCTCGAACTAAGGCACGAGCAATTGCTATTCTCTGTTTCTGTCCTCCTGATAGTTGAGCACCACGTTCACCCACTAATGTGTCGTAAGTCTTTATAAAATTTTAAGATATAATTATTTATTTTTGTTATAACAAACTTCATCTTATTTTTCGTATTAAAATATTATTCGTATTGCAACAGTAATATTTCTTATCAAGATCATTGATTCTTCCAACCAAAATTATTGTTAGATTATCGTTATACCGAGTTTAATCTCACTATTTTTATCTACTCATCTTAATTACAATTAAATTTAATTGACAGGTATTCAATAAGGCAAGTAAATTAGTGAAAGCTACCCAAGTTAATTAATAGAATTCTATCAAGTTAATAAAAACTCAATTTTAATGAATAAAACTTTTCAAGTTAATCAACAGAAATATTTAATTAATTAAGTTTTTCTTAGCTAACAGAAGCCTGTCAACTTAATTAATAAATTCTACTACATTAAATAAGAGAATCTCACTAAATTATTAATCAATTTCTTCAAAATTAGTTAACAAAACTTCTAAATAGAACGAAATAATTTACCCACAGGGTATTTAATATGTATAAATTAACAAGTTATGATATAAAATGAAATTAGCTTACAAATATCTTTTCTACACACCAATGACTTAATTAATGANGAAGTTTCCTTTTAGATAGATAAAATCTTTATAAAAATTATAACAGTTTAAATAAATTTGTCAAAAAATAATCTCCCAACTCCAGATTCTCACACATTCATAAATTTACTTAAAATTTTATTATAAGACAGATATTTTATGACATAACAATTTTTTCTAGAACCAACTTTCGAAAATTAATCAATTGTCAAATTATTAATGATATAAAATTTTAATGTATGCAGCTATATCTGTTATAGGTAGAATGATGCCATAATTTTATAATATTCCTATCAGCCAGATTGTTGTGTAATAAGATATTATTTTACTATTGTAAAGATCTAACGTTTTTTACTTCTTTATGGATAGTTTGATATAAGGAAATGTTTCTCATCTCAATTATTCTGTAATTCCAAGTCCACTGTAGATTTATTTGATCCAGAAGTACACATTGTTGATTGAGACAAATATGAAATTTATGATTTGTTCTTAATAACAAAATTGGGCTGGATGTATAGTTCATTGGGCCTCAATTTGGAAAAATTGTAGACCTATAAATTTCTATTGTCGTACGTCCATTTGTCTGTCTGTTCTTAAGGTTAAGAACAGAGATAGATAGATGAAAGACAAGACCAGATATGAAAACTTTAGGGGCAGGAGCCCAAATTAACTATATATGAGCTTTGATGCAAACCAGAAGTCATGTTACTTCAATTAAAAAATTTTTTCTGAAAGGTGTTAGATAGATGACTGTCATGACTGTATTGTTAAAGGAAATGTATGATGTACAGGTGCAAGCCACTGCTAATTTGAGTTGGAGAGCATATATTTTAAATTAAATAAATTAAAAATACAGTTGACCCCCCCTGTAACATTGTTGATTATTCCATTTTATATGAATTCCATGTTGTACAAGTCACTTAGATTTTACAAATACATGAGCCGTTCACAGCCCGGCACACATATTTGTAAAATCTAAGTGACTCGTACAACATGGAATTCATATAAAATGGAATAATCAACAGTGTTATAGGGGGATCGACTGTATGATTAAAAATTGCAGTCTGATATTGTGACAATGTCACAATAAATAATTGCTTGTTGCACTGTTTATTAGTATATTATCAATAAATCAATTAGTACAATTAATGAGAGAAATTATAATGAATACAGGTATACCTTGAGTGACGTCATTTCGAGTTATATTGTTCTCGATTATACGTCGTTTGTCAAAAATATATGGAAAAATAAAAATCAAGTTTAAGTCATTTTATTCGATTTTACGTCTGTCTGCCACAAATATTGAGGTCATAATATCACTAGAAAAGCGTTAAAGCACATAAAATGCTATTAAAATATGTACATTTACAGTAAATGTTAATATAATCATCATAAATACTAGAGAACGAAACATGAAAACATCTGTGTTTCTGTGTTGTTGTCTTATTTAGCGATCTTTAAGTGCTCACTATTGGTGTTTTCCATGGTAGCTCCAATATCTACCATTTGGTGTCGTTGTCAGCTCCACTCGATATTGGTAAATTAAATATAAATTAGTTTATTTTCTACTGTCACAAGATAATTTTAATAACTGTATTTGTTATTTAACCTTACAAAATCATCTTATTTTATAATATCTTAGAGCAAACCACATTCACAATAAAGAGTCTGCGATGTACTGTAAACATCGCCAAATTGTAAACATGTACATTTACAAGTATGTATCGTACATACTGTACGTGAATTTGTAAATTTAGATGACTTTTTTCTGTACTATATTAAAAACTAAAATTTATTTGTTTGTAAGCTTAAAATAGATTCTTATTAACCATATATTAAAATGCATTTATAAATAAAATACAGCACTGGGAATGGCTATTTGTGGTTTAGCCTAGTGACAAGTAAATTCCAAGACAAGTAAATTTGACTTATGTCATTTTTCAACTTAAGTCGTCTCTCCTAGAACCAATTACTGATGTAAGACGAGGTATACCTGTATATAGGTTGCAATAACTAACCTGTTTTAGCATCCTATTCACTTGAGTATAATAATTTTTTATAGAGAAATAAGTTCACACATAGTAATTGCTTTTTTTTTTATTAATGAAACATAAGATTTTCCATTAAAATATAATTTTAGACAAAGCTATTTAGAATTGCAAAAATGTTCATTGATTTTGGAAATGGATATTATATTTTTTGAGATCGCATCTAATCTCCAGATCATATTTTTAGGACTATTCTTGATTGAGGCTTTTAAATTGAAATGCAATTACTTAATATGACAAGTTATATGCCAATACTTTCTAGTGTTGCTCAATTTTAATATTAAGAGATCCTAACATTATCACAACTCAGTCTTCTTTGAGCAAAATGGTCAAATAAAAGCTAATACTTGATGATAAAGCACTATTGTTTATTCCTTGGTACAAAAGCAAGACAGTTTGACAGTTTGAGATAGTAATTTCAAATGATTTCAATAAGTATTTTATTGTGTATATAAATTATGTATGTAGTCCACAAAGATTAAGAACACACATCATATTAAGTATTGGTTAACACCAATACTTAATGTGATGTGTGTGTAATGTAAAAAATATTTCTGATTATGCATATTATTAATTAATACAATTGTAATTTTCATTTGTTGTGTGATGCACTATATTAATAATTTATATTAAAAATGTTTTATTCACATTAGGTGCTGGTATTTGAAGACTCTCCTATTGGAGTTGAAGCAGCCGTGGCAGCAGGAATGCAGGTGGTCATGATTCCAGATCCCCGAGTGGATCCGAGCGTTTTTGAAAAAGCCACCGTTGTTTTAAATTCCATGTTGGACTTTCGTCCAGAAATATTTGGACTCCCGCCATTTGAAGACAGTTAAATTATTTAAGTTTGTTTTTTCAAACTGAAAATCAAAAAGAAAGTTTTGAATACAATAAATATAATGTAAATAAAAATAAAATTCAAATCTTAAAGATTTTTCATGGAATTTTTTATAATTTCATATCATGGTTTTACCATTGTTTTTAAAATAAATTCAAATGAGCTGTATACAAATAGTTTGCAATTTTTTAAGAATGAGTAAATTTCCATCAAAACTTTAGAAACATTCAATCAAAACTTATTCGAAAGTACAAATAAGATTAATTTTTAATGATAGAATTAAATTGTAAAATATGGACAACAACATTTCCTCACTAAACATTTTAGTCATCCTGTTAGATGACTAAAATGAAATGAAGCAGTTTGGACTCAGCTAGAGGGAAGGTTGCTAAAAGGAAGTGCATCATCTAGCCATAAAAAATATGCCTAAAAAACCATCTGACTATCCAGAAATACAGGAAACAAATATGCAGTGATCCCATATCAAGCATAAAACAGATAGTGAAGAATTAAATATGTGCATTTTATATCTTATGACTTATCATCATCTGATACACATCAATGTAGTCATAATACTGTAAGTATTTGTTGATATATATGAAAACAAAATTTTGAGTGAAATAAAAATATTTATGAATGAATGTAAGTTAATATCAGGATAAGATTGGAAATTACATATCAGGAGGCATTTATGTTCTTAAAATTGATGTTGTCATTTCTATGATGATAAAAAATATAAATTTTTTAAAGATGCATATCTGCCCAAAACTTATTTTAAATAGTAGTAAAACAATTGGCATTGATTTTCTGCCAAAATAATGAAAAATAAGTATGAAAATGTTATACAAAACAATAATAAAATTATCTTATCATTCACTTATTATTATATGATACAATGGCCGGGCTCATGGTTATCTAAATGCATTAACACACATGCAGAAAATAATTGTCATTAATCACTAACTCATCTGCTTTGCTGGCTATTGACCAACAGGGAAAGGTAAATTATACTTTACTGAAATATCCAGTTTATTAGGAGTGACTATGAGTTGTGTGTGTAAAAATTTACCTGTTCTATTTGCTAGATACAGGATTTAAATGGTAATGGATTAATTGGAATGGCATTTTTCTCATTCATACTGGATAACTGAATATAAAATGGTTAAATTGCTGTTGAAAAGAGTGATCCTTTGTAATATTCAACTGCAATTAATGATGCCTAATCAATATGCATAAAATGTCATGAAATTGTTGAGTATAAACTTTGTAATTAATAAAATATATTAATCATTAAATCTTATCATAACTTAATTTCGGTAAACAAATATTGAAATGCTTTATACATGTATAATATGAAGTATTTCGATATTCCTGTTTAAATTAAACCCAAATTGTAAAGAAAAAAATCTAAAAATCCAGGACGTAATATAATTATTTTCAAAAAAATACATTATAGAAATACAAAGTATTACAGAAAATACGAATTCGAATTCTCCTAGACCCAAATTCTTTGTGGATATTTAAGCATATAGGATGATATGCAGACAAATTCTATATGATTATTAAGATGAGATTTGAGGAGAAAGAATATTAACTTCGAATTGTAAATTATCAAAAAATTGAAGTTTTTTGGTATGAATAGATAAAAAAAAAAACTGAAGTTGATATAAGTAGAAAAGATGGATAATGCACTTATAACTGATGTTATTAGCATTCAAATATTACATCAGCAAAAATTGACCCTTTCTTGATCCCCTCTCCCATCATCAGTCATAAATCAAAGTATGCTCTCCCCTAATTATGACATCAGGTTGTAAGTTAAAAGCATTCGCAAATACACTAGAATTGTTTTCAGACAATTTTATGATGGAAGAACAACAAACGATGAATGCAATCTTACATCATCAAAGACATTTCGTTTCTCATCGTCAGCAATCATCAGAAACAAACGAACTCTTCCCTGTAAACTAAACTGACCATATTTTGGTACAATCAATATGGAAAAGTCAGTCCTCTCTCCCTTGTCCTCCCGCGTCTGGGCCATCTTCCTTACCGCCCATTTGCTTGTCATAGATCGGAGATGGCGAACCTTTTTGAGTCGGTGTGCAATATAGTAAGCGTACTTACCTTTAAAAATGTTTATGCGTGCCAAAGTTCTGAACTTCCAATAACTATGTTAAATAAATCAAATGAATATGCTTTAATTAGAGTAAATGTAAATAAGCTGATTGAAAAAGGATGATCGGGTGATAAACCGAAAGGATGATTGAATAAGATAGATGATGAACCGAAGTCGTATAATACGTTAAGTGTCAGTAAATTGCTCCGACGTACCACTTTTGGCACTCGTGCCATAGGTTCGCTACCCCTGTCATAGATAAAAGTAGGAAAACGACAATTTAATACAAAATGCATTTCCCTAATAAAAAAAAGAGATCATTTGAATTGTATAAGTTTATTAAATAACGTATTTAGCCTAATACTAGTAAAATTTAATAAAAAATCTTGAACATGTACTGTACAGTAGATTAAATTTCTCAACAAATTTAGATTAAACATCTTTTGGTTCGTACACATACCAAAGAAGACTCTCCCATATTTCTGTTCCAGATAAAACCTCATGAGTAGAGAGAATGTCATGAATACCACAAAAGTACTGTTATCGGTCTAAAAGTATCGAAGGAAAGTATCGGTACAGCATCGGTATCGGTATCAGCAGTATCGGGACAACCTTAATCATGAAAGACCTCTCTTATAGTTCTCTCTTAAGCACTTCAATATAAATTTTTCAACGCAGAAAAAAGTAACTTGCTCTGTTCAATTTTGTATTTAGTTTTCACAGAACTTCAGAAAATACTTATTTTGTTTTCTTTCCATCCATATTTACGCCATATCAATTGTATGCATTCCATGGAAGCTGTGGAAGCGCCGCTTCCCTTGTATTTTCTAAAATATAAATACTTATTGTGCGATTATTTTCATATTTTAACGTACTTTGAATTACTTAAAACTGATATTTTATTATAACCGCATTATTTATTTTATTACAAATTTCTATACATGTGAAAAACAATGATAAGATTTCTATCGTATATGCGAATATAAATTCGTATATGCATATTCCCGATGGAAGTGTCGTATTGTCGAATACGGAGCAGCCAGATAACACGCATTCGCCCATGAGCTTTACAGATCTCTGGCGGTTTAGCTGGTGGATGCTACACACCAAAAACATGTCGTCACTAGTGTTTCTTTCAATAGAAAAACAGCTTTTAAATACTATGATGGAATCGACGACCAGCGATTTTTGTGATAAAGTAATTAACGACTTTACGGAAAAAATTGCCGAATAGAGTTATTTTATAAAAAATAATAAAAAGTTTTTGTATCTTTGTTTCGTGTCAATTATCTATTTTAGAATTAAAATAAATAAACTGTTTATTTTTATTGGCAATTAAAATTGTTATGGAATTAGTTTCCCTATCATCAAATGTCACGGCACGCCACTTGCGTCATATGTTATGCAAGTGTGTTCTTGACCTAAGTGCAATTTCGTTTTAAAACAATGGGAAGATTACTCCGTTTTCCTGATGTGTTGACGTGTTTAAATGAGAGCGCATTATCAAAAATGTTAAGTTTTCATCGTTAATTGACAGGCAAACTCTGAGATCACCAGACTATCGATATCGAATTTTTGCAATTAAATGACCCTATATGATGACCAGTAGCGAATTATGATTCTCTGAGGCCCTAGGAGAAATTTTGTTTTGGAGGTTCACTAAATTTTTAGAGATATTATCTTTTGGCTATGTAATTTTTGAGGACCCTTGAGAGGACGAGACTGTAGGCGGCGATAGACGACTAGGGTCTATTGGTAATCCGCCACTGATGATAATGATGATATCTAAAAGTCTACATTTAAAGTGTGAGAAAACACTAAAACGTTTCACTTAAAATATGAGTGCTTGGCGCGCACACTTTTTTCGATTGAGAATACTGCACATGAGTAGTTTCTTTTCTGTCTATTTTTTCTTTTATTTCTCGTCATTTCAATTGATGTTATGTTTGGTAAAAATAAAAAGAACCTTTACATTTTGAAGTAATGATAACCATTTTCTTGTTTCAATCTGCTACATATAGAAAACCTGCTTAAGCTGGAAAGTTTATATGTTGTATTATAAATATGTGTGTAGCAAAACATCAGTAATTAATGTCTTGTAAATAATTAACATAAATATTAATCTTCGAGTGTATGTATGTGCGATTTAGTTTAAATATTGGAACTTGTTAATTAAAAAATATATAAAATATGAAAATAAATTCTCAGCTACTTCCGACTTTGAAGGTGATTAAAAAAGATTCAAATAACACTTGTCAATCAGGGTAAGGCTATTGGAACCTTTTATTTATAAAGAATGAAATGAATTTAGTACCATTAGTTACCTAATAAATAGGCTTAAATATTAAATAATTAATTTTAAGCTATTTTTAAATACTATTGATACTAATTTTTCATGTTAATATGACATTTAATTGTAATTGAATTAACCTTCAAATGAAATGAATCTATATTATGAGATTACAAATTCTTTATTGTTGTTTATGTTTTATTAAATTTTATAAACACTAAAAATGATGAAAACATTGAGATAAATATAATGAAAAACATTATTATATTATAGAATTTATAATGCTTAATTTTTCTATTTTAAAATATTTGGAGTAATGATAGACTTCAATACTGATGGTTCTTTCCATGAAATTCTTTGGTCAAAGATTAACAAAGAATCAGTGCTTAATTCTTTGTCTTTTTGTTAATCTATAATAAAACCCTTTTTTCTCTAACAATTTCTCGTGACTTCCAAATTCTGTCACTCTTCCATGATCTATGACTACAATGCAATCTGCTCCTTGAATGGTAGAAAGTCGATGTGCCACTACAATACATGTTCTTCCGTGTCGCGCTTGATCCAAAGCCATTTGTACTAACTAGAATCAAAGGATATTGTAATTATTTTAGAGATTTAATCTACAAATATAACCAAAAAGTAATAATATAATTATGTTTTACCTTTTCACTTTCAGTATCTAAAGCTGAAGTGGCTTCATCTAGGAGTAAAATTTTGGGATTTCTAACTAAAGCACGGGCAATTGCTATTCTTTGCTTCTGTCCTCCTGAAAGTTGAGTTCCTCTTTCTCCTACTACAGTATCATAACCCTAAACGATTAAAATTGTTAGTTTTGTAAAGATATTTAAAAAATTCATCGCGGTTTTTAAGTGCTGAATGTTAAATACCTGTGGGAGAGAAATTATAAAATTATGAGCATTTGCCAGATGACAAGCTTTTTGGATATTTACTTCGCTCACGTATTCTTCCATACCATAAACAATATTATCTCTTATTGAACAGTTGAACAATACTGGCTCCTGACTAACAAGAGCTATGTGACTTCTAAGATGATTTATATTCATTGTTCTTATGTCGTAATCATCTATTTTCTACCAAGTTAACATGATATTAACGTAGGAATTTACATGGTAAATGTACATTTTTATGTACTCACCACTTGTCCATGCATAGGATCGTAGAATCTTTCTATGAGAGAAATTATTGTACTTTTCCCGCACCCACTAGGCCCAACTAATGCTACAGTTTGTCCAGGTTTAACATTTAGATTTAACCCTCTTAAAACTGGAAAATTTTTTCGACTTGGATACGAGAAATATACATCTTTGAAAGTAACTTCTCCTTTGATTTTCTACAAAGATCTGTTTTTGAAATTTATGAGATTCAGAAAGGTTCAGAAAGATTTTAATATACTTACTGGTTTCACCCCTCCCATTGAATAACTATCTATTTCAGGTTTTGTGTTGATAATATTAAATACTAAGGCTGCGGAAAGTTTAGCTTTAGTATAATCAGGTAAATAAGAACTCCATTGTCCAACTGATACTGCGCTGAAAGCCATCGCAAAAAATACTCTAAGGAAGAAAAATTCAAAAATATCGAAGTTACGGTTATGAGAATGGTTCTGTTAAGATAAAGTAAGATTACCTGTAAACATTGACTGCTTCCATGTCACCTCTTCCTACAAAGTAGGCTCCTAATCTAAATGCTGCTCCATAAATTAAAAATATCATTCCTTGCGAAAATGCAAAAGCCAAGGCGTATACTTGAGCATGTTTCTTATTCTCACTAAGATAATGCAATTTATAATATTATAAGATTAAAATTTGTTATTTGTTATTGGATATTTTGTATTATGGAAATTAAAAAAATTGAACATTTTGCTAATATTATCCTATAGTTGTAATTGATATTGAAGTGGCTCGATAAGTGAATTTATTATTGATAGAGATTATTGTATACATAGATTACATAACAACTCTATATAAAGATATAAAGAATATACTAACTTAAATGGTAGTAAGAGATGATTGACATAATTGAGAAAAAATGTCTGTTCTAAATTCAAACTCTGAACGGTCCGTACGTTTTCTAAAGATTCACTAACTACCTAAATAAAATTTAACATATTTAATGTGAAATTTGAAGAATAATTCTTAAATTTCAAACTTACATTTCCTGCATTTTCCATGAGTTCTGCATCCCTCTTTTGATTACCTCTTTGTACTTTCATCTGTACTGCTCCAGCAGCTAATAAAATTGGCATAGATGCCAACAATGCTAAAGCCAATTTCCATCCAAAGATGAAAGCTATTACAATGCTAGTAACTAAAGTAACTACTGCAGATACCACTGTGCCAATTCTATGCCCCGCAGCCTGTGTTTAATTCTATTATTAAAACAGCTATGGTAGCAAAGTTCTGGAAATAAGTATCAATGCACACTTACACTTTTCACCATAGGAACGTCTGTAGCCAGTCGTGTTGCTAGTTTACCAGAGGTATGCTTTTCATCATCAAACCATCCAGCATGTTGTCTTAGAATATTATTGAATGCATTTTGGCGGAGTCTCATAGTGAGATGTTCCCCAGAATAAGCGAATCCGATGGTCTGAAAAATTTCAAAATGTTTTTCATATTTAACAAATACTCTGTTTCAGTAATCAGAAATAAAATAACCAAGTACAAACTCTGAAACAGTATCCAATAAAAGATATGACTGCCAAAACAATAAACATCATGGACCAGAAAAACGCTGCTGATATCAATTCCTCACCCTCCAGAGTAAAGGTCTGTATTTTGAAAGAATTAAAGATCACGTAACAATTTTTCTGTTTTATGTATACAAATTACTATACTCACAGAAAAAATTTCACTGTAAAACACAGCGAAAGTTGGCATTACTGCTCCAACTATGATCGAACATATTGTACCCATAAATATTTCTTTCCATTCTTTACTGCAGATTTTTACAATTTCCCACCCTGAAGGCATCTGAATATCTTCCTAGAGACATTATTTTAAAAATATTAAGAATAAAATTAACAAATAAAAAGTTTTTAAACAAAATATTCGTACATTTTCTACTTCGCTCATTAGACGATTAAGATGGCGATCCTTCTCTGATAAGGGTCTATGAAGACTGTACTTCCTACCTGATTTAGTTAATGATTTTTCTACATAACCTGTAATTGAATTAAATATCATAAAATGTGAAAAATTTAAAAACAAAATTACTTGAAAAGTATTTACTTGGTTCCTCAGTTGTTGAATATCCAGTTTCGTCCATCATCATCTGATTTGTAACTAATTGGTAATAGAGACCTTCTTTATCCATCAATTCTTCGTGCGTACCTTTTTCCATAATTTGTCCATTTTCGATGGCACATATTATATCAGCATTTTTTATAGTAGATAAACGATGAGCTATTATTATTGTGGTTCGACCGGAACAAGCCTAAAATTCGAATTAATTTGGCATCTAATCAGTTCATCATCTTCCAATGTGGCATAAGCCTATAACCTAAGTTTTTCTACTTACATTATCTAGAGCTTGTTGAACAATGGCTTCGCTTTCTGCATCTAGAGCCGAAGTAGCTTCGTCAAGAAGTAAGATTTTTGGATCTCGAACTAAGGCACGAGCAATTGCTATTCTCTGTTTCTGTCCTCCTGATAGTTGAGCACCACGTTCACCCACTAATGTGTCGTAAGTCTTTATAAAATTTTAAGATATAATTATTTATTTTTGTTATAACAAACTTCATCTTATTTTTCGTATTAAAATATTATTCGTATTGCAACAGTAATATTTCTTATCAAGATCATTGATTCTTCCAACCAAAATTATTGTTAGATTATCGTTATACCGAGTTTAATCTCACTATTTTTATCTACTCATCTTAATTACAATTAAATTTAATTGACAGGTATTCAATAAGGCAAGTAAATTAGTGAAAGCTACCCAAGTTAATTAATAGAATTCTATCAAGTTAATAAAAACTCAATTTTAATGAATAAAACTTTTCAAGTTAATCAACAGAAATATTTAATTAATTAAGTTTTTCTTAGCTAACAGAAGCCTGTCAACTTAATTAATAAATTCTACTACATTAAATAAGAGAATCTCACTAAATTATTAATCAATTTCTTCAAAATTAGTTAACAAAACTTCTAAATAGAACGAAATAATTTACCCACAGGGTATTTAATATGTATAAATTAACAATACAAGTTATGATATAAAATGAAATTAGCTTACAAATATCTTTTCTACACACCAATGACTTAATTAATGATTATGAAATTATACAAATATAAAATTTATGTAAAATACACCTTTAATTTTCAAATATGTTTAAAAAATTTGAATAATTACATCTGGCAGGGACACGATAAAATTATGAACATTTGCCATCTTAGCTGCTGCTACAATTTCGTGAAAAGTGACATCAGGTCGTCCATATCGGATATTTTCGGCGATGGTGCAACCGAACAATACAGGTTCCTGACTAACTACACCCACAATATGTCGAAGCCAATTAACATTCAGATCTTTCAAATTGTGCCCATCGATTTCTATCTAAAGTATAGAAAACTTGATTCGTTAATTAAGGATTTCAAGAGTTGTACTAATTAAATCAGCTTTATGTTTTTTTAATTAAAAATTTCAAATTAACATACCTGTCCAATTATAGGATCATAAAATCTGAGTAACAAGCTTACTACAGTGGATTTTCCACTACCACTTGGTCCACATAATGCGATCGTTTGTCCTTCTTGAATGGATAACGAAAAATTTCTCAGAACCTGTTTAATAAATTTATTTCAAACTTTTTAATAAATAAACTAAATTTAAATGATTTAAATTGTCTTACTTTCACTGATTTCCTGATAGGATAATTGAAAACTACATTTTTGAACTGTATATCGGCTTTGAAATCTTGTAATTTGATTCCTTCGGTAGAATAGGCATCTATCAGAGGTTTCTGCAATGATAATTTAATTATGATCACAGATATCGTTGTGTATTCCATTTAGAATAAAAAAAAGTAAGAGTAAAATATAATGTACAGTACCGTATCAATAATATCATAAACGGTAGCAGCTGATCCTTTAGCAGTGGCCACGGCAGTTAAGTGAGGAATGGCATTCCCTAACGAAAAAGAACCGACCATAACTGCAAAAAATACCTGAAACAGAATCAGAATTCAATGTTTTATATAATAATTTAATATAAAATTTATAAGAAAATACAATATTTACAGTAAAAACTGCACCAGCATCTAGATTTTTATTCAAAATTAAACTGGATCCGTACCTGTTAAAATATTCAAGCTTTGAATTGAGAATTCTAACTTCTGAGATAGATTAAAAATGGGATTTTTTCTTTAGTAATAATTTCATTATATTTAAAGAAATACAAACCAGAATGCCAAAGCATATGAACAGTAAAGGACAAGAAATGTGAATCCAATTCCAATGGCCATGAAGAAGTATTTTCGAATAGCAACATTTTTTCCTTCTTGTAGAGCAGCAGTATATCTGAATCCATTATTATTATAATGAATATTTTAAAATCGAATTACGATTTTCATATAATTGTTTTTTCTTACCTTTCAACTTCAAACTTTTGACCACAGAAAGCAATCACTGTTTTTATGCTGCTCAATACCTCTTCAGCAATGCTTCCCGCTACGGCATACTTCTGTTGCTCTCTAGATGCCGACGTAGCTATCATCTAAAATTGATCAAAATATAGTTTTACGCCATTTATTCATTTTTTTCCTGTACATAAAAGTCTATAAAATATTTTTCTGTATTACTTTCAATAATTTAGAGATTCTTGTCAATTTGAGTGCTAACAAAATAATCCATTGTGGGCAGAATAAAACTGACTATTATGCATATCATTCCTATTATCAAATGACTTAAAAACATTAAAGTTGTTAGAATTATTTACCTTTCCAAGAAAGGCAGAGGATAATGCAAGAAGGGGGGTCATTGACATAATGACTAAAGTCAATTCCCAACTCTTGACAAATCCAACGATAAACCCGGCAACAAAAGTAGACGAAAATTCAATAAACATGCTGAATTTATCTCCAATACCCTCTCGAACACGTTCAAGATCACTAAAAATCAAAAATTTTATTTAAAAATATCTTAACTCAAGTACTTTTCATTGCCACTAAGAATTTTGGCGATAAAATTAAAGTCTTACTCATTTAATTTCATGGAAAGTTCTCCGGTTTGATGACAATCGAACCAAGCAATCTCCTTTCTCAATACCTCGTAGAAAAACTCCTGCCTCAATCTGTATACTTGCCTCTCGCACGCCCACATCCAAGTCATCACCTAAAACACATTAAAACAATGTTCGAATCTTCACTAATTTAATTACGCATTATATATAAAATACACACGAACCTGCATGTAAGAAGTGACAAATACACCTATTCCAATAAAGACATAATACAGTGCGTACGTAGTCATGTAGTCTTCGAATTCTTCCCTTGTAACACCATTGTATGGATCGGATTGTTGAAGATTTCTCACAGAGCTGGAATTATAATTAGAAAGTGATACGCTCGAATTTTGGTACATCGAAGTTGTATAACTTTCGAATTGGCTGTCGATGAATCCTATTTGCGTTTGTTGAATGAAAGTGTTTGTCATGCTTCCAAAAACAATGGCCAAAAGTGGCCAAGCGGCTCCGTGGATAACAGCAAATATCGATCCAATCGCCATAAGTAACTTGTCGAATGCTTTGGCATAACGAAACTGTTGAAGATAACTCGTGTTAACTATACTATTCTTTGGTATTTTTTGAAAATTAAATTCACCACTTACCAAACTTAATAAAGAAGTAGACGGGCCTGGTATTTTCTTATTTCTATAAATAAAATAATAAATATTATGAACAAACTTTGTTTTATATAATTTATAACTTCCTACCAAGATCACATTTACACATTTACTAAACAAACTATCAATATAACTTTTCACACTTCTAAGTTACTTATTAGTGAAGGGGAAGGGTCTGTTATATATTATAGTTTACAGCTAGGCTACAACCAGTTTTAATTCGGTTTTGCCGTCTCATTAACAACTATCAAACATCAACTTCGAAATTATTACTAAAATAACAATTTGCGTACAAACAAATAAAATATAAACATCGTTTAAACCACCAAAATTAATATTTTTAAATATGTTGATGTGAGGAAATTGAAGATATTCTTAGTTAATATTTTGCAAACTTTAGTAAACCGTTAATAAAAATACTAATTAATTCGATCCAGTTTACTTTAAACTATTTATTACTGATTTATTCCGTCGATTTTAAAGTATTATATTATGTTATCTATAAAATAGAATGCGTAAATTTTATTCTGTTTAGCCTATAAATCTAATTTGTATACCTTGTCTTAGAACAAGCATGGCATACAAATTAGAACATATATAGGCCTAATATAAAGGATTTAAAAAATGAGGCATGTAGACCTATTCGAAATATTTTTTAAATTTAGCATGGTTCTTAGAATAGAACAGAAATACAGTAATACAGTACTTATATATTTACACTTAGAACATGTAATGTGCATTCTATGCTCTAGAAATAAGAATACAGCTAATACGTTATTTTTACTCTATTAAAATAGTACTTGAAATAGTATCTAGATATCTTATTCTAAATACTGTAGTAATAGGTATAAAGCTTGGATTAGGGTTTATCGTTATGCAACTAAACAGAATGGAGTCTAAGTTATAGAATCGTATCCCTTAGTAAAACAACGCACCATAGCAATAGAATATATAAATCTATTTACATATTATTATTTTAAATGTTTACAGAAGTTTATCATATTTATTTATTATAATGCAACAAAGTTATGTAATATAAATTATACTATAAATTACATAAATCAAATATTGCTAATATCGATTGAACACTGTTGGATTTATAACAATAGAAATATTGAAATTATCACCAAATAAACTCTCTTGACCTTTCATTTATTACAAGAAAAAATCAATGTTGAATAATCGATAACAATATTCTGTCATTTATTTATTAAATTATGCAGCTCGTACAAATTATTGGTTCTCATATTAATGTTTGATCTCAGGTCAAAGGTCAACTAATGATAATTATTGGAATTAAGTAGAAGACTTATTTAGACCAACTATAGTATGGATGGCTCTAGAAAATTACCTTACCAAGAAGTCTGAGGATACGGAATATCACAGGGAAAGAAAGTCTAGGAATCCGTCCTCGAAAAATTTTTTCAATATAATAGACTACTATTAAATAATGTTTGTATGAAACAGTACAAAAATATTCGGAATTTAAACGTTAAAAATTATATTTCTAAAAAATATAAATAATCAAATAGAATTTCGTCATTTGGAACAAAGAGTGGCAGGCAATTTTGGACAGGAGTGGCTGAACTACCCTTAAAAAAACTGGCCACCTTCTACCTACAGGGCTGAATTGAGTATTGATTTTCAACAAAAATTAATATCTTACAATTAGGTTTTATACCTTAAATCAGTCTTTCTTTCTAGAAAACAGGAAAAAAATAACTGGATATGTTATCTATTTAATATAAAATACTAACATAGGCGTGTTTTGCATTTATTTGCAGTACAAGATGTCAGACACGAACCTAATTAATTAATTTAGATTTATTTTATAACTAATTTTTATAAATAAATTTACACGAAACATTTAATTTTATATCTCAGAACGATGCCAAAATCAAAAATATAACCTACTTATACCTTTAAAAGTAAATAGATGTTTAATTATTTAATCATAAAATAAGATTGATTTGATAAATAATTAGTAAATATATAAATGTTGATAAATTTATTCCGACATTATTCGTATATAAATTATCTTGTTATTGTATCTTAATAGTACTTCGAGTGAATCAATGAACAATACAGTTTACTATCGAAATATTGCGAAATTTTATATCTTAACACTTGAAAAAATAGAAAAATGTATGTTAGAAATTCGTATTTTGGAGATAGTTAAAGAAATTTGCAGAAGTATTATAGAAAAATTGTAAATTTTTATGTAAAAATTCATCAAAGTGTTCAATAAACAGTAGATGACAAGGCAACATTATATATAGGCTAAAATCTTTATTTATAAATTAGCTCCCCCTTAATAATTTTATTTTATTTTATAAGAATTAGATTTAATTTATTAGTCGAAGATGCAGTAACTTCTAATACATTTCAGTTTTTTGTGCTCAACATTTTCAATTAGTTCCTTTACAATCTTCGTCTTAATCTTACGTTATTATTTCTTTATCATTTTTATTTAAATGCTTAAACTTGTATAGAGTATGTATAAAGTATAATCCTTTTAAAAACTGTTTTTCAAAGATATATTATAGGAAGAGGAAGTTTCAAAGAAAAGCATTATCATTTAAAGATCATTTGGTTGAAATTATTTTCATTGAGTTCATCTGAGAATGAATCTAAAAGATGTTTATAATGGATTTAATGTTTATAAATGATACAAATATATAAAATATTGGTTAAATTTAATGCATAATTATTTATATAATAAGTTTTTAGTTAGTTTTAATGATTTTAAAACTAAATTAAATTCAACTTAGATGATCGTGCAATATGCGGGGTCTTCAGAGCAACGTCGTAAGATAATGTATTTATTATAAATTTTAACTTATAAACGACATTTAATTCAGTTTATATTTGATCTGTGCACTGGGTTACAGTTTAATGAACTTTATTATTATTGTGGCTACCTGTTCTAAGGAGTATACACGCAACAATAATGAATTGTTTGAAACAAACTGTTTTAGTCTTTCATAAATTACTTTATTTATACAAAAGAATATATTAATGATAATTAAATTTGTCCTAATTTAATTTAAAAATTAAAAAAAATAATAATAATTAGTGTTTGAAGTAAAGAGGTCAATGACCTTATAGTAAACACGATGGTTTCCAGCTGTTTTCTAGTAACTAGATGTGTATTTTGTGCTATTTTCAGTAATTTTATACGAAATAAATCTTATTTTTAAAAGTATTTACTGAATAATAGCATATTTTAAAATTATTTAAGTATTATTTATGTGTTTTAATAAAATTTAAGCGAACAACAAAACAAACTGATGCAGTTTAGATTAGTTTTATCTATACAAAAAATTCTGTTTCAGCAGAAAATTACCTGCTTGTTAGCAAATTTATATTCAAGATAAGAAGGAATCAAGTGGTAATATCAAATTTTAAGTTTTACCTATTGAAAAGAGAAGATTCTAATTAAGAATAATACTATTAAGAACGATAAGACATTGCATTTCAGTATAGAAAGATGGCTTCGAAATTCTGTCATTTATTAAATATTAATAAATAAAAATAAAATATGAGGTTAAAGCTGCAAAAAGAGCACTTTTTGCTTTTATTTTTGCTTTTTTATATAATATTAATCATTAGTTATAATTCTATCCTATCCTATTGTCGCTTCATCATCAGACGAGTTGAAGAATAAACAAAGTTTCTCTACCGTTTTTTGTCCTTAAATTTATTCTCTTTTCCTATTTTAAACCAACTTTTCTCTCTATTTCGATGTAACTTATCACACCACATTCAGTTCTAGTTTTTGATTTACCACAAACTCTTTTATCTCAACTGTAATTGATACATCAATCACAAATATTAATATGTTGGAATTGCCACAATATTTAAGAACAAATTGTTATAAATTAGCAAACGAATTAAGGAAAAAAGCATTGTGCTAGCTTTTATGCTCTCTATAAAGAAAAAAAATTACAAAAAAAGCAAAATATTTAAGGAAAAAATCAGTTGTCGATGATAAATTTTACTTAAAAGTAATCAAGAGTTGGTTACATTTGGTGCAATTTCATAGCTCTTAATATTCAAGTAAAACCAAAAAAGATGAGGAAAGTGCATAATTTAAATGATTATGCTTAAGTAAATAATGTTAATTGCGTTATTTCAATGAAATTGACTTTATTTTTTATTTTTCACTGTCTTGATTAAGGTATTTAAGGCATTTGACGCGAGGTTTTTAGCTAAGATTCATCAAGAATAACCGAGTTTTTTTATCCAAGTATCTCGTCCAGAATAAATAATTATATATTTAATGTGATATAAACTCTTCTAAAAATTCTTACGATCATGATCAGTTAACTATTCTAATTCTTTTGGGTGTAATAACTCCAAAAGCTCCATAATTTTCTTCTGAATATGATATGAGATATAACTGTCCTACGTTTTGTATAATCTATATAAAGTATCTTTTTAAAAGTAAATCTTAAATTAAAAGTTAGCAGAATATTTTGTTTGAAATTTTACAAAAATTTGCTACTTTATAGACCATTTTAATGGCTGCTATCTAAGAATTGAAGTTGATATCGCTAAAGATGGCAGCGATTCTACTTTTTGAGATGATTTAATGAACAAAAATAACGTTTTCGATGATTTAATTACAATCGAATTATTTAAATACAATAAAAAATTATCTCAGGATCCTTTTTTATCGATTGATAAATTTGTATTTGATCTGATTAGATTCTTTTACACAATTACGATAATCTTTCATGATTATATGAACTTTCTTCATGATTATTTATAATTTATTGGAAGGCTTTTAATAACACTGCAAAATTATTGATAAATTTAATAAAAACTTTTAAAATTTTAAGCTTAAAAATCTTAAATTTTCAAAAAGTAACGTTTCTTTATGTATTTATTCTATATTTTTACAATATTTCATAAAATTTAACGTTTTGAGGCCTCAAATAATTTATATTTTGGAATATGCTCCTGCTTCTCTATGGAGCATTTTTAATTTTTGGAGAAAAATAAAGTATTATTCGTAAATATATGAAAGAACATTCGAAAAATTAGCATTGAATGTGCTAAAAATAGGATTATTTTGAAGTGATCATTTCACAGGTAATTGTTTTTCCTTGACCTCAAAATTAAATTTAATAATGATTTTTTTTAATACGAAATAAGAGAAACCAATCATAAATATCAAACTTTTTGATTTAAATTTATTTCTTTGTGTGCTCAAAATACATTTTCAGCAAAATGAAGATGAATCAACGAGATAAATCACAATCTTATGGAAATGCTTGCCAAACCTCTATCAATCGAATTTGAAGTTAAATTTTATTAAAATATCCATAAAACATATTTAATATTTTTGTTGTTGAAAAAAATATAAATTTCAGGAAAATCTAGTGAGCATTTTTTACAAAATTCTTTCAATGATTCTGTAAATCTCATAAAGATTTTTATTATAAATTTTCAGGAAATTCACAAGTTTTCAGAAAGAAAATTTCATAAACATTTTAATTAAAGTTTTCAGCGGACTTTTACAAAATTTCATAAATATTTTCTAGAAAATCTTCAGATAGTTTATGGCCCTTCTGAACGAGAATTTCTCACAAAATTTTCAGTAAAATTCTATGGACATTTATAAAAATTAATACAAATTTTTTAAAAAAATTTCAGGAAAACGTCCGCAAAATTCTCTGCAATTCTCAAAAGAATTTCTGACGAAAATTTCCATCAAAATCCTGTGAAAATTTTCAGCAATAGTTACATATTTAGTGATTTAATTTGGAGCGACATAAATTTGAATTCTAAACCTGAATCACAACAATGAAAATTTGCCAAAGTTTTCGTATACTGAAACGATTTCGTTCGAAAAATCTTAAAACGTTCTCATTCTACTTTATGAACTTTGACCTCTCATAGAAATACATACAATTTAATACATCTCGACACACAATACATTCAATTTAACACTAATAACTGCTAGAACTTAAATAAGATTTAAAAGCATTAAAGAGAGGCTATTACCTTTTGTTAGATTTATTTTCCGTTGCACCATAGTCCGCATTTTTGGACAAGATCCGTTGTTTCTCGTCGCCGGTAGCCATTTTACTATTGACGAAAACGACAGAAATCTGTGCTTTTTAACCGTTGGATTCCCGATAAGATTATCAAAAGTAAATCACTAGATAAATTTACATAACTCGAACTTAGTCCGAGAGGGGTCGCTGAAGTACGCCATGCTGCCAGATCGATCGATAGATTGGTTTATATTATCGTGGAGACACAAACATGTAGTCTCCTAGCTCCCTCCTACTCGAGCGAATGTGGAACCGATAGGTGAGTCTTTCTTCTATTCGTTAGCAATCCTAATGTAATATAGAAACTGGCAAAGATCTTTAACTTATTATAATGAAGGATATAAGAGAGCGTTATCGAGTTTCCTCCCTGTTTGCTTTAAACATGGTTTCGTTACTCGGATATTAGTATGGTTTAGCGCTTATTTCCACTGTTAAACGTGTAGCAGAGCACATTTTTTGAGTGTATAAGAGGAATTAACGTGATTCCACTTTAAAAAATTACAATAGAATTGAATAGGAAGGTGGGTCGCTTCGCCAGAAAGGTGGTTCCTCTTGGGAATTCACGCTGAGTTAGTTGCAGTGGGTTTCAAAATGGAATTTAGGTTTATGTGCCATTGCAAGTCTCTCAATTATCCTCGCAGTTAACTTTAATCAATATTGCTTTTCTAGCTTACATAAGATTAGAAAGTGCAACGTGGTGCGAGACTATCCGTATTTTCCGATGCAAAATAAGGATTATTCATTGCCAGGACTAAATTTTTTCCATCGAAAAATCAGTCGAAAATAAAGAAAAATGTACGTGAAAACTATAACTATTGACTTCACTTCCGTAATCTTTCACGCAAACTTCGTTACTATTTATTTAGTGATGGATAGTTGTTCGTTTCTAGGACATTAAACGTCCGAATTTTCGTGTTAAAATTCGTAATTTTTACTTAAAATATTGCATGGAAACGTGCAGATTATGTTCTTTTCCCAGACATCTCATTGTAAGGAGGCAAAAGCTATAGACAATGCTTCCACTAAACATCGATTTTTCTTCATAGAAAGGTAGAAACGATATATAGTGAGCTGTAACGTCCTTTGGGATTGACTCCTGTCTTTACTTCGCTAGAAACTCTTAATTTGTGTTGATGTAGATGTCCATCTTTTACACACCTAACAACCTAACATCCAATCACCCTCTAGCACTTTCCATAATAAGCAAATTGGCAAATTGTGTTTAAAACCGATTTGTATCTTGATCGATGATCCTTTGAGAGATGCACACCAGTCAGTCTTCTGTGCTGTGCAGTGAAACAGCCATTACAGGAGTGTTGCTCTTTCTCCGTTTCCAATCATTAAAAAAAAATTGCATACTCATTTATTGATCGAGTGTTTTTTATTTTATATATTGAATTTTTTAATGTAATTCTTTCACTCATGCATTTTTATAACTTTTAATTGTTGGATAGAAAATGAAATTTTTGGAATTCAAGGTCGTGTGTTAGCATAGTTAGTGAGTGTAACGGGTCATCCGTGCATGCAACCAATTTAGAAAATTTAAAACATCATAAATGCCACAATTTTAATTATTTAAAACAGGAAATATTTTTAGTCTACAAAAAATCTATTTTTTATTTTTATAAATTTTATATAAATTAACCTTTTAAGCGTTCCAATTCAACTAAAACGACAGCCTACACTCATTATATTATCTACGTACTTGACAAAACAGTGGCCATCTTTTAAACTTTAAATTACTTTAGAATGCGACTTATATAAAGAATTATAGTTAAAAACTATTGTTTATTAAAAAAAAAACGAATATTAACCCGGAGAAAGCAACCATAAATTCAAATTTAACCAAAAAGACAGTCCACAATTCTCATACTTTCTGTGGATTTAAGAAAAAAGTGGCTTTCTCCGAGACTTCGAAATGTCTTTAGAAGTTATATGAAGTGTTACAGTTCCAAAAACTTTAGTTGTTTATCTAAAAAACTTTCTTCTTGATTGGCTTTGTGCCCTATCTTTTAAGCACTCCAATTCAGCCAAGAGACTCTTCATACTCCTCGCAGTCTCTACAAATTTTACAAAAAAAAAGTTATAAAGTGCTATCGTTTCAAAAATCCAATTGTTTATCTAAAAAGCGAATAAGAACTTGGAGAAATCAGCTATAAATTCAAATTAAACCAGAAAGACAGTCTATGCTCACAATCTTTATTGATTTAACAAAAAGTGGCCATTCCAGAGACGTGGAAATGTTTTTAGAACGTATATAAAGTGTTATCAAAAAACCAGTTGTTTATCTAAAATTCGAATATCAACTTGGAGAAATCTCGTCCTAGATTGGCTTTGTACCTTATCTTCCATTTTTGGAACGTGACTATTTTGGTGTCGTATATTTATTTGACATCATGATGGAATGACTGTAAACTCGTCACGCACAATTTCTGTTTGGATCATACTTTGTAAAGCTGCAGACAAAAATTTTCTAGTTATATGCTAAATATTTATTGTGAAAAATTTAACAATTGCATTTTATTTTATTTTTTGAAGCATGAGATACGATCGTAAGAAAGTAGTTCACACTTTGGAGTGTGTTTTGATTATATTTGCATCTACACTTCTACAAAACACACCATTAATTAACATGCAAGTGGGGTGTTTCGTGTAATTTCAAGTATCACGTTTTTAACTCGAAAAATTCTAATTGATGGATGCGTTTTTTTTTTTAAAGTAGCCTTTAAACCCATAAAATTTCAATTTTCTACCACAAAACTAATGTAATTCTAATGTAGGTCCATCGATTTTTACCTGTTAAATTACCTGTTACCTGGATCTTTTTAAAACCTTCCAACTCTTCTCTAACATTTTATAAATTATAAAATAATTTTTGCTTTATAGATATAGAGCTGATAGTTTAGAGAAGCTGGCACTTTACCAAATTCTTTCCTGGGTGGGTCTTGGTAATAGCATTATCTGTTATGTTTGAATTATGATTTTATTGTTTGATACAGTGTGTTGGAGTGACAAGGCCACGTGCGTGAACCGGGAGTTAAAAAGCGCACGCGCTATTATTTCTTTAAAAAACTACGTATAAGGTGTGCCACATTCGATTTTAGAAAATGAAGTGGATAATCCTTTTTTTAAAGTGGATTTCTGTTGTCAGTCACGCACTTCACCCCCCGAAACACCTTATGTACTTGCTGCGTATCATGTAAAATTGCAAAAAAGTGGAGTGAGCGTATCAGTTATAAGCAAAATTGCGGCTAAACAGTCGTATAATGTCGACATGAGACGATGATTGTATAATACTAAAGAGATTTGTTGCACGACATTCATTTCCTTCATATTTAATGTGTGTTGTGTTGTAATTGTTTCCTCGCCATTAAAAGTTAACTAAAGCATCACGACATCATTTTCGTTGAGTCAAAACATTAATTTTTAAGTCTTTTTCCTAGCCGTAATCGGATGCTTATCCAATAATCCTTCTCGTTTATCGACTACTTTAATGTTTCTAGTAATAAAATACATTTTTCCCGAATAACGGGAACTATAAATTTTAATAATCTATAAAAATTTTTCCATTATTTTTTGTCTGAAGTAAGCGGAAAAAATATATTTTTATACTATTTTGGAGTTAATTTATAATTTTTGCGCGTTCCGTTATCATTTTGACCCATTTTACACCTCAGAAATACTTTCTTAGAATGATATATTAATCAATAAGTGTTCAGAAAAGTTTGGCATTTATCGAGTCACCTTATTGCTCTATCAATCTATCTAACGATCGTTCCAACTATTTCATCACTAGTTCCCAGATGAACAGGTAACTCATCTTCTTTCGTTTTAAAACTCATTTATAATCCGCATTCTGTTGAGCAGAATATGAAAAAAGACTGATAATCAAGTAAAATGTAAAAATGTGAACTTTCTGCTACTCGCTCTCATTCCCAATTCTTCTTATCTCACTCCTCACTGTTTTATATTCCGCTTACTGATGATATTTTTTCTTACTATACCCTTTTACTTACCTTTCTAGCTCTTCTTATTACCTCTCTTACCTCTAATCCTTCCTACTTATATGCCTTATATTCCTGCTTTTCTTACTGCTCACGTTATCTCGCTTACCTTCAATCTTTTTTTATTTATCTTTCCATTACGTATCCTCACATTCCTGTTATTCTTACAATATTGTTATCTCTCTTATCTCTAATCCTTCTTCTTATTCTCCTATTCCTTACTTATCTAATATTTCTTTAACTGGTTCTGTTATCTTTCTTATTTCTTTTTATTTATCCCTCGTTCCTTACCTTCCTGCTCTTAGTTACCTTTTAAAAATGATATCTAATGAGACGAACGTTTAAAAAAATATATTTGTTTGTAAGAAAGTAAGATATCTTTTCCTATCTTCGTCTTCCTTTTTAAAATTTCAGCTTCAATAGTTAACAAAATTCTCTTATCTAAGTCATTGAACAGACAACTGATGGGTTTTTTTCTATTAATAAATGTGTTTTTATGAGTATTTTCTAAAAATAATCAAAGGTTTTCTATCAATTTTACAACTTATCATTTTCTAAGAATTGAAAAATACATCTTTAAAGAGTAATTTTCCAAAATCTGACCTTTAAAAAGACCACGAAAAGATTTTAAAAAAAAATCGAATTGGAGTAAAGAATTTCTTTTTACTTTTCTCAAATAATTCTGTCGAATGTAAGAATGGAAATTAAAAAGATGGATGATATTAATTCTGGAGTGAATAATTTAATGTGTAACAAGATCACCCTCTGACATTTAAATTGTTATCGTGAATCGAATCTTTCTCTTTCTGTCGGGTGGATAACAAATTTTTCAGAATTGGTGTCTTCGTCCGAGTCATTGCACCACTTCTCTCGTTCTAATACATTAATGAATGCATCAACTTAATTGCTTGATCCAAAAAAAGAAAAAATTTTGCACCCATTGGGACTTTCTTTCTCTCTTCGCATTTTGTCCTAATTCACTTAACGTTAATGTCAAATATTAAATTAACCTAAAATTCTGTAGAAATGTTTTATTTAAATATTATTTCTTGCAGAAACATGTATATCATCCAGTTGTAATTTTACTTGGAAAAACAGAAGATATGCTTCAAACGGAAGATAGTCCTTCCAGCGAAATGTCGCAGATAGTTACTGACAATCAACCTAAAGGTAAAAAGTGAACCTTCCTGTTTACATTTCTGTTTCTCTAACTCTTATTATTTCCTTTCCTGTTTCTCTTGTTTATTCTTTGCCTTTTCACAACTATTCTCCGTTCCTATCATGTAGCTTACCTTTTATCTTGTTTAATTACTTCCCTAATCCTCTTCTTTACCTACTTTCCTTTAGTCCACCTTTCTTCTCCTCTTACCCCTTTCCTTTCAAACTTACACTTCTATTTTTCAAATTAAATGGAGTAAGAAGGTAAAAATTCTTCTCTATTCTATTTAATTACCCTCTTATTCCTAATTTTACCTTCATATTCTTTTACTTCTTACCCTAAATTTACCTTTCAACGATTTACTTCTCTTCCCTTTCGCTTTACTCTGTAGTTTGATGAGAAAGTTTATTAATCTCCTATTCTTTATTTACAAGCCGTGTTTCGGATCCTGCATCTATCATTTGACAGTTTTAATGAAAAAGAGTGTTTTAGCCAGGAAGATCACCATTAAATTTAATTAAACTAAAAATTAATGGATTTAAAATGTCACTTAAGATAATTCGAACGTGATGACACGATCCACTTTATAAACAGTAAGCAAAATATGGGTCAAGTTTTGACGTTAATAACGCCCTAAATAAATGAAATTTTTATATAGAAATGTTTTTTTAGAAAGTAAGCTTTAGATTATTCTATATATTCGGCATTATACCAAGAAATTTCTAAAAAATTCTACAGAAATTTTTAGAAATCACTCAGTTATCAAAGCACCCATCACAGAAGATAAAACTGATTGTATTTTGGAATGATCAGTCTTTTAAATTTAACAATACTTTTATGTGTATAGTTTTATAAATAAAAAACCTTATTTTGACAAAAATATCTCACCATATTTAGAGTTAAAGTAGGGCAATCCTAGATCTTAATCATAATTCAGTTATAAATGGATCTAGTCAACTATTATACTTATATATCATTGTAGGAGATCAGGCAGCATGCACGTCATCGGACTGTCCGTCCAATCGTTCAGAAAGCAGCGAAGATAGCAGAGGAAGGCTGTTGGCCCTGGAAAACGAATTACAGGCTCGAACACGTGACCTGGAAAGGCTCAAATTTAAGGCAAGTTTCTGTAGAAAAGAGAGCGTTAAACTCGATTCCCGAAAGAAACTTTATCAGTTAATAAAGGAAAAGCACGCAACTTTATCGATATTTTTCCAAATTTGTCTCGATAAAATGATCACTTCTTTCAATTTTCTGAGTATTGTTTCTTGTAACCTCTTCTCTTTTTTTGTGATTTCTGAGTATCGCTTTCAACGTTTTCGTACATTTTCCTGTTTTCTGATCATCACTTTTTCTGCTTTATTTACTTCAGTCTTATTTATATTTTATTGTTTTATGTTCTTTGAAGATCATGTTTTGTAATTTTTCACAATTTGACGTTCTCCAAACATACTTTTACGTATTTTTACTATTTATTAAATGTCTTCTGAAAGCTTTATTCGTATTTTTAGTCCTTTCTTAGGCTTTTTGAGTATTACGTTTTCTTCTGTTTATACATTATTTATAATCATTATTTAAATATTTTTCGCTTTATTTTCTCAGATTTTACTTTTATTTATTTTTTTTTTGAGAATTATTTTGATGGTTTTACTTCATTTTGTTTACAATTTTTAAAAACCGCATTTAATATTTTTTGTGTTTTTATTCACTTCACACATTACTTCTTACATTTTATTCAGTGTTACTTTTTATGTGTCTCGTTCTCTGAGTACTTCTTTTAATGCTTTTTCACTTTTTGTTTTTTCTGAATATTGCTTTTTTTTAGCATTTTTGCACTTCTTTTTTCTCTTCATAAATTATTTTTTTATTTTTTTTCTATTTTTTGTTCTCTAAATAATGTTTTTTACACATTTTCCTGACTTTTTGACATTTTTCCAATTTATGTATTTTTATTTTTTATAATTTTTATGTCACGTTTTACATTTTTTAAAGCATAATTCTTTCGCGTTTTCTTCATTTCTGCTCTCTCTTTACCATTCCACATACTTCTTGATTTTTTTCTCCCATTTAAAATGTGTTTTAACGATCACCTTTTGTATTTTCTGCGTTCTTTTATATTTTTTAAGTATAAAAATAAATTCCTTTTTTGAAAATGACTGCAATTTCATAAATATACAGCCAAGTTTAAACGCAAAAGTACGTTTTTAATATATTCTAAATGCCTTTAACAGATCATTATGTACGTGTTGTTCGTGTATCGAATATAGAACGTGGTTTTACCTGAGTTGCGCGTCACTGTAATAGAGCCTAGTTTAACATTACAAACAGCCACACCCGTCTCGAAATGTTTCGTGCGAACTCCAAGATCCCAACAGATGCTCTGGACTGTGTCGACGGAACAACGACAATGTCAAGGGTGAATGTAGACACGATTCGTTTTATTATACCTGTGACAATTGACAAATTAGTTATTGAGACGATTCTAATCGTCTTGTATCCTGTGACCTTTTTAACCTTTCAACTTCGATCGTGAACGTATCGAGTGTTTGGCATCTGATTCGAAAGTCTATCCTTTGATAAGTTTCTTCTTATTTTCTTCAGCCTTTTTCTTGCAGTTTATGCTTTTTTGCTTTTTACTTTACATTAGCCTGTATTTTGTAGCCTTTATAAAGTATTTCGGTCTGTAATCTTATGAAATGCACTTGTTTTAGACTGCATTTTATAGCCTGTACCATTTTTCTTTTAGCTTTTATTCTTATTATTCATTAGCCTATTTAGCCTTTCTACGTTTTGTCTATTTCGTTTATTTACTTATAGTTGAAAATGTTTCTTAGTTTTTTAACCTATTAACAGCCTTTTTATAACTTTTCGTAATCTGTTAGCCTATATTTTATTCCTTCCTTTATCTCATTTGTGGTCTTATAATTTTCCTTACAGCATTTTATAACCTTACTTTGAAGCCTTTTTCACATTTTAACTTGCATTCTCTAATATCTATATTATTTACTATATTTAGCCTGTTTTTAAATGTTTAGAACTATTCTTTTATTCTTGTAATATACCTTGCAATTTCGTCTTTATGTATCATAATTAGCCAGTTTTTATATATGATCCATACTTTTAACCTTATAATCTATCTTAACTTGTGTTTATAGACTTTCTTCAAAAGTTGGAGCCTATATACGTCTTTATAGCCTATTTTTTTTTCTGAATAAAACTTGAAATTTATGTAAATTAGAAAAACAAAAGAATAAAGGAATAGCCACGAGAATATGTCATTAATGGACACGAAACTTAAGGAATATTTATATAGTTAAACAAATAAGATATCATCTTCGTCAAGGAAACAATTTGATTCTAAAAATAAATTAAGTATTCGTGTGTCTGCGTTTATATTCTTTAGTTTATTTTATTGTTTCCGGAAATTTATATATACCAGATTATATTTTTTTAAACTTAAGCACTTATTCTTGTATCCTGTTTCTTTAATTTATACATTTATAATATTTTTATAACTTTCAAGGTACAGTACAGTACATATTTCTGTAGATTTTATTTTAATATCTTCTTATTGCCTTTTTAAAGAGGATTATAAGTAAAACCTGTTAAAACCAGGCTAAAAAAAGGATATGAAACGGACATTCTTGTGGCTTTTTAGTCTGTCTGTTCAGGTTTTAATCTTGTAATATGTTAAACTATATTTATTCCTTTGTTTATTACTTTTATAACACTATAAGCCTTATTTATAACTTTTCTTTATATCATTTGTGGTCTTATTATAGTTTTTCACTGCTTCATTTAGCATGCATTCTGTAAGAAAAAGCTTCACATACTTTAGTAGATAAGACATTCTCTTAGCTTGCTTTTAAAGTCTGTAAAACAAATATTAAAATAAAGTAGGCTTTATTTAGTCTACATTCTTATAGTCTCTTCTAGTTGTTTCTTTTATAGTCTTAGAATAATTTTTGCCTGTTTTCTTTCAAATTCTGTCTTGTAGCCTATTTTAAAGAACTGTCGTGTAGCCTTAATTATTTTACCCTATTCTATTAGCCTATATTTATATTGTCCAAACTTTTAACTCTGTGTTGTTATAGCCTATATTTAGCTTAACTTTTAGCCTATTAAAGCCTATTTCTCTGTACTTTATAGACTTCTTTTTCTTGTATTTTCTCAACAAATTAAACGTTAAGAAACATGCAATTGAATTTTTAAACTATTTTAATATTTAATTAAGTATCCATTTAATCATTTAGTATTTACCTTTTTCTTCGTCTTTTAATATTTTACAATGAATTTTATGATGTAGAAAAAATCATCCAACACGTTGAGAAATTTGAAATTTTTCTTTGTTACTCGAATAGTATTACTGTACTTTTGTAATAATAAAAGCACAGCAATATTAAAGCTTTCTATCAAGTACACTGTAGTCTTGTAGTATTGTAGTAATGATATTATATTTCATGTATTGATATTTATGATATTATAGGAAATATATGTTACTATATTACTGTAGTAGCATAATATACAAGTACTATAGCACTGCTACATATTGTTGTAATATAGTATATATTTCACATAAATTATTATAGTAACCCAATATGCAAATTTTTAACACCGTAAAGTATACTATACACTATTGCTTACAGTAATACAGCAAAGACATTACATTTTAAATTATCATATGACAATTTACAGTATTCAATTATTGTAGCACACTATAATGTTACATATTACTGTACTACTGTAATAATAATAATAATATTAGTGTTAAATTATTATATTACTGCAATAGCATAGTATAAAAATATTATGCCATTATAATGTATATTAGTATACTGTACTGTAGTGCAGTAAAGTACAGTAGTAGTGAATAGTATATTGAACTATTATAGTAACATTTTTATATGTAGCATTACTATAACAGCACATATTATGTATTATTATTACTTTAGTAGTACAGCACTATATTATTATGCTACAAAAATAATATAATAATGTCTGTTACTGCGTACTGTATTATTATATTATCAGAGCACACCGTGTTATTACAGTAATAATAATACAAGATAAAAACTTTAAAAGTTTGGTTTTCTGATATTTTTAATAGCAATTTTATTAAATTTATGCATTGAATAAGTTAAATGTTTAATGTTTTTTGAAATTTTTAATAAGTTAATTAAATTATTTCTTGAAAATCCTAAAATATTTTTAAAAATTAATTGATTAATTAACCAGTTTAAAGGTTAAATTTCTATTTTTTAAATTTAGAGTTTTATTAAAAATATAATTTTTTAAGTTTTAATCTTTTTCTATTGTTTCCTATAATTTAAATCTTGAATTTTTTTATTTCATGCATTTTTATACAAAGAAAACACAAAAAATACTTAGAAAATCTTTTCAAAATCACATTTTTTTCAGATTGACAAAATGAAAACTCAGCAAATTTCTGGTGTATCGACTCCCAGAAGGGATACAAAACCAATAAATATAAGAATAGAGCTGGAACGACTCAAAAAAGACAAAAAAGTGATGGCAGAATTGCTAAAACAGTCCCAACAAGAAATTGCAAGAAAAGAATCCATCAACAAGAAACTTAAACAAGAAAACGATAAATTAAGCAGGACGTTATCGTCGTTAAGAACAAAATTAACAGAAAATGGACGTAACAAACACCTTCTTGAACAATTAGAAAAGGTACGCAACGAGTTATCACTACTCACGAGTAAAAGTGAGCGAATGGAACACTATAGTGAAGGTCAGGACATTCAAGAGCAGAGTCGAATCATAGAAGATCTCATTGTCGAAAAGGAGCAATTGAAGCAGTGTTTATCAGCAATTTATTTAAAAATAACCCCCTATGCAGTTAGTTTACCTTCTCGTGACACTCCTTCGCCCGTCTGGACAGAAGATGTTCGAAATACTTTCGAGCAGTTTTGTCAAGAGAAGATAAAACTGGAAAGGGAATTAGAGCATCTCAGACTAAGAGTCAAGTCTAGGAACGACTCTCAGGAGGACAATAAAAATAATTACGAAACAACAATAAGCGAATGTTCTACCGAAAGTAAAGTCGATTGTGACATACCCATGAACATTTCTGAAGATCTGGATAGGGATCTTTCTCCTATAAATGTATGTAATGAGTATTTCAGTTTTCGTATACAGTTGTATGGCGAATTTAGTATGTTGTGGAGTTTTTTAAAGAAAATCTTCATTTACATATGGATTTCCGTTCAGAAATGCATGCAAATCTAGTTCGATTCTCCCATTTGAAATTCAGATGGACGTTTTCTTAATAAAGTTCCTTTATAGATTCGGATATGAGAGCTTTTTAATGAAAAAAATCGAATTTATTTGCGTTATTTAAAAGTGAATATCTCATACATAACTTTAAAGGCACAAACGATTGTTTAAGAAAATGTACAGGCAATATATAATTAAGAAAAATTTAGATTTTGTATTAAGTAATATAAACTGAGTAATTAATATTGGTTAGTGTTAAATATTGATAATATAAACTGGGTGGGAATCGAACACAGTTTTAGGAAAATTTATTTTATTGTCATTGAGACGTGGATTCGGTTCCCATTTGATATACATATATACAATGTGTATACACAGATATATGTCCAAAATTACGTTGTTTTAGTTCGTACTTTAGTCAAACAAATTTTTTTTGTCTGAAACGACGTGGGTTCGGTTCTAATCCAAAGAGAAAAACGTTTTCTTACAATAAAACATATTTTTCCTTTGCACAGGACCATCGAGATATGGAAGTTTGTAAGTGGAAAGAGATGTATCAACTAGTGTGCGACAAGTACCGTTCAACAGAACGCTCTCTACTAGAAAACGAGAAACAGGTAAATAAATTTAAATTAATTCTTTTTCATTTGTTGCTGTTTTTATATGTTTTCTTTAAATTACAGTTAGATTGCATTTATTCTTCTCTGGAGAATACCGCTCGACATTTTTTTGGAGAAAACACAAATTTCACTAAACTAACTTCCGATAGTGCCATCAAAGTCATCAATCGCCTATCTGAAGAATGCACACATCTAAAAGAATCTCTAAAAAAAGTCAGAAAAGAAGAAGAGAATCAATTTTATTTACAAAATTGCATTATAGATGCGGAGGTAAACTTTAATTTTTATTTAAAAAATCAACTTAAAATATATAAATTCTGATAAAATTAATTGAAAATTCAATTCTGTAAATACTAAAATATTATTTTTTAATTTAATATTTTAAAGAAAATATTACAGAAAGATGGAAGGACTACCTCAACATTGAAAACAGTTATTGGTGATCTAAACATTGCTTCTAACATGGAAAGTAAATTTGCTTCCTTAGCGGAAACAATGCTCCAAATTTATACAAATCAACTAGAATGGGTTAAACAATTGGAACATAATAATGCACAGTCCACTTCAGAAGGTAGGAATTTATGAGAAACACATTACATATGTTTACAACTTTTATTGATGTGAGGATTTTTTGATAGGTGAAGATGCTCACTCATCATCTCCACAATGTAAAGATACAAGTAGTGATAAACAAAGTGATGAAGAAGTAGATAGCAAGCGGGTTAACGAAGGGAATTTATTAAAAGCCAACGAAAATGAAAATGAAAAAATTGAAAATTCTAAACATATTGAAGTTAATGAAGAATTAATTCACAAGAGTGATGTGTCGGATATTCATCAGATGCCCGAAAATAACACTTGTGTTGAAGATGAAGTTGTTGAACAACAGCACACAGAATTAGAAAGTAATCCAATAAATCCTACTGAAGAAAGAACAAGTGAAACAGTGATTAGTGATATTCCAGAAAAGGAAAGTGAAGAAACTGTAGATAAAGAAGGAGAAACAGTGACTAACAATAATAATGTTAATGTAAATGAAGAAAAACAAGATGATTCTGAATCTGAATTTAAAGCCGAGGATCAAGAACTGCAAGTAAAAAGTGAAGAAAATTTAGAAGCACAAAGTCAGAATGAAGATGAATCAAAAATACTAGACGAAAATGAAAAAGACAGCGATCAAGAAGCACAGTCTGATGATGAAAATAGTCAGAAGCTACCAAATGAGAATATTGAAGTACAAGAAACCCCTATTGAAAAAGAATATAGTGAAGAAATAGCATCCGAAAATCTAGAAGAAAAAGAAAAGCACACTGATAATGAGTGTAGTCAAGAAGAACAGAAAGAACAATGTCAGAATGAAAATAGCCAGGAGGATCCATCTGAGAATGCAAATAGTCAGGAAGAACCATCTGAGAATGAAGGTGCTCAGAAGGAACAGGCATCATCTGAAAACGCATCTAAGAATTCAGATGGTCAGGAGGAGCCATCTGAGAATACAAATGATCAGGAGGTACCATCTGAGAATACAAATGATCAGGAAGTACCATCTGAGAATGCAGATTGTCAGGAAGAACCACCCGAGAATGCAAATGGTCAGGAAGAATTATCTGAAAATGCAAACGATCAGGACGAGCCATCTGAAAATACAAATGATCAGGAGGTACCATCTGAGAATGCAGATGGTCAGGAGGAACCATCCGAGAATGCAAATGGTCAGGAAGAACCATCTGAAAATGCAAACGGTCAGGAGGAACCATCTGAAAATACAAATGATCAGGAGGTACCAACTGAGAATGCAAATGGTCAGGAAGAATCATCTGAGAATGTAAATAGTCAAAGGTGCTCAGGAAGAACAGGAATCATCTGAGAATGCAAATGATCAGGCGGTACCATCTAAGAATTCAGATGGTCAGGAGGAGCCATCTGAGAATGCAAATAATGAGGAGATACCATCTGAGAATGCAAATGAGCAAGAAGCACCAGTTGAGGATGAAAGTAGTAAAGATGTGTCAGTTGAAGACATGGAACAGGGTATATCCAAAAGTGTCGTTGAAGAGAACGTACAAGCTGAGAATGCAAATGACCTAGAAACACCTTGTAATGCTGTTGTGCAGGAATCACAAACTGAAGACGTAAATGATCAAACAATACCAAGTGAAAATATAGATGCAGAAAATATAAAGACCGAAAAGGTAGATGATCAGGAAACATCAGCTGAGAATGAAGAAAATCAGAAAATGTTAAGTGAAAATGAAAGTAAAGATGACAAAGAAACAATTGAAATTGCGGACGATGTAAAAGATGACGATGATGATGAACATACTAAAGAAATGTTAACTGAAAATGCCAATCAAGATGATGAGAAGCAAAATGAGTCAGTGGAGAGTGAATCAAAACAGGAAAATGAAGAAAATATACAAAGTGAATCTCAATTAGATGTTCAGGAAAGTACAGATAAATCAGAGGAACATGGAGTTGAGGTAACGGAAGCCGATGACACTCAGGAAGGAGAGGGTAAAACTGATAATGTTGAAGAAATTATTGAAAAGAAAGAATCAAACGAAGTAGAAGGCAGTAATACACAAGAAGAACAATCCACAGAAACTAAACAAGATGAGGAAATTGGCGAAGGAGATTCAGAAAAAGAAGCAGCGGACAAAGACGAAGATTCTAAACAAAATTCCGCAAGTGACTTACAAAACGAACCTGCAGAAAATGTCCCTGAAACTGATTGTATTATAAATGATGAAAAAAATTGCAATTCTCATCAAGATTCTTTAACAGAAGTATCGGAACATTGTGAGAAAGAATTAGAAGCGGATAACATCAAAGATTCAAAACATGAGGATGCTGAACAAAACGATATTAATGAAAGAAACGAAGAACAGGAAGAACAATCTTTGCAAGACAGCACTGGAGATTTTGATAAAGAGATATCGAAAAATGAGTCAGATGTCTCTGTTGAGAAGCAAGTAGAAGCTATTCAAGATGATGAAGATAAAGAAGTATCGGAAGATTCGAAGAAAGAAGAAGAAGAAACTACAGAGAGTTTGGAAAAGGAACAGTTAGATTCAGAAGAAGAAAAAACAAAACAAGATGTTGAAGAGCGTTCCGAAGAAAAAAGTGTAGAAATCCACAAAGATGAAGTGAAGTCAACAGAAGAGGAACCTAAACAAGAACTAACTAATGAAGATAGCGAAGAAAAATGTCAAGAAAACGGAAGCTTAGAAAATAAAGACGCTGCTATTGAAGCTTTACATGCTGAAGTTGCCACTGCTGTTGAAGATGATGATGAAAAAACAAATCAAATCGAAGAAACTGTGGATCAAGATGTAGATAAATCAAAACCTAACGAAATGAGTTATGAAATAAAGGGAGAAGAATCAGAAGACCAAGATAAAAATGATACAGAAGGAGATGCATTATCTGAAATGAAAAGTGAAGTTGCAACAACAAATTTAGAGGAAGAAGCTGCTGAAAATTCAATTTCTGCTCAAAACGTGGAAGATAAGTCTGTAGTTGTAGATTCAAACGATGAAAAAATAAATCCTGAGGAGTCTGAAAGCGAAATTGTAGAAAATGATCAATCTGTTGATGAGAGCATATCTGAGAAAATAGCTGCGGAACAAGAAAGCGAAAATTTTGGCAATAATTCTGAAGCTGACAATATTCCAAAAATTTTAAAAAGTGATGTAGATTGTGCAGTTGAAACTGATCAAAATTCTCAAAATGAAAACCTAACAACAGACGATCCAAAATTTCTTTTTAGTAACGATGTGAAGATTGTCATTAATTCAGCAAGTAGTGAAGTATCAGAAAGCACTGATGACCAGCTCTCAATTTCTGCTCTACCTCCTTCAAACTTGGATAATCATGACTTGGAAGACGTAGATGACATAGATGTAGACGCTACTCCTGTCATAGAACCAATTATAACTAAAGAAAAAGTGGAAACAAAGGAAAACCTCTTTTACTCACCTCCAATTGAAGCAGAAGGTTCAAAAAACGGGAACGCATCTCCAACATCTGATAAAGAAGCAGAGTTAAGCCAAGAGAGATTCGCAAAAAGGATTGAGGAGCTCGAAACGGTATGATTTTTTAAAATTAAAATTCGGTTAAACTAAGTACTAAAAGACGTTTGAATGAAAATTTTACCATTTAAGCGTGCTGAAGCGACCTTCAGCACTCTTAAATATTTATTAACCGTATAAAAATCTGTACAATTAATAAGCGTACAGTTTTTATGGTTAATAAATTATAAAAAAAATTTCAATAGGAGATGTTGGAGATGAAAGAAGTTAGACAACATCATATGCAGGTGGCTTGTGAACTAGCGGAACAATTGGAAGCCATGAAGAAACGTGAGTCAGAACTTCGAGAGCAATTAGCATCGGCCGAAAAGAATTCATCACTAGAAGTAGAAGGGATGTACAAAGAATGGAGTGGAAGAGAACAAAGTTATCAAGACGAAATCGCAGCTTGGAAGGAGAACGTTCAACAACAGAATTCAGTTTTGCAAAGGTTGAAAGCTGATCTCGATCAAGCGCAACAAATGGTACAACAAAAAGAACAAGAAATTGCACAGCTGAGAGGTGAAAGAGGTAAATTCTAATAAACTAATTCTAGAAAATATACTTTTAAATATCATATTTTCATTGTTGTGGTTTTTGAAAAATCAGATTTATTGGAATCGGAAACTCAAACTTCGGATCAAGAAGATGCTTCAAATTCTAAAGAATTGAAAGCAACAGTCGAAAGATTGAGGTGATAATTGTTAAAATTCTCGATTTGAGAACAAAAATTTTGAATATTTTTGTTTAAGTATTGTTTTAAATTAGAAAATCTAGCGAACATTATCAACAGCAACTGCTAGAGAATAGGACTGTCGTAAGAGAAGTTAAATCCATCATAGAAGGTTCTGTGGCTCAATTGGTAACTCTTAAGGCTATGGGAACTAAACACATGAAGAGGGAATATGTTTATAGAAGTAATTTGGCTCAGGTATAGCAAAATTAAGGCATAATAACTTCTATATTTAACTTATAAGATTGATGCAAAAGATGTATTTTATAGAAAGAACAAGATCTGAAACACCTTCAACAAGAGCTGGATAGACAGACAATAGATTCTAGATCGAAAGGGAATATCATAGATAAGCAAAGACAAGAAATTAGGTATATTTCTGTTGTAAAAATTTTTAAAAATTAATTTGAATTATTGATAATAACTTTTTCGTTTGATTAGATTATTGAAGGAAGAATTGAGGAAGTACCAAAATGACATAAGTGCCAAAGTAGAGTTTATCGATGAACTTCAAAATAAAGTGCAAAATCTAATGATGTCAGAAGTTAAAGAAATTAATATAAAGCCAAACGTAAGTGTTAAAAACAATCAAATTTTTCATCTCTACAGATCATTAAACGAATAAATTTAAAAATATTCAATGGAGTTCGCGAACTATCAATACAAGATGAGAATAAATAAGCATGTGGACTATTTACTTTATAATCACAACTTGAAATAAACTCAACGAAGGTGATCGCGAGCCATCGACTGAGAATCAGTTACTGTTTAAAAAATTGTTCAGTTTAATTATTATTTCAGTTTTTCTAACCTTTTTCTTTTACACTGACATCACATCTGTTAGTCGTACAGTACATTGATCCGAAAGACTCATCGTGAATTGCGAACTACCTGTTGAGAATGAATAATGCATGAATATTTTTACTTTACATTATCATAAATAAGATCTTCATTAAATCATAAACACTTCCTACTGCAGATTTTTAAAGATGATTAAATAAATTTTTTATTAGCTCTCGACTAGTTTTGGAAATAAGTTTGTAGAGATAGGGAATATTAATGTAGTTTTTATATAGAAATTAATGCACATTTTAGCACAGTAATTACCGAAAAACATGAGTCAAGAATTCAATTTATTTATTTTTATATTTTTTTAGTACAGAGAAATATTTTCTGTGGGAGAAAGATGTTTAGAAGAGCAACATCTACTTCACTTAGAAAAGCAGAAAGATGATCTGAGAAGACTGCAAGAAAGAATTATTCAGTTGGAAACGAAATTTCGAGAATCAGACAGTGAGTCATTATTTAGATTGCTAAAAGTATTTTTTTAATGTTTAAAACTGTGTAATCAATCAAACAATAACGATAATTTTAAGTTTTGTTTCATAAAAATCGATCTGAAACACAGAAAAAGTGCATCATCCATTCATTAAGCTCATTGACATTCAACAGATGAATCAAGAAGTTTACAAATTTTAATGCAAAATTTAATTTAAATCAATTAATTTTAAACATTTATAAACTGTTATGTCTTCACTTCTTTTAGTATATGGATTTGACCCTTTGTACTATCCAAAAACTTCACTTTTATTAAATTTTCTAATAGTGATTTTAGAACAAGTTGGAATTTTCATAGCTGATGCTGCACTCAATTTTCTCATTAATCGATTATTGGAGTGATTGATCACTTCTAATGGGTTATTATTAGGTGCTGGTGAAGCTAGTGATCAAGCACAATCTACGAGGAGTCATCCTGGTTCAGCAGGATCAATCGATTCCTTATCAGAGAGTGACAACCTTTGTCTATGTAAAAGAAAAGATTATAACAAGATCCTAAAATTAAGTGAAGAATCGGTAAGTCATTGGAATAACATAGTGTTTCCCAACCTTTTTCATTCGATATTCCCATTCTATATACCTTTATATTAGTCAAAAATAGTAGTGATCGCGAACCACCGATTGAGATCATTATCATCATTAGCAATTTCGTTCGCCTTATATCAGCAATAAACTCACTACAGAGTGTTTCCCAATCTTTTTTATTTGGCTGTCATCTTTATGTGTCATTACACTAATAAGAAATACAGCGGAGATCGCGAACCACCAGTTAGGAATCTAACTGAATGGATAAATTTATCTTAGTAAGCTTTCCCAACCATTTTTATAATTCGATCTTCTCTGTAGATAATTAATATTAATCAAAACAGTTAGTGAAATCCAAACCACCGGTTGAAAACTGAAAAAAAAAAACTTTACATTGTCATTAAGACTGATGATATAGACTTAACGTTTCCCAACCTTTTCCATTGGACGACTCTTTCTATACACCTCTATATTAATCTTAAAATATTTGGGGATTACGAACTATCGGCTGGGAAACACAACCGTGTAATTACTTTCTTTTCATTATATTTCTCACATAATTTAATTTATGATGCAGTACTTGAATCTATTAACAAGTCTAATCGTATGCTTGGGCATATCGGATTTAAAGTACAACAAATCTCTTCTACACCTAAATTGGTCACAGTGTAAAGATGTTGTGTCGGAAAGGAAAGCGAATCAAAAGAAAATATTAAAATTCATACAAATATTGAAAAACGAAGAAAGAAAATTCAGTCCACGACCCATTCATTCTAACAGAATCAGGTGAGTTTCATTAAATAATTAATATAATATACCTCCATTTTCTCTTTCTCTATATAGCCTATATATATATATATATATATATCAATATATACGCATATACACCAGTCGACACCTTTCATTTTTAGTATGGTTAACATTAATTTAAAGGGAACTATTCTCGTTTATATCGATTTATATCGAATCGATTCATCATTAAGGATCTATTTTTTAATATGTACGATTATCAAAAAATCGATTTATATTCTTATCAAATTTTCATATATTCGAACAGGTGTTCGGACGAAAGTGAAAGCAGAAAGGTAATACCAAAGGTAAATAAAATACTTTACAAGGGTTTGTAAATTAAATAAAAATACTACTTCTGTGTTTTTTCTTTTTTTTTGGAATCTAAAAAGAATTTTTTGAATTTAATAGCCTCTTACTCCTCCTAATGGACAATCATCATATATATCGGATATGATTAGGCATGCGGAAGATAATTTGGATAAAGAGAGATTAGTAGTGAAAGGAGATGCCAAAAAATTTGTAAGGACCCTTTTTTTTAAATTTTGTACTGTTGACCCTCGATTTTGCGGACCTCGATATAATGAATTCGGTAACATTGGAACAAATGTGCTTGTTTCCGAGGCATCTGCGGAAATACAGAAATTTAGAATATAGGATTGATAATGTTATGGGCGAGCTAATGGCAGCTTAATCACTGTTTAGATTCACCTTCTATGCTTTCTAATCCTTGTCTTTGTGCAAACTATCCATGATTAAGTATTGTTCTTGTCAAAGGCCATCGATTAAACTAGGTAGAAGCGGGTTTAATCAGGCTTTTAGATCTAAACTTTGTTTCTGTAATCGACCCTTAGTGTTTGGTATGTTTGCTAGGCGGCGTATCGATTGTTAGTGTTTACGTCCTTGATTATTACCGCAATTCCCATTTTTCATTTTTTGACTGGGATAGACATCACGTGTTTGAAAAGACCAGTGATATCACATTTAACAACTTCAGAAGTACTGTACTGTTCAGTACGTCCTTGTTTGAAAGGTGTGGTATTTGTTTTCTTATATTTACAACAATATGGACTCTGTCGCTCGTCATATCGTTTTTCTGATATAAAGATCGTTTGTAATTGGCTGCAACTTCGAATAAAACGCATAATCAGCATAGACTTCTTTTTATTAGTTCGTTATATAGGAGGTCAACAGTATAAAATATTTTTTTAAAACATAAAATGCAAATTTGCATTTTCTAATTTACTATTTTCCTTTACTAATTTAAAAACCTATGTCAATATCCGTATATTATTTATGGGGTATTTATGGGGTGGCAGATCTTAGATGGAAACAATCTCTCACCCTAAATATTTACCACTATAATTCAGTTTTTGCAAAATATAAAAATTTACACTTTAATCTTAATATTCTTTATCTTCCTTTAGAAAAAAACACTGTTTACGACTGTACTATTACAAGGATTGCTAAAAGAGATCGCGATCCACAGATTGGGAAACACAATTCTCACTTAGAATTTATTATTTATATTTTATAAGATTATTTTTAATATAAAATTTTAATCTCTTACTATTATAAAATTAAAACAAAAACAATTAGACTATAGAGATTTTTCTGTGATTAAATAATTTACCATTGTCATATCCATCATCAACAAATTATGAAATATTTAACTTTATATTTTATAATATATTATATATTTTTTAAATTTAATTCAGCTAAATTAAATATTTTAAAATATAACAGACACCTTGGCGACCCGTAACGTCTATTGCAGATAGGAGAATACCATTAGAGTTGAAGAATGGAGAAATTTTGGCTTTACTTGGTGTAAGTCAAGCAATTTCAGTATTATTACATATTGCTGATCACTAAAATGATCCTGCAATGGGATCAGCAAAATGTCATTATATTGCTGATCATAGTATCAGCCATTTTGCTAATCACATCACTATTGCTGATCGTATAAAATGAACCTGCGATGTGATCAATGAGTGATTAGCCTATTTGTAAATTGATCAGTAATATATTACTGATCGCATTGCTGAATATTTTGCTGATAATATCGTAGATCCCATTTCTGAGCAGTTGCTAATAATTTTGCTGAGCGTGTAAAAGTATCCCGAAATATGATCGGTAAAATGATTAATTTTGATATTTCACCGATCACATTTTAGGATACTTTTGTCAGCGATGTAACTAGGGGGGACAAAGGTGGGTACGTGCCCGGGTGCCGACCTCGGAGCGCCAAAATGAGCCTGTAGAATTTTTTCTAATTAACAGGAGCGCCAGGTATGAGGTTTGCCTCGGGCACTGAAACTGCTCGACACGGCCCTGAATTTTGTGTTAATACAATGCTATTAGCACGATATAAGCAGTGTGATCATATTGCTGACCATTTTTTTTATAACTGACGATATTCTTTTTCTTTAGTCTTCAGATACAAAATCAGTGCCAAAATCTTCAATGAATTCCAAGTAAAGTGAAGGAAAGAGACGGACACGCTGTGATATATCATCCAAAGTATTACGAAGAAGGATATTTCTTTTTTTTAGAATTAGTTTTGTTGGAATTAGGAAAGAGTGGAGGGACTCTTGTAAAACATTTTTATCGCTCGTTTTTAAGAAGTATATACCCGGGATTCGACAAGTGTAGCCGATTTTATCTGATGTTGTCGACGTTATTTTTATGAAAAACCCTTGTTGATTATTGGCAATAAAAATACAACTGTACAAAAAAGAAATGTGTACGTGAAAGATTGATTAAAAAAAAATTTAAAAAAATAAAAAATTCAGTTTTGCTTCTTTATTTTATTCTTCATTTATCACAATAAAGTACTATCATATTTATTAAAATAATGTTCAAATTTCACAAATTTGTAAGAAAATTTCAATTAAAATTTCATGAAAATTAAGTTAAATCTTCTTAAACTTTGCGAGATAAAATTGAATTTTTTAAAATTATTTCATAAAAATTGCATATTTCTGATTCTATTAGAAAATTTCTGCTTTGGAAACATTCGTGAATTTTGCAGAATTAACAACAGATGGAGCCAGTGATTCCATTTTCACCCCTAAAAACGTCACTTGAAACGTTAAATCGAGGAACAATTATGCTCCGATTTAACGTTTCCAAAACGCCTTGTCGTTATAAAGATTCCCGACACTTGTTATCTTTTTTGTATATTTTTGTCTTTTTGTCATTGGAAAATGATAAATTAAATTAGATTTTTTTATGATTCCTTAATATTTTTTCAAGTCAAATCAGATATACTTTTACATACTTGATATCAGTTTCCTTAAATAAACCCTAAGAGAAGCTATTAATTTGGGCTTTTAAGTTGCGGAGAAAGCATTAAATGGTGGGCTAAATCCTGAGATAATGTTAAATAGAAGTTTCAATCTCATACAAATAATTTGCGTAGATTAAAACGGGGAATAATAAAACCTTGCATCAGGTTAATAAATGCCAAGTGCAGCAACGTGTTGCCTGGATTTCTGACGAAGATGGTCGAGTGCCATACACGACATCTCTAAATTTTTATCTATTTGAGTGGCTACAAAGGGTAAAATAAAATTTTGTAAACTTTAAAAATTATATTATTTAATTAAATATTTAAAATGTTTACCTGTTAACGTTTGTCCTGTCCAAGAATGAGATCCTTTGACCTCTGACATAGTGCCGTTGCCATTAGTAATAATGTAACTGAAAATAGAAAGACAGTTAAATGATACAGAGTAATAACAAAAACGTAAAATTTTATTTTACAGTTACAAAATACAGTGACGTTAACAAAAACAGGGATAGATTACCTGTAATTTTCTCTAGTTGACGAGTAATGGGTGTGATTCCAGTTGGACACATCATGCAATGTCAGGGATTCGTTGGACACAATGGGTGGTATAGGGTAAGGATATTCGGTAGGTGGTAAACACCCGGTGTGCGGAGTGGTTCCATCCACATTTATCTAAACAATTTACACACTAGCAACATATCCGACAATGTTAAAATATTCTGTAACCGAACTAACCTGAGTGTTTAAGTCTTTGGTGTACGGTTCCATCTGAAATGTAGAGAAATTCAATTGCGTGAAACCATTAGATGCCGGAGGATTGGCCATAGAACCGGACCAGATACAATTACCTGAAATATGATTCATTAAAGATTATTAAAATTTCACGAATAAATAAGAAAATCCGAGTGAAATTAGTTACTTTGCTGTAAAGAAGAATCCACATAAGACGGGTACATATGGACTCTTGAAGATTCTGAAAGCTTTTCAACTTGTTTCCTCCACCTTGCTCTTCTGTTACTGAACCATACCTAAGAAAATCAATATGTATGACTCAAAATTAGCAATTCTCTCACAGGATCATTAAAATTCTGTATTTTATGAAAATTTCTGTGAAAATCACCTGTATTCTGGCTTCCGATAGTTTCGTGTTACGTGCAATCTCTTCTCTTAAGTAAATATCCGGATATTGACTTTTGCAAAAAACAGATTCTAGTGATTCAAGTTGTTCTGAAGTAAAAATTGTTCTACTTCGGCGTTGTTTCCTTTTCAGTTCTATTCCCGGTTCCGATTCACAATCAGAATCACTGTATTTGTCTAAAAAATATAAAAACACGCAAAGACAATTAAATCTGCTTTTTTTCAGTGTATTGCTTTAGTTCGAATTGTTTTCTTTCATGTCATTATTTCACTTTAAGACAGGTGACTCTAAAAATTACGTCAAAATGACATAAACGAACACATCCTTCATTTAAAAAAAAAAAAAAACATTTTTCATATTGAAAGTCCAAAATCTTTCTTTCAAATTATTTTTGTTTTTTTAGAATTCTTTTTTTGGTTTTTCGAAGTTTATATCTAATAAAATCTATCATTAAAATTTTTTAGCAAAATAAAAGACAACATTAAAAAATATTAGGAATATTAAGACATTAAAATATTAAAAATAAAAGAAATTAATAAATATATATATTTTTTTAATTTGTAGGACCTTTTTTTCAAATGTTTAGTGTAAAAACATGTAAACATCTTAATAAATAGAAATTTTTTGATGATTTTGTTCCTTTTTTAGTATTTACTACATTTAAGTTATTTATATATGTTTTGATAGTAAACTAGATTACTAACAGACAAATAATTAAGTATTGTACAATAAGAGTTAATTACTAAACTACTAATTCTACTACCAGTTAGTAGTTTCTAGTGTTAATTAAACATTTGACTATTATCTTTAATTTACTGTCAAATAGTCTAATACTTAACTACTAATAGGCCTACTAGTAGTTTCTTAGACTTTACTAGTTAATTACTAGGCTATAAGTAATTTTAATAGACTACTTTGACAGTAATTTAGTGAAGTATCAGTATATTTTTACTATCAAAAACATAGTCAAATCTTAACTTGGCCCCACGTTAATAAATTATTAACAGTGGGCTAATAATTAATTATTTTCATCAATTTTATACTTTAAATTATTTTTAGAGCAGCTACTTAAAAAAATGTGATATATGTACTGTACTATACATATATCAAGAATATTAATGTGTTAAGAAAGTATTATATACAGGCATACTATGTAGCCTATAAACCAGTATCTATACTCTATATTGTAAAGCTATAAACAGGATTTATACATAAACTAAACGAACTATAGCCTAGAGCTCTCCTCTACGAGATTAAAGCTTAAAACATCCTATGTTTAAACTTATTACTATTTAGTAGAACGATTGAACTTCTAAAGGAAGTTTAAATCCGGCTCTGACTGTAATGATATATATTACCACACTGATCAAAACAATTAGGGGAGCACGTGGCTGGTCTCATTAAAGAGTGACAAAGGATTCCCTAACACCTCATCGATTCCTTGTCACACAGATGTGTAGCCGTTCCGGAGTTTATACATCGCACTAAAGTCAGCACAATACCCTAAAAAAGTCATTCGCTCTGGTGCTTATTGTTGCTCAACATGTTGCAGCAAGTGCAATAAATAAAAATTTGTCAACAATTCGGTTCGAGGGCAGATTTTTTCAGATATTACTTTATATTTTACTTTACTTTAATGCAATAATGACATTCAGAATCGTTCGTCGTAAGCGGTTTTATACACATCTCTGGTTTCCTCATTGTTTTGACTAGTCGAATATACGAAGAATGGAAATCTACTTTCAAACATTATACGCATTGGAAATGTAATCAAATCAAAATTTATGAATTGACGGCCCTCTGCCAAATATTTAAAAATATTTTATTAAAAAATTCATTTGAAATGGAATGTCAAACTTAAACAAATAATGAGACATTTCGTTTCTTAAAAAGAAGACAAAGGGAATAAATGGAACTTTACGTAATTTTTACTTTTCCGGCTGCTATAGATAACAGGGGAAAAGTATGGCGATCGGTCAGAAAATGACCGCAAAGATTTTTACATTTTTGGACTCGGAGACCTTGAAACGTCGAGAAATACAAAAAATTCGGGGGTTTTTCTGTATGTATTGATGTTAGTATGAGCGTGAGGGAGGGGCACGATTTTGTTTACCCTGTTTGAAGCTTAATAACTCCTGTGCTTTTTGCCGAAATTTTCTGAAATTTTACAGGGAGGTTTGTTTATTAGGAGATTGATGCTACTTTGGTGGTTGAAAATTGAGGGGTGGGGAGATAAAGGAGGTCGTGTGTATTTCCAGTAGAATCGAACGTAATGACGATTTTACTCGTTATTAGCATTTACAATTTTTTTTTTTATAAAACCCATCCCTACTCACAAAATTAAGTTTTTGTGAGTAGGGATGGGTTATTTTATTATAATTAAAAATACAAAAAGTTCTTTTTAATAAAATATTGTAACAGTTAGCGCTACCAAATGTTGCTGGAAAGTTAAGCAACTCCTTGCTGGATTTTTTCTTAATTTTAAATATTATACTATAAAAAATATACGATCTAATTATATTTTAAAATATTTTCTTTAAAAAATAAAGCAAATTATATTTTATACATTGAATTCGTATGTAAAATAAGAGAATACGCAAGAAACATCTTTTTTCATTAAAAGGATAATAAATTTACAAGCATTAATATTTAAAATCTTATACATTTTCTTACTAAAACTAGATAAAATTTATCTTATTTTAATATATATAAAATATATTTACAAAAATAAACTAGAAAGTTAATTACACTACTAGGTAAATTAAACTAGTGAATGTAAACTGTTATTAGTACAGTATATTTTCTAGTAAATGTAATACTAATAAATGCACTAATACCTTTGAAAATAGTAAATACTATTTTCAAAGGTATTAGTGCATTTGAAAATAGTAAATACTATTTTCAAAGATACTGATATTGCTGATTTTAACAATAAGTTACTGATCTTACTGTGTTGAGAGCGTTTAGCATCGTTTCTGTTAATATTATTGGTGATGAAAGACAGATTCGAAGATGCTAAATGATTAATAATTAGGCCATACTTACGGAAAGATAAAGAGCAATTTATAGAATTGAAAGTGAAGACAGAATTTAAAATTCAGCATCATTTGTGTTTGTATTTTATCATATACAGTATAATAGTATAACAGACAAAGATGATGATAATTTCCTAGATGATTTATTCCTCAAAAAATAAATCATTACTCATGCTTGATTATTTTATGTAAGATTAATTATTGCCTGTTACTAATAAATTAAAAAATAATATCTATGAAATGAAATCTGTTAAATTTGAACACAAATAACATTTTATGCATTTATTTTTATTCAACTGATTTAAAATATTCATTTTTAACAGCTTAATTAATGTAAAAGTCGATTCTTACCATTCAAGATACCGTGGATGCTATGATCCGCTTTCTTATCCTTTATTCTATTGTTTCTTAATAATCTACTTATGGAACTGATACTCGGAACATTATTTTTATCGCAGATTCCATCCTTAAAAATTAAACAATTAATAATTTAAATAAATTAAGATCAAATAATCGATTATCTACTCACAGATATCAAACGTTGCCTAATTTCCCAGGTATAATGATTAGGATTTTCACGAATGTACTGTCCGATGGTCCTTTCTATAGCTGGAGTGGTGACCTTGGGTTTGCTACCTCCTATCATACCCGGTCTGATGCTACCTGTTTCCTGAATATAGAAAACTATCACGTGATCAAGAGGTGAAGGAAAAATGTTGACGGTGCAATCGATACTTACCTGGTATCTGTTGAGAATTTTGGAAACGCACCCGTGTGACACCCTCAACTGGCGACTAATGACGCAAGGACGTATACCTGCAGATGCCATTTGCACAATTTTCAATCTGATGTGACTAGGGAGGGGTCGACCGTTTATAAAAACTCCTCCCAACTGGTTAAGTCGACCCTGACCTAAACAATGTTTAAAGTAATTTATATATCTTTTCTAGACACGTCTTTAGATCTTCAACTCTAAATATAAATTCGAAAAATAATAAGTTAACAGGTGTAAAAAATTTTATTCTGGATTTTTTCTGTAAATTCCAGGAAATAAATGTTTCAAATTAAAGTTCTAAATATATTTTAGAAGCTATTTTAGAGATTTTTCTTTCTTCACATCTAATTATATTTTAGAAAACTTATAGTTAGATCTTCTACATCTGCAATTAGTCTTCCAGAACTTCATTTAGATTTTCTAGATCCAACTTTATATCATTCTGATATACTTTAGAACTGAAAAAGTTATCTTTAGAATCGGTATACTTCCTCTATTTCAATATGTAGATTTTTTGAGCTATCTTTAGATTTTCAAATCTGCATTTAAAGTTTTCTAGATTAATCTTTAGATCTCACGAACTTGAATTTAGATATTCCAGCTCTTCCTTGCACTTTCTTGTATCTTTAAACTCTCTTTACTCTTAGATCTTTTGGACTTACTTTATACCTTCCAGATCTGCTATTAGATCTCATAGAGCTATTTTTAGATTTCTCACACCACATTTAGATCTTCTGAACCTGCTTTTAGATATTTCAGACTTATCTTTGCACATTCCAGATACGTCTTTAGACCGTTCAAACTTATTTTCACATCTTCCACAAAACATTTAAGTATCTGGAAAATCTAAACATAGATCTTCAAAACTATAATTTTTCCAGGTCTAAGTATAAATCCAAGTAAAAACTATTTAGATATTCTATTACATTTTACAGAAATTTATAGTCGTACTGTACAGTACATGACTTGTTCAATTAAAGGTTAAAGTTCACGAAAATACTCACCTTGAAAGGTATAATTAGTCAAATACGATCCGACTGTCTCCATATTTAAGTCGTTATTTCGTTGATCAGAAGGAAGAACTCGTGTTTCAATAAGTAACAGTACTCTTTCGACCACGCCTTTACTAAGGAGCAAAGCGATTTAATTGGCCATCCCTCTTTGTAACCCCGCAAACGATTGGTCGAAGAGGAAAGACACAGTGTCAATTGGATACAGGAGAAGTCGCATCAATCTCCGAACATCCTTCTCTCCGTTTCTCTGACAATTTTGAGGATATTTTTGATAATTTTAATGTTTTTAAAAGCTGAAAACCTTAAGAAATTTATTAGAAAGTTTAAAAAATTTTTGCAGTTTCTATATTATTTTACCGGAGAGCAATAGAGAAGCGTTCTATTTGTTAGTAATTTTGGTCCACTTACGTAGAAAATGGCCATCTAAACGAGTCTAAAATTATAGGGATCTGCTTTTCAAACACAAATTACTCGTGTTTCTCCTTTAAAAAAGTCACTGTATGGTGCACGTGTCCAAGGTAGACACTAATGAAACAGTATTTGTGACTTACCCGGGTCGGATGCGCCCAGGGTGTAACTGATGCAGGTGTGAAGTCAACGGGGCCAGAGGTCCTGCAGAGCATTGACAGATTGTCTGTGCCCCGAGCTAAGTCAAGGACTGGGATTGCTACTGGAACTCAATTATTTCTAGTTGGTGGGATCATTGAAGTAAATCGCAAAATGTTATCTCTACCCTGATAGCCACCATTCCTTAATTAAATCTTTAAACCAACAGAAAAGTAAAAAAGTATATTCTTTTTGGCACCTAATTTCGACTTAATCTCTGTTTTGTGTACTTTTTTGTGCTAATTTGTAGAGCATCATTTCTAACTTTAATGCAAAAAAGAAAATAAAACGAAATTTTAAATATAGATCTAAAAAAAGTTATGTTCTAGATATTTCCTATGCGTATAAAATATTTTACTATCCTTAGGATCTGTATTTGAAATCCTTTCTATGAACTATAGGGTTTTCTCCCTTATAAATAGAGAGTATTTTGAAGATAAAGTAGAATCTTATAATGTAATCCAATACTAATGTACTAAATTCAGTCTTATAATTTTCATCTATATTTTGTTTTTTATTCTGGTTTTACAATTTTATTTTATTTGCAGGTGAACTCTATGATTCTATATTACGAGTACAAAGCTATAGAATATATTCTACTCATAATTCCATATCTATCAAATTTGTAACTGTCTATGATCAATCTTTTATGATATAAAATATATTTAGGGTCCCATATTTCTAAGAATGTAGAATATATTCAGTGTTCCTTGCGATTACTTAGGTATATAACAAATATGAAACTGCAATTTTATACGCTATAGTCATGAAAGTTTACAGACTTTCAAGTTCATAATTACATAGTTTATATAAAACTCTGAATTATATTTAAAGGTGTAGAGTTAAATTCACTTACATTACCATCCACACTTCTATACTATCAGTTTATGTATGTTGAATACATAAGTATGGATATAAAAATATCCCTACTTATATAAATATAGGGTTCCACATTTACATGATAAATACGGAATTTTGAATATAGTCTGTACCTTGTGAACAGAACAATTGTAAAAAAGTTACCTTAAGTCACTATAAACTTACATAAACCACTATAGTTTTATGTTACCTATCGCATACATACCTTGTTAAATTTGTTATAGTTAATGTAAATATATTTGCATACGTTAAAATTGTGAAAAATCTTTTATGATATATTGTTCTCTTATTTGTCATTAATATTATTAACTTAAACTTTCAAGAAAATAAATTATAAATCTTAAAATAATGTATTCAACACAAGAATAGACAGTAAATTACAGTAAAAGAACAATAATAATGATGAGGAAGGGTTGGTCTTGAACAGTAGCCGAGTCGTGACAATGGAAAGTTAATGGCCACTAGCAATGCCACTCTTCCATGCTCGACCATAAAACAATTCTCGAGAATTCCGTGTGGCCTTTACTTGACAGGTTTATTATAGAAGGATGACTTTACACATTGATTTATGTATCCCGATTGAAGCAGAACGTCACCCGTGACACTAAAAATTCACTAATGAACGATTTTCTGCTGATATGTTCACTCCGACCCTCCTCAGAAAACGAACGTTTACAGCAGCATAAATTGTGTAAAAGGTAAGATTTTGTTAGATATTATAAGTAAGCATATGATACCATTAGATATGTATGTGATGCCAGTTAGGATGTCAAAGTAGGATCCTAAATATGTAAAGGCATGATACTACTAGATGTGTAGACAGAACATTACGGCTACGTAGCCGCATGACATCACTAGATATGTAAAGGTAGAATAAGTAAAGATGTGATACCACTAGATATGTGAATTTAGTAGTGTATACAGATGTATATCATAGATGTGTAGAGATATAATGCTACTAGGTATGTAACGACAGATATAATTAGATGTATAAAGAGAATAAAAAGGTATGATTCTATTAGAACGTGTAAAGGAAAGATGTCTTTAGAGATATAAAAATGTGTAAAGGTAGGATGCCATTAAAACAGGAAAACAGGGTGTTGCTGATATCTTCAAGAAGAACTCTTAGAGGTGTCTACTTCTCAATTTGTCACTCGCTAATGAAGAGTAAGGTCAAACGAGAGGTGAGATAGTAAAATCAATAAAGAACAGCAGGAGACAATCCACATTTATATTGTCATTAACTTCGCACCAGAAGGATCCATCGGAATAACACATTTATCTATCCCTTCTTTTACACTAAAAATACATTTAAAAAAGCCCGAATTCCGCATCCAGAGCGAAGTAGCAATTTGCATTAATGATCACGTAGGTGTTCTCCTTAGGTGGTCCACGGTTAAAGGCAACAACAGAAATAGCCAAGTGCTGTTTTGTAAGGTTTTTCAAAGAAGCATTGGCTTTAGTGTCGAGTCGGAATCATTGAATAAAGACAGGCAGATGAAAGATGTGGGGGCGGAATCTCGGGGTATTCACAAAGCTCATTCTTGTCCAACAGATGCACGATTCGGGGGGACACATGTCGAACTGCGGGGTTCTATAGTTCCCGCATGTCTGCTCTAGTTCTCTTCCATTGTGAAGCTCTATGTATTTACTACCTGTCGGTGTCTTTGACTTTTGACCGGTCGGACTTCTTCAAAAGCAAACCACTATTAATTAAGGTAGACTTGACTGAAAAGTCTTCACTCCTCGACTAATGGACGAATCAAGAGATTATTAAAATCGGGTAACGAACCATCTAATTGGCTGATTAACCGTTTTACACTTTATAACAGTCTGCAACAGAAATCTACGCAATGGAATATGTAAATTTCTAATGTACGCATCTTCATTTCTGAAGCTATTCCATTCTCAATATCAAATAAAATTAAGATTAAATATGGTAAAATGGCGATATGTTTGAAGATTAATTAAAATAAAATTACAAGAATTGGGAAAAAATTAGGACAAGAAAGTACTCATTGTGCAAACCTTTAATGCAAGTTCTTAAATGATGAAAGTACTTGAAACGTAATTTTAGATGTTTTATACAGGTATAATAAGCATTTTTAGACCTTTTTACTTGTATATACCTATGTAATGATTATTTTTTGATCATTAAAAGGTTTTAGATGATATTAGGCAAGTATAATAAGTGATTTTAGATGTTTCTAGACCTGTTTGTTGATATTTTTTACACTTAAGAAAACTTTTAGACGATTAAAAGAAATATTTCGATGCATAAATTGATTATTCTTTTTCTGGGAAATCTAAATAATTAAATTACTTATTTAAATTCTGTTTTTTAATTAATTTAATGGAATTAAATAAACGTAGTTAATTAATCTGCAATATCTCTGTTTTTATATATTACGTAATGACAATCAACAGATGGCGCATGGATATTTTCATCCCTCCTTCAGTTTATGGAATCGAAAATTTTATAGCCACTAACTATAAAAGTACAGAACTTTATTTTCAATTTAGAAGTTTCGTGATGAACATTATTAACTTAAAAATACATATAAATAAGCTTAAATATTAAAAACTATACTTATAAAAAATATCAAAAACTCATTTCCTTCCTACAAATCAAACAGAAATTCTAAATTAATTATTATTTTTAGGAAATAGGAAATAACCGATTTCAAAATTATTTCCTTTATAAACACAATCAAAATGAGTTTTTAAAAAACTGTGTTTTTAGATGAAAACATTTCGCAAATATATTTTTTAATTAATGCTAATTGAAAGTAAATATAGTTTAAAAGAATATATTTAGATTAATTATATATTTAAAATAGAATATAATTAATAAAATTCGTTACAAGATTGTTATTAGGCAAATGCGACAAAGAAGACTTCAATTTAAGAACTATATTTAATTCTTTATANAAAGGTACTACTGTACTTCTGTTTTTCGGTATACGCGCAGATGAATCTAAATCAATATAATTAATAAAATTCGTTACAAGATTGTCATTAGGCAAATGCGACAAAGAAGACTTCAATTTAAGAACTATATTTAATTCTTTATAGTGTGGTCCAACAAATCCGACAATGTTAAAATATTCTGTAACCGAACTAACCTGAATATTTAAGTCTTTGGTGTACGGTTCCATCTTAAATGTAGAGAAATTCAATTGCGTGAAACCATTAGATGCCGGAGGATTGGCCATAGAACCGGACCAGATACAATTACCTGAAATATGATTCATTAAAGATTATTAAAATTTCACGAATAAATAAGAAAATCCGAATGAAATTACTTTGCTGTAAAGAAGAATCCACATAAGACGGGTACATATGGACTCTTGAAGATTCTGAAAGCTTTTCAACTTGTTTCCTCCACCTTGCTCTTCTGTTACTAAATTATATCTAAAGAAAATCGATATGTATGACTCAAAATTAGTAATTCTTTCAGTGGGAACATAACATTTTTGTATTTTACATAAATTTACATAATTTTTTTTTTTTTTTTTTTTTTGAAAATTTCTGAGAATTTTGGCCGTTTAGTTTTCTAATATGAGAGTATTTGTATTTATGGTTTGGAAACATAAAAAAAATTGTGGTTCATAAATTCGAAGTAATACAGTATTAAATTTATTTAGGTCAAATAATAAAGGTCGATTTTCTCAAATTGCAGTCAAAATATTTTTTATTTATTTTGATTTTGGTAATTTTTAGTGGTTTTATTTAATATAACAAAATGTAATTTCATTGTAATCGCGCTCAAATAGCAAATAAAGTTAGTTTTTTTTTGTAATTTGTTCCTTTTTAAATTCTTAATTATAAAATTTGATAGGAGCCAAATACAACTTTAGTGTTTTTATGGCTCTTCATTCATTCTTCAGTTGCAATTTGCAACAATTAAAAATCATCTATAGTAATTTTCTACATTTAAAACTTTTATTTTAGAATTAGCCTAAAATTTAATATCCATTAAAATTTTTAAACATATTTAATTTTCTAACCTAAAATAATATTTATTATTATTCTTCTTTTAAACGAATAAATCAAATTATCTTCTTTTTCTAAAACATTTAATAATTTAACAACGTCGTTAAATTAAAATCAATTAATATAAATTAATTTATTTATTATGCTATTATGCAATTAATAATAATGCTATTTTAATCAAATTTCAATTAAATTTCGATAATTTTAAAAATTAAATAATATTTTTTCAACACACTCTATCATTATTNGAATCCTTACGTCAGCATGGATAGATAATTCTGTGACTGTTTCCCTAGCAATACGATTCTCTTACAGTCCGATAATTATAAAACTTCGCATTTCTTTCTCACTTTATTGCACGAGAACTATTGTTTTATATTTATTGGCCAATTTCATTAAAAAATTATTAAATTTTGAGATGATTTATTAGCTTTTTAAAGAGAATTTGTAAAATATTTTTAAACATTTAGGTAGCAGCCACTTTAGGAACTACTTCCTGTTGTTCTTTCGATCCCCTTTACGAATTGGGTCCCGTGTGCCAGAAAGAAGGAGTAATTTATTTATTATGCTATTATGCAATTAATAATAATGCTATTTTAATCAAATTTCAATTAAATTTCGATAATTTTAAAAATTAAATAATATTTTTTCAACACACTCTATCATTATTTCATAATTTAATATTCTAAGTACAATCAGTACCTTGCTAACAGTATAAAGTAGACATTATTAAGCGTGAAAGTATATTGTTAAAAGTATAAAGTACAGATAGCCCTTGTATAACAGTAGATACGTTCCGAAAAAGTGTCGTGTTATGCGAATCCGTGCTATACGAAACAAACGAATTTGTGTTGGAATACAGAATTGTTCGAGATACCGCCGTATTTCATTCGTAATTTTTACTAATGATTACTTACCTATGGTTAAAAATATTTAATAACACTAAAAGTGTTTAATTAAACTTTACTAAATACGTATTAATTAATGTATAAAAACAAAACACAATGACAGTCTTAAAAGGCTAAAGTTTGAAAGCAACGACAACGATATCCTGTTGATAAGAAAGTAAGGACGAGGAAGAGAAAATTGTACTACCAGTTTTCATTAAAGCAAACCTGACGAAAGGTCAAAACAAATAGAAAATTTCAATATTCTAAAATCTGTGAGAAAATTTGAGATAACGTGCATGCTTACTTGAATAAATAAATATCGAATAAAGGAGTTTGCACTTAAAAATTGCGAAATTTTGTACGGAAGATTTCCCAAATTCTCGAACCGTGTTGTACGGGGAATTTCCCCAATTTTCCAACCGTGTTAGAGCGAAACCGTGTTGTACAGGGAATACCTGTATATTAAAAGTGAAAGTATATCGTTAAAAGTATATAGTATATTTAAATATGTTTCGTTATTTAATACAAACAGAGCCAATACAACTAAATAACAAAATTCCAAAAGACCCATAAAAATAGAAAGCTCAAGTTTACCATGTTTTTTATTTATGTTTTCCTTTCCTATAGTCTTTATGCTTTGTTTTCCTTCCTACAGTCTTTAGTTTTTAGTCCTTACAGTCTTTATTTTTCGTATTTTCTTTTTTCTTATATTTTAAGTCTAAAAAGACTGTAAAAAAAGCAAAGTTTGTAGAAAAAAAATCCTAAAAGTCTCGAAAGAACGTTTCATTATAAAGGAACTATTAACTATTGTTTATTGAAATTTTTTATTATATATTTCCTAATACTTTGGCAATGCATTGTCAAACTCAATAATAACTCTATAAATTTTGAGAATATTATAATAAATTGAATACAATAGTTATTTAAACAGTTTTAAAGATATTAAATAGTTTATTTTAAGTAAATAAAGGAGTTTTTTTAAAATATTTAAAACAGAAAAACTTTAATTTTCGAAAGAGCTAGGGATTCTTTCGGCTCCCTTCTCCACAGCAATATTTTAAGAATAATTATAATTATAAAATGAATTAATTATTAATTATAAAATTGCATTTGGTTCTTGTCAAATATAATAATTAAACATTTAAAAAAGCGTAAAGCATTAAAAAAGAACGGAGTAAAAATAATAAAAAAATAAAAGTTTAAAAAAAAAAGCAATTGCTCGACCTTTGATTTGATGAAATGATTAAACATTTGGCAAGTTTCAAAAAAATACAAATTATAATAAATTAATTTGTAATTAAATTTGTTATAATAAAGAAGTAAATCATACAATTTTTGTCACGTGTCAATTACGACCCATTACTAAAAATTAGATTTATCGTTTATAAATCTCAGTTCAACGGATTTAAAAAAGAAATCCAAGTACAGTCGACCCCCCTATAAAACTGTTGATTATTCCGTTTTATGTGAATTCCATGTTGTATGAGTCACTTAGATTTTACAAATACATGTGCCGGGCTATGAACAGCTCACGTATTTGTAAAATCTAAGTGACTCGTACAACATGGAATTCATATAAAACGGAATAATCAACAGTGTTATGGGGGGTCGACTGGTAGTCAATTATTTACAAATCACAGTTTAATTGATTTTAAAATGATCGTTTAAAAATCATGATTCGGTCGAAGAGGCAAATCGGATCAAGAGGTTTTTAAACGTTAAATCGGGGATCAATTATTCGTAAATCGCAATAAACGGAATAGGGGGTCATAGGTCAAAATAAGAAGTCAATCTTTATGGGAAGCTGAATTAACTCAAGAACTGTTAATTACTCGTTTAGTAAGATGAATAATTAATTGTTAAATGGAAACGTGACAGAAAGGGAGATTTATTCGTTTATGAAATCAGTATGAAATTCGAGAGGATGCAGTGTCATAGTGATAGAGCCGTTCCTACCAATCAGAAGACGATGACGATGCTGACGATCACAGCAAAATTCATATATAAAGAGAGCGGATAACATTGATATCTGTCTTCATCTTGGAATTCTCTTACAAGACGAGGTGAGTTCAAGTGTTTTTTCCTCATCCTCTTTTAATAAATAACTTCTGTTCTACGCTTTCTTCAGTTCCTGTTCGTGTTTATTCAATTCTAAAGTCGCAACTTTAACTTTTACTAAACTCTACTTCACTTTATTTATTAAAGAAGATGGAGATGAATTATGACATTTTGGAATTTTTTAATATGAATATCAATATTTTGGCCAAATTTTAATTCGTTTTTTAAACAAAATATTTCAATTTTTCTCAAGGAAACTTGTTAAATCTCATAATTATAATTAAATGTAATTATAATGTTTTCTTAATTAGATTCTACTGGAGGTTTATGATAATAATTATCACATATTTCTTGCAATTTTCTATGTTTATAATCGAAAATTTTTTAAATTTGTGTGAGTTTTCAGCCGAAAATCAGGCTTTTTTTTTAAAATTTATTCAAAAATAACTTAAATATTTAAAAATTTAATAAATAAATAATAATAAAAAGACAAATTTTTCCGAATTGAACGAAAAATAATGTAAATTTATAAAGTTTATAATAGAAAATAGCATGCATTTTTCTAGATTTGTAATAAAAAAATATCGAAAATATTTAAAATTTTAACCGAAAATAAACGTAATTTTTATATCTAAATCAAAAATAATTTAAGTTTATTAAATTTAAATTCAAAATAACTTAAAAGTTTTATGGAGACAATTAATAAAATGATGTATAAATCTAAATAACGCTTCATTAAAGCTTCGCAAGTTGCGACATTTAAAAATAGGACATTCTAAAAAACTAAATACTAAAGATTTATGTAATAATAGTTTTTAAAAATTACTTTTTCAACATATCCTATGTTTGACACAAAGAAAAAGAAGGAAATATTTCGAAAGATAACCGATTTCCTTTAATATTCCATGAAATTAATCTAAGAAGACTTGTATAAATACCATTTTAACAAATAGATTTGATTCTTTTTAAAAAAATAATGAAGATAAATCGTTTAATTTTAAGAAATAACTAAAAAAATCAAGATTTTAAAATTTTATAACTGGATTTCGATAGCACTTGATTTTTCGCTGTGGTAAGTGCTGAAAAAATGTACATTTTTCGTAAATAATTCAAAAAATTAACAAAAATTCGGCATAATTTTTAAAAAATTCAAATTTTTTTTTTAGAATTTTGATAATTAAATATTATCAAAATCGACTGGGAGAAACATTAAATAACGCTCGATTTTTTCGAAAATACTATCAATAAATCGAAGGAATTATCATTAATTCGAGTTTTCTTTATGATTTTATTACTTAATATCATCGAAATGACTTGGCAGAACATCCGAAAAACGCATAATTTTTTCGAAAATAATACTAATAAATGGGGATAATTAAAAAAAAATATAACAAGTGATCAACACCATTACGCGTTTTTTTGGATTCTGTAATTGAATATAAACAAAACAAAACGAAGAAGAACACCCAAAACACTCCACTGTACTCTTAATAACCTTATTAATTACTAATATTAAACATACAGGTGTATGTTTACGTAACGATAATATAATTCAGTGAAGAAAATTTATTATTTAAACGAGATGGAAAGAGAAAGTAAGGGAATATATATATATAAGTAAATAAATAAAGAGGAGCCTGTTCAAGTATGAAATAGCATTCCAGCACTTTATAAAAGACCCGGATATAAAAGGGGGGAGCGTGTGACGTGGTATTTCTTCCCGTTAATAGAAAATGGACGTCACGCTTTTAATTACGCGCGTTGTCATGGTTACGGAATTCTATTGGTTCTCCATCACGATATGACAAAAGAGATGTCACTCTACTTCCAAAATGGCACCGTATTAGCTTCTTAATTCGAATATTATAATGTCCACCCCCATTGGAAGTCTTCACTCACTTCTTTTTTTTTTTTTTTTATGTAACCTGTTGACTAGTTCTATCCAAATTACAGCTTGTAAATAAGTAAAATACAAGGGTATTAATTAATTTGGGGGCGAAAATTAAATATTCTAGTGTTTTAAGTACCGAGGGGGAGATTAATTAGGATAAAGGGCTTCCTAATGGGTTCGACTCGTCGTATAATTAATAAAATGATAAATCAAAATGGCATCGTTCTTTTTCAGAATTTAATTTCATGATAATTTAAGATTATGTAAAGGCTTTTTTTTAAGATGTTGCTCTTGTAATTTGCTTAATTTCTTTGTTAATTTATGCGTAAATTATATTAAGAAAATGGAAAATTATTGTAAAAAAAGTCTTTAAATTTATAAAAGTTGACGTTATTCAGAAGGATTTTTTAAATGATGTTAAAGCGTAGAAATGTGTATTTTTTTTCTTTAGAATTATTCGCTATGATTGGATTTTATTGGTGAATATGTTAATGCATCAATTATTATTATTATTTTTTTACTTTATCAGCGAATTTTTCAATTTTTAATTAGAAAACACAAAGGATTTAATTACGTAGAGGATTATTTGTGTTTTTGAAGTTTATTTGAAGGACTTTGTGCATTTTTTATTAAACAACCGTTGTTATTGATAGAATTATATTCACTTTTAATAATTATTCGTTAAAATATGCTCATTATTATCAAATATTCCTTGAACCGTTTTCACTTAAAGCAACACGTAGTTTTATAACGTTACACTTATTTCGATAGCTATTTTTAAAGATTATGTTCGTTTTTATTAAATATTCCTAGCATTATAGTCATTTTTTATTAGTTTTTCTTTACATTATGCTCATTTTTAATAAGTATTCCTAAATATTACGTTTATTTCTATCGATTATGCCTAAGATTACGTTGATTTTTTTAGCGATCATTCAGCCCATTATATTCATTTGCAATTGAGCTACTTACGTTTTTACANAATTTAAATTCAAAATAACTTAAAAGTTTTATGGAGACAATTAATAAAATGATGTATAAATCTAAATAACGCTTCATTAAAGCTTCGCAAGTTGCGACATTTAAAAATAGGACATTCTAAAAAACTAAATACTAAAGATTTATGTAATAATAGTTTTTAAAAATTACTTTTTCAACATATCCTATGTTTGACACAAAGAAAAAGAAGGAAATATTTCGAAAGATAACCGATTTCCTTTAATATTCCATGAAATTAATCTAAGAAGACTTGTATAAATACCATTTTAACAAATAGATTTGATTCTTTTTCAAAAAATAATGAAGATAAATCGTTTAATTTTCAGAAATAACTAAAAAAATCAAGATTTTAAAATTTTATAACTGGATTTCGATAGCACTTGATTTTTCGCTGTGGTAAGTGCTGAAAAAATGTACATTTTTCGTAAATAATTCAAAAAATTAACAAAAATTCGGCATAATTTTTAAAAAATTCAAATTTTTTTTTAGAATTTTGATAATTAAATATTATCAAAATCGACTGGGAGAAACATTAAATAACGCTCGATTTTTTCGAAAATACTATCAATNGCATAATTTTTAAAAAATTCAAATTTTTTTTTAGAATTTTGATAATTAAATATTATCAAAATCGACTGGGAGAAACATTAAATAACGCTCGATTTTTTCGAAAATAGTATCAATAAATCGAAGGAATTATCATTAATTCGAGTTTTCTTTATGATTTTATTACTTAATATCATCGAAATGACTTGGCAGAACATCCGAAAAACGCATAATTTTTTCGAAAATAATACTAATAAATGGGGATAATTAAAAAAAAATATAACAAGTGATCAACACCATTACGCGTTTTTTTGGATTCTGTAATTGAATATAAACAAAACAAAACGAAGAAGAACACCCAAAACACTCCACTGTACTCTTAATAACCTTATTAATTACTAATATTAAACATACAGGTGTATGTTTACGTAACGATAATATAATTCAGTGAAGAAAATTTATTATTTAAACGAGATGGAAAGAGAAAGTAAGGGAATATATATATATAAGTAAATAAATAAAGAGGAGCCTGTTCAAGTATGAAATAGCATTCCAGCACTTTATAAAAGACCCGGATATAAAAGGGGGAAGCGTGTGACGTGGTATTTCTTCCCGTTAATAGAAAATGGACGTCACGCTTTTAATTACGCGCGTTGTCATGGTTACGGAATTCTATTGGTTCTCCATCACGATATGACAAAAGAGATGTCACTCTACTTCCAAAATGGCACCGTATTAGCTTCTTAATTCGAATATTATAATGTCCACCCCCATTGGAAGTCTTCACTCACTTCTTTTTTTTTTTTTTTTATGTAACCTGTTGACTAGTTCTATCCAAATTACAGCTTGTAAATAAGTAAAATACAAGGGTATTAATTAATTTGGGGGCGAAAATTAAATATTCTAGTGTTTTAAGTACCGAGGGGGAGATTAATTAGGATAAAGGGCTTCCTAATGGGTTCGACTCGTCGTATAATTAATAAAATGATAAATCAAAATGGCATCGTTCTTTTTCAGAATTTAATTTCATGATAATTTAAGATTATGTAAAGGCTTTTTTTTAAGATGTTGCTCTTGTAATTTGCTTAATTTCTTTGTTAATTTATGCGTAAATTATATTAAGAAAATGGAAAATTATTGTAAAAAAAGTCTTTAAATTTATAAAAGTTGACGTTATTCAGAAGGATTTTTTAAATGATGTTAAAGCGTAGAAATGTGTATTTTTTTTCTTTAGAATTATTCGCTATGATTGGATTTTATTGGTGAATATGTTAATGCATCAATTATTATTATTATTTTTTTACTTTATCAGCGAATTTTTCAATTTTTAATTAGAAAACACAAAGGATTTAATTACGTAGAGGATTATTTGTGTTTTTGAAGTTTATTTGAAGGACTTTGTGCATTTTTTATTAAACAACCGTTGTTATTGATAGAATTATATTCACTTTTAATAATTATTCGTTAAAATATGCTCATTATTATCAAATATTCCTTGAACCGTTTTCACTTAAAGCAACACGTAGTTTTATAACGTTACACTTATTTCGATAGCTATTTTTAAAGATTATGTTCGTTTTTATTAAATATTCCTAGCATTATAGTCATTTTTTATTAGTTTTTCTTTAGATTATGCTCATTTTTAATAAGTATTCCTAAATATTACGTTTATTTCTATCGATTATGCCTAAGATTACGTTGATTTTTTTAGCGATCATTCAGCCCATTATATTCATTTGCAATTGAGCTACTTACGTTTTTACAGAACCACAACCCTAAATCTACAGATAATTATTTAATTATAACTATAATTCCTACAATAAAACTTAAAAGAATTATTTTAAAACCAGAAACGAAAACCTCTCTAACATAATTAAACATCGATAGCTTCACAGTACCAGAAAGAAGTGATAATTCTAAAAACACCCCGCAACTTAATACATTTTTTAGATAATTTTTTTTTTTTTAAATTTCAACAATAAATATAATCAAAATTTGAAGATAATTACTTTAGAATCGGATTCCGAAGCCGGAATTTGGTTTAGAAAGGGACGAAATCGAAAAGGATGTTGGACAATGGGGCACCTGACGAGCAACTGACAACCGCAGACACTACATTTCCATCCAAGTCATTTGTCGAGTGTTGGACAAATAATGCAATTTTCGACTCCCCACACTTACCCGGTAAACGAGCTTTTTTTTATTTATTTTTTTATTTATTTTTTCAGATGGACACGGCGGAATTCAGAAAGAGGGGTCGAGAGATGGTGGACTACATTTCCGATTATCTGGAAAGTATTTCGCAGAGACGAGTCACCCCCAACATCGAACCGGGATATTTACGACATCTGATCCCCTACATTCCCCCTACCAAAGGGGAGAAGTGGGAAACTATCATGAAAGATGTGGAAAGATATATCATGCCGGGTGTAAGTATGACGGGAATGTTTTTACTACTCTTTTTTCTATCTAAAAATTTATTTCTTTTTAGAAACATTTCATTACTTTTTTAGATTTTTTTTTAAAGAAGAATATGTAAATTTTGAGTTGGAAAAATTTAATTATTTTGTATTTTTATCTATGCAAATTAGTTGTGCTTAAAGATTGATAATTTTGGATCTCCTGTGGGGCTTTCTATTGTTGTCTTTATATTTTCTTATTACAATGATTCGTAGAGATCCTTCTAAGCTCATACGGCGCATCTAGAAAGCTTCATATAGGAAAATTTCTTACGGGTTCTGACATAGTCCCTTTGAAAAAGTTCTAGATATAAGTTCCACAGAAAATTCTAGGCGGGCTTCGTAGAACATTCCAGACACAGTACGAGATTCCAGACGTATACCTATAGAAAATTCTAAATAGATTCAATAGGAAATTCCGAATATTGATTTCATAAAAAATTTCAGAAAGCTCCTCGGAAAATTTGAAATAAGGGTTCTTTAGGAAATTCCAGACAAGTTTCACGGGATATTTTACGTAGGAGATTCCAGATATAAACCTCGTAAAAAATTAAAATAGATTCTATGACATTGGCATGTTTCAACGTGCTTTAACTTATCATTTGATAAAATTCTGTTTTTCCATATTTACATACCGTATCCGTCTTAGTGTCGTTTTTAGATATTTTGAAGTTTAGTTTTCTGTCTGGGATGCTAAAAAATTTCCAAAAATCGTTTTCATACAATCTAGAATTTACTGTGGCACCGCACTTTTAGAGCGTAGGCATATACATTTTAAAACACGGTTAGTTCTGCACAATTAATTCATAGAATTTACAGCAAAAGATATATGTAAGATATTACTCGCGCTTACAATATGCAAATTAATTGATGCAACAGGTTTAACGCTCATTTATTTTACGATTAACAGGTTACGCATTGGCAACATCCTCGTTTCCATGCCTATTTCCCTGCTGGCAATAGCTATCCTTCGATTCTGGCAGATATGCTGTCTGATGCCATTGGATGCGTGGGGTTTTCTTGGGTAAGAACCGTTATTTTGTATACATATTTTAGATAAGAACCGTCTTTTGATGTGTACATTCAGGAGATTTTCTTAAATAATCTTTTAACTGTGTTTGGAAAGAGAGTAAGAACCCTCTATTCCTCATGTACAGTACAAGTAACTGACTATTGTTTTTTTCAGGCTGCCAGTCCTGCCTGCACTGAATTGGAAACTATTATGTTGGATTGGTTAGGTGAGTATTTTTTAAAATCATTCTTATACAGATTATCGCCTTTTAAGCACAATTTTATCATTTTTATCAATGATTTTTAGGAAATATGATCGGTCTGCCTGAAGACTTTCTTTGTCTATCAGATAACAGCAAAGGTGGAGGCGTGATACAAGTGGGTTTCTGATATAATTTAACATAAAATAAAGTAAAATATTATAATATTTGTTAATATTTATAAAGGGATCGGCCAGCGAATGCGTCTTAGTATCGTTGTTAGCTGCTCGTCACTCGACAATTCGAACTTTGAAACAGCAACACCCTTTTGTTGAAGAAGGCGTTCTTCTTTCTAAACTGATGGCATACTGCTCGAAGGAAGTAAAATTTAAAATTTCTATACCATTTTCGCTAAAGGTATCCCGTACTTCTATTCTCTAGAGTAATATGAGTTCTTTGCATTTAGGCACATTCCTGCGTGGAGAAGGCAGCCATGATTGGTTTTGTCAAATTGCGAATCTTAGACACGGATGATAAATTCCAATTGAGAGGTGCTACCCTTGCTAAAGCCATGGAGGTACTGTATACAGGTTGATTTAAGTAGAAAAAAATGCAAACATACATTCAATCATGCTTCATTATTTATGTTTTTATTTTAGGAGGATCGGGCGATGGGATTAATTCCCTTTTTCGTAAGTTTCTTTGATTTTTTGGCAAAGAAATTTGGAAGTTCTTGTGCAAAATCGAGGGAAATGCTTTATAATAGATAAACTCACAGAAGGCTTTTTCCAAAAATGCGAAAATATTGATTTTCACAACAACAATAAATACTAAACAAGAGGGTAGTTTTCAATTAGGAAACTATTCTCATTAGTTTCTGAATGGATAAAATCACTTAACGCCGGTAGTTGACTGCGGGTTTGCAGCGGGTTACATGGAGTTTTCCGGATTTTCTTCACGTGTCTACAGCTAAATAGGAGTCAGTTTCTCAGTTTCTCATAGAAAGTCTTCCCGGGAGGCATTATCCTTTTGCAGATAGCCTATCACAACAAACAAACAATTAGGAAAGCCATTTCTCATAACTCATTGTAATTCTAGATTTATGCAATTGACACTATCTATACTAATGCAAATCTTCTGTAACTTTAAATCGTATATTTTGGACTTGAAGATCCACGGGTTCCTGAATTGAGAAGTTAAATTATGTCCAGAAAAGGTACTTTCATTAATTTACTGAGTGAAATACGAATCCTTACGTCAGCATGGATAGATAATTCTGTGACTGTTTCCCTAACAATACGATTCTCTTACAGTCCGATAATTATAAAACTTCGCATTTCTTTCTCACTTTATTGCACGAGAACTATTGTTTTATATTTATCGGCCAATTTCATTAAAAAATTATTAAATTTTGAGATGATTTATTAGCTTTTTAAAGAGAATTTGTAAAATATTTTTAAACATTTAGGTAGCAGCCACTTTAGGAACTACTTCCTGTTGTTCTTTCGATCCCCTTTACGAATTGGGTCCCGTGTGCCAGAAAGAAGGAGTTTGGCTTCACGTGGATGCTGCTTACGCAGGAAGTTCCTTCATATGTCCCGAATTCCAGCATCTGATGACCGGCATCGAGGTGAGAGTTATGTCATTTCATTTCGCCCGTTGCTAAGGTAACGCATACCCCCGACTCTATTCATCGACGTCACTATATTTCCCATCACTTTGCATTGTTTAAACTGTCATGATTAAGACCATTATATTTTTGCCAGTATGCCATGTCCTTCAATATGAATCCCAATAAATGGATGTTGGTCAATTTCGATTGTTCCACTATGTGGTGAGTAACAGTGAATTCCCTTCGTTTCCTCACTGTATTTTACTGTTTAACGAGTTAATTTACTAGGGTAAAGGATCGTTTCAAGTTAACTCAGGCTCTGGTTGTCGATCCTCTGTACTTGCAACACAGTTACTCAGGTTAGAAAGTTCTTATTGACTTTACGAAATTACAGTACGAACTGCTCATTACAAATTATTATTATTTTTTCTTTTTAGAAAAGGCTATAGATTATAGGGTAAGTTTTACTTTGTGTCTTTTAGAAATTAGTTTATAAAATAATTTTAAAATATTCATAGCACTGGGGGATACCATTGAGTAGAAGATTTCGCTCGTTGAAACTGTGGTTTGTAATTCGTAAGTATGGACTAGAAGGGTTGCAGAAGTATATAAGAGAGGTAAGTTTTTAGTTTCCAACCCCTTCTATAGTTGAGTTCTGTAATAAAAACATATTTGGTGCCGATAAAGCACGTAAGACTGGCGAAGAAATTTGAAAATCTGGTGAAGAAGGATGACAGGTTTGAAGTCGTCAATCAAGTGCAACTGGGTTTAGTTTGCTTTCGCTTAAAGGTAAGCAAATCTTTAGTAAATTAAGTTTAATAAGTAGTTTATTATCTAAAATCTATCAAAATTTTATAGTTATTACAAGAAAACTTTGAATGACTTTCTTATAATAAATTACTCAAAGTTTTTACATGTAAAATATCGGTTTTTCATAAATTCTCGCTGTTTTATGTTATTTCGTCATCGAATTTATTTATTAAACTTCAGAATTTGTCTAAAAGTTCGTTTTATCTATAAATAATTCATCATAAAACTCAATTTTTATGCTAAAAAACACGCAAAAAAAAGAATAGCAGCTAGTAAAAGCCATTCAATTTAGCACTTCTTCGTGGGAAAGATTCTAAAAAAATGTTTTTAGAACTGTAAATTGTTTTCAAATTTTCCATAAACAAATGTTTTAAAATATTTTATTATTTAAATTTTAAACGAAAGAGTTTAAATTATACGATCTGTTTTCATCCACAATGCTAAATATTACGAAATAAATCATTCACGAATGCATCTAGGAATTGAACATATCATTAATGGTATATTTACATTAGTCACCTAGCAATTATATTATAGTAATTAAAGTATTCAACAGCAAACTCTTGTCGATTATAATATAAAAAATTCGTTTAAAAAAATTCGTAATTGAACACGCTAGAATTTATTACTAAGTACAGTTTAAACGCTAAATTATACAATACCAAGAAGGTCAACGTTCAGTTCAAATGGTGTAGATGATTATACCGATACTAGATTAAGCCTGTGTACAATGCTACATTACGTAATTCTACAGAAGTCAAAGGTCAATTAAAATATGCGAAATAGTTATTCGAGTGGCTAGCTTCACCCCTCCACCGACTGCAAGGGGTTGGAAGTGATCAATAAAGCATTTTGCTGATCTTTTATTAAAAAAGAACAGCAAAACTGCAATATTACTATAAATATTTTGAGGTGAAAATCTTTCTTACACGCAATGTAACATGATTCCAAAAAGTAAAAGTATCAAATAAAATCATATTAATTTATCCACATTGCGTACATTTTACTGTAAACATACCAAATATATCTTGCTAAGACATTCGTTCTGGTGCCACATCACTAACATTTTGTATATTTTAGAATATTTTGAAGTTCTTTCATTCTTATGTCTTATTCTTTATTTTCTAAAGTATAAAATATGCTTCACCCTCTTTGGTACTTTGTAAAAATGCCAAAAATACTAAAGTACCATAAAAGCACCAAAAATATCATACCAAACTATCAAAAAATTCCTATAGAAAACAGAAGCATGTTTTTCAATTATAAAATTGTTTTATAAAATTACCATAGAACCTGGGTTTACAGTCTAGATACGAACCCATTCATAAAATTTACCTGCAGTCGTGGGTTCGGACCCCATATACGACTAAATACGTTTTCCATCTCTCGATCTTAGTTTCTTCAATGAACACCTTATTTGTATTAATACCTGTTAAAATTGTGTTTATTTGTATTATTTTTATTGATCTTCAATTTTAGGAAACGAATTTTTATGTTAAAAAAGATATTTCTGTACACTTAATAATTTTAATTACTAAAAATATAAATATTTGATTAATGGAAGAGCTATAAAAATGTCCTTACGTATTTTAATTGAGGGGAGTAATATCAGTCAGTAAGATTCAAAGTTGACGTAAGGATTAATAATGAAAATCACGCGATTTGTAATTACTCACACTTACCACACACTTCTACGGATATATTTGTGCAGTGTTTCAATTATACTACTTATACTTTCATTATTAAGAAATTTAATAATTTAATATATCAACGTACGGTGTTTCAGGGATCCAATAATTTGAATCAAAAGCTCCTCTCCTCCATTAACGCATCGGGTAAATTGCATATGGTTCCGGCATCATTAAACGAAAGATACTTCATCCGATTTTGCGTGTGCGCTCAGCATCCAACGGATGACGACATCACTTACGCATGGAAAGTCATCACGCAATTCACTTCCGATCTGCTCGAAATCATGAAAATGGACAGCAATAAAGAGAAGAATAGAGTAATATTTTCTATTTTTTACTTTTAAGAAAATTTGATCTAATAATAGAAAAACTTAATTTGTAATAGTTTCCATAATTTCAATCAAAACAATTAGAAAGTTATTGAAAGTCGCGGGTTCCCTTCTCTTACACTAACCAATTAGAATTTTGCATATTCTGATTTCTTTTATTGATGGTTGGCTTGTATAATTTATACACTAAAGTCCTAAATTTGAGCTTTAATTTACATAGCTTATGCAATAGTGTGTGCATTTTGAATGTTGTTTCACGTAATTTATAAAGAGTGAATTTTCAGCGTTATTTTTTAAAATTATCCTTAAATATACTTCAAATGAATCCCTCACTTTCATGATTAGTGAAAATTTTAATTATAACTCTATATAGTATCATGTTAAAACTGCATTTATAGAAATCTAATTTCAATTTATAACACAACTTATGGGAAATACGAGTTTCGCTTTACGACAGTTTGCAAGAATAAGTGGCATTAGCGAGGAGTTCAGAAGCAGAATATATAAGTACTTTGTGTTAAAGTGGAGTTCAATCATTAAATATTCTAAAAAGAGTAAAGTAATGCTAAACTTACTTGCAAAAGTACTATCAACCTCATTTTATTTTGAATGTTCTTTAGATTTTGACGTAATTTTGAAATACTGGATGTATTCAAACATAATTAAATTTTCATTTTAGGAAGAGGAAGAGGAGGAGGAAGAAGAAGAGGAAGAAGAAGAAGAAGATAAAGAGAACAAAGACGAAGAATCTGTAGACGAAGTTTTCCTTCTAGAACGCAAGAAACGTCACAGCTTAAAATACAAGAGAAGTTTCTTCGTCAGGATGGTGTCAGATCCAAAATTATACAACCCTAAGATAGTCAGAGCTCTTTCTTCTACTGGAAGTAGGAGACATACCAGTGATCCCATAGACAGTGATACAGGTGTTATAACACCAGTCTGAATTATGGAAATAATTTAAAAATATAAGTAGAAAAACTTCATTTATCTTACGTTTTGTGTCCAAATAATCAAAAATTATCTAAAGCAATTATTTGTGGGAAAAACAAAGGGTTTTACAATTACTTTAGTGATGTAAAGTTGTTCTCAAATATTGTTAAATTCTCTAGTTCTCCCTTTGATTAGTAGTTTATATTTTTCTGATGTTTAAGGATCTATATAAATATATATACATATATAAATTTAGATTTCTGTAAATGTGAAGATATCAATTGAACAAATGTGTAAATACTGTATGTAGTGTATATGTTAATCAAACAAATAATAGTATCAAAATGTATTTGTTATTTAATTAAATTAAAAATTATATTATGGGCATATATTGGTGTGTTTCTATATGTTTTAACTCAATATCTTAAAAATACATAAATCAAATGTATATATAGTGGGAGGAAAGACATGCTAGAGATAAAGACAGAACCAGATTTAAATTTGGCGTGACTCTAAGACCTAAGCTATAAAGCCTCTTACCTCCATAAAATAGTAATGTTATAAAAATGTAAAAGTTTAAAACTAGTATTGTGAGGCCCTAAGTTTTAGCTTGTTTAGCTTATATATAAACTCAGTCCCAATAAAGCAAAGAGATACCAGCATAATAAATATTGATCTAAAGTAGGGTGACTAGACTCCCAAGTTTTGCCTTTGAATATAGCAATTTTATTAACATCCAAATATAATATTACCAATTTATAGATCAATAAATAAATTTCAAAAAATAACCGAAGTTCAATCAGTTTTAGACTCCATTTTCACTGATTCTGAAATGTGTCCCCAATTGAATTGTAAATGTTATGGTCAGCATAAAGGCATACATATTAAGGTAATAAAGGAAAAATATATGTATGAAGATGGAAATAATGGATATACTATATTATATGATTAAGGTAAAAGATTAAGATGTGTGTATATATATTGACATAAAGGTAGAAGATATAAATTTTCATTTTGTCTTTTATCATTATACTCACCTTTTCCCCATAGGAGAAATACCATTATACTTCACCTTTTCCCAAAAGTTACATTAAATATAAAGAATAAAGCATATATATTGAAATAAAAGTATAACACAAAGACATACTACAGAATGACTGATGGCTAAATGGCTAAGTGAATAAGGTGGGAGGCCACCACTCTGAGAACCCAGGATTGAATCTGGATGGCTAACAAAAACTCCAGGAAGTTTTTTTTGGATGGTTTATTTTGAATATCCATCCCTCACCACTCAGCCATTGCAATGTGAGCCTGGCTGAACCCATAATGGGCTTGCATAAAAGTTAGTGCCCACAGGGCAGAGAGTTAAAAAAAAAATACAGAATGACAATAATTCAAATCAAAATAATCAAAAACGTAATACTGAAAATTCATTGCTATGAATTTTCACTTATACAAGAAGAATTTTACTTAGAACAGCTTTGTTAATTACAATAAAACTCTTTTACTCTAAAATAATTACCTAACTTTTGGATCATCCTGAATATTGATCTAAAAGAAAAAATAAATCTTTATCTTTTGTATATATTGAGATAAATTCACTTGATTTAATTATTAACAAAATTTATGAGGGAAAGAATGCCTTAAAAATTGAAATAACCAGAATTAGTACTATTTTTGTTACTTAATTCAAAGATTATCTCTAATTACCTAATTATCCACAAATTGTATACAAATAAGTCCAATAACATGAATCTAAACAATTTCACACATCATCCAATACCACTTTAAGAACAAAAGAACAGAATTGGCTGTATAACTCAATACAGCCAAAATGAGTCTTGGAATTTATAAAATGTTTTTTCTAGTCATTTCTAATATTATAGACATAAATGATTGTTTTCAAAGTTTTAAAAATTAAAACAATTAAATTTTTTTTTGTAGTTTACTGCTTATTTACTCTCAAATTTACAGGGTGTCCCAAAACTTTCCACACATACAAAGGTGGAATGTAACTTTATTCACAACACATTAAAATGTCAGCATTAATATTTGTGTCAGTGGATTGATAGAGTAAGGCAACGGAATACATGGGTGATCTATCAATGGAGTTTCCACATAGGAAGTCCTGCTAGCAGGATTTCCTATGTGGAAACTGGATTGTTTAGGTGTTAGACACATGAAAACTCTGAACAGTATAGTGGTCAGCCCATTGGTCAGGCACAAACCAATGACCAACTACTAGTCTTCAATGGTTTTATTTAGCCACTGGTGGGCTTGATTTGTGTCAATGTATGGAGACTTTTGGGACAGCCTGTATTTCTATATATTAAAAAATGTCCTCAAATTAATTGATTTTATGTATCTCAATTTCTATAACTGCAATTTTTATATTTTAGTTGACTTATCCTACAGTTTATAGGAAATGTAAAGTTTTTATGAAACCAAAATTAAAAAAAGGAATTTATTTTCTTCACTTTTAAAAATATGAATAGGATGGAACTCAAAACTTTTTTCTAATTAATGAGATTCTTCAAGGATAATTTTATACTTAAAATGATGAAATTATGCATCACAATTTTGTCATGTATAGTTTTTAAGTGTATTAATCATTGCACTAAGGCTTCATCTTACAGTCATAAAAGATCTACATGTTTTCACAAAATACAGTCTTTAAGCATTATGCATTTATTTAATTAATAAACCTGAAGATGATTTATTTTATGCTTCTTGTATTTTTCATAGTTTTAATTTTAGTGAAGGATCTGGGTTTGCCAACAAATTCATCTATATGCTTTTATTCTATTCATTATAAATAAAAGTATTTAGAATGGCAAAGTTTAAATAATGTTATTAAATTTCTAATATCTATACAAAAATTTTTAATAGTATGTGAAAATTTGTTATATAATTCTGAAAATAATCAGTTCAAATTAAGTTCTTTTTTTATTTCAATTAATTTTTATCTAAAATTATGTATGGGAAGTAATTCTATCATATTTTTATTTTTCATTTGAAAAAAAATACAGCATAAAATTTTTGATTTAAAAATAGAAAATTTTATTAGAAAATATTTATTCTTGAAGTAAGACACTAAAATGGTCCGTTTTTAATTCCATCATTAGCTTCATCAGGTCAATAATGTGGGTGCAGTCAAACCTACAATAGCATAAAAACAGTGCTGAGGCAAGGCCTGATGTATTTAAGTTGAATCAAATATTAAAATTTGGGTTCTGACCCAGATTCATATGAAGATCCCAGAGCAGTGAACTGATGTCTTTATCATCACAACCATCTGGTCATTAGAATCACACTTCAGATATTTCTCTTTGTGGTTGTTATTCTTTAGTGAACTTTTTATTTAAAAAGAACTGTCTATGCCCACAAAAGTATGACATTTATAACATTACTGACTAAACTAGGCCAAATTGAATCAAGCACAGGAAATTGAGAGATTATAAATTGTTTCTGATTAATTCACATGTGTAATATTTAAATTTGTTATCAATTAATTAAAGCTTTAATTGAATGAATTTTGAAATTCAGTTTTTTTGTAAAAAGTTAGTAATAAATTTTAAAAATGTTAATGATTTAATAAATACTTTTATTGAATTTATTTCAGATTCTTACAATCCTTTAGAAAGAATATTCATTTGTATGAATTCTTTCATTTGACTTTTATTTTCTTTTAAAGAAAAACTTCTAAATTAATTTCTAATGCTGAACATGGATGAATTAAATCAAAGCTGGTAACAATTTCAGGATGAAGTACACCTAAAGAGCCAATAGATTGGCCATTGAAGATAACTTGAGCACAACGACCAGGAAAATACAATGAGTCTGTAACAAGATAATATATATTTAAATAACAAATACTTAACCAAAACAAATTTTATATATATTTATTTATTTAAGAAAATATATTTACCATTATGAGCAGATATATAATATCCTTTATTTTTATCTTCAGTGCAAAGAGATACATCTAATACTTGCATAATCCTATCCATTATTCCATGAATTACTTCAAATCCAGGATTTTTGTTATAATATACAGCACATAGGTGACGTTCATTACGAGCTCCTACATCTGTAATATAAACAGTTTTTAGAATAAATTGAATAGAATAGCTATTCAATTTATAATAGTATGTTTTTATTTAAAAGTAATTCTATCATATCTTCTATCAATTTAATTCTATCAATGGTAGTTTTTATTTAAAAATTTGTAATTGTTCATCATTCATACATTGCATTCTGTTCTGTTATGTTCAATCTGATCTGCAGTTGTGACATTATTAGGATTAAACAGTTTTAAGAATTAATTAGGCTCTTAAAAGTGAATAAAAATTTTCTCTTTTTTTTTCATAAGTTGAGATGTAAGGAGTTGAATATGTCTCAACAAATGATGCTGCAAGTAGTGCATGTTCATGTTCATGTAATGCAAATGTTAATGAGCTCTCTACTTTGTGCAAATTTTAGCTCGATTGACTTAAAAGTCAGAGTAACAGTTAAATTTAACAAAAATGTATGTGCCACTGGTATCAAGTTGAAATACCAGTTCATGTTCACATAAGCTTAAAACAAGTTTTTATCAGCCCATAATGTTTTAGAAACACTAAGGCATATAAGTAGCAGTCCAGGATATATTGATAAGTTATTATTATGTTACCTCGGTTGTAATCAACTTTGGTAACATAATAATTGATCACACTATTAACCAAACAAGGTTATGGAATTAAGTGTGATAGAAAATCTCTGGTCATCAACCCATATCTTGATAATTGATCTTCAATATTAAGAAATATACATACAGTAATACCTTGATTTATGCTACCCTGACTTACGTGAACCCAGAGTTATGCGATTTTCAAATCTCGTCGATTCATCTTTTGTTTGAGCGCCACGCAACTGTTGATTACTCATTCCCCCCACACTATTGTTCAGCTTACATGTTCGGACGTGTCGCGCAGAATCGACACATAGCTACAATTTATTTTGTGTTATTTATTTTTGTGTTTGTTATATCTACGGAGACTTGAGAGACTCTATGTGGTGATTTCTTGTAACCGTGAACGAATCAAAAGACGAGAAAAGATTAACGAGAACATTTATTAGCTTACATACATCCAACTTGGATTTTACACAAATTGCGAAATTATACCCCGACTTAAGCAATTATCGCCCAGTCCCACCTATCGCGTAAGTTCGGAGTATTACTGTATTAATAATTTAAAATATTCTAACCTTTAGAATTATCTTTTACAACAATATCAGAAATCTCAAACAATTTAACAGGCAGAGGAATTCTCTTATTTGCATGAATAGTCTTTAACAATCCAGGAAGTAGAGTTGTTCGTGCTACCTTTTAAAACAAGATAAAGTTATGTTATAGTCAAAATTAATAATAATAATTTTGTTAGTTAATAGTAAATATTAATAAAAATAGGTAAACAAATATTAAACCTGAAATTCAGTTGCTTTCGGATTGGAAATATGAACAGCTTCAGATAATTCATTTGGTTTCCTTAATTTGTCAGTAATGTCTTCTTTAGAAAGCTGTAAAATATTTATTAATATTTGTAAATTAGTTTAAGAATCAGTATTAATTTAATTAGTAAACTTAAATAAAAACTTATTATACCAATGAAAATGTTAAAGTTTCTGTGAATCCAGCATGAGCCATTTCCTCACGTAGTTGATCTGATAATTTGTTTAGAGGAAACTAGAAGGTAAAAAAACTTAATTTTACATTTCGTAACCAGAAAACAGAGCTAAAATAAAGTTAATATAGGATTAATCACAAAAATAAACAAACTTTTTCTCACGATAATCTAAAGGCATCAACTAGTGTATATATTCATAATATATATATGGTATCTTTAAAACATGATACAAGAAATAATTTATTTCAGAAAATTTTTTCTTCTTAAAAATTTTTTAAAATTACATGAACAACTGCATTGTTATTTTGTATAGTTTAAAAAAATCATATAAACTATTCTGTAAATCTAGTAAAATAATATGTGAATGTATTTATGAATATACTTGAGAAAAATATTAATTTTTCTACAGGATAAATATAGATTTATTCCATGGAAAATCTTAAATTTATTGCAGGAACACTACAGGTATCCCTTGTACAACATGACACTTCTACAGCATGGTTTCACTCTAACACAGTTTGAGAATTTGGAAAATTCTTTGTACAAAATTTCACAATTTTTAAGTACAAACTCTATTATTCAATATTTTTTCCTTTCAGTAAGCATGCACGTTGTCTCAAATTTGCCCATGGATTTTAGAGTATTGAAATTTTCAATTTGTTTTGTGCCTTTCATCAGATTTACTTTAATGAAAACTGATAGTACAATTTTTTTTCCTTCTTGTCCTAGCTTTCCTATCAACAGATGTCATTGTCATTGCTTTCAGACTTTAGCCTTTAAGACTGTCACTGTCTTTGTTTTTATAGATTAATCTTCGTATTTATTAAAGTTTATTTAAACATTTTTACATAAGTGTTATTTAACTATCTTTAACTGTAAGTAATCATTCATAAAAATGATAAATGAAATACAGCAGTATCTGTACTGCTGTATTTCATTTCATATCAAACTGTTTCCAACTCAAACAATTCAGTATTGAACACAAATTCTTAAAAAATCATTCAGTTCTTGATTGAACAAACACAAACTGCTAAAACAAATTTTCGATTAAAAACATATTTTTATTTTCACACAAACAAACAATTTTTATGGAAAAAAGAAAAAAAAATGAAGACATTGCTGATTAAGATGAACAAAAAGTTCAGATAATGATGATTCTTTGTAAAAAGAAAATGTGCTCATTTAATTAAAATCAATATTAACATATAATACAGTACTTTTAATTGTGATTGTTAGTTAATTATTGATTGCTTTAATAAATATATTTTTCTTAGTAACAAAAAAGAATAGTATACTTTTGTTAACTTCTGAAATGTAACCCCATGCTTGTATTAGTCCTTTGTTTTGTATAGCACAAATTCACATAGCACAGCACTTTTTCGGAACATAACTATCATGTTATATGAGGGATACCTGTATTTTGTCTTAAATACGAAGAAATAAATGTGTGAAATTAAAACACTTCTTAAATCATCTTGTTTACTTTTTTAACAAAAAAAAATTCTGTTTAAATTACAAGCTAAATTATCATCATTGATGTAATGATTTCTTTTTATATTTTACCATAAATATATTTTCATTCATAAATTTATAATATTTGACAAAAATCACATGCAGTTTCTAAAAATCAATACAAATGTTTTTCTTTAATAAACAAAGCATATAATTTGCATGCATGTTATTGTTTACATGCTAAATATAATGATAGTAATGAAGATCATGGTAATAACAATATAAAAGTCTCTCTTTTTAATAATATGAAATAAATAATAAAATAAGGTAAATACAGTAAAATATCAAGCTATTTTGCTTTATTGGTAATTCTTTGTATTATCCAAGTGAAACACTTGGATAATAATATTTTAATTCTTTATCACAATTAATAGTAATATAGTAAATATTACAGTATACCAGAATTATAAGCCATAATAACAGTTTATAAATGAAATCAACAAATAATCATACTTTAATACACAATGCAACTTTGGTAAGAAGTAATATAGCTGTACTCCATTGTATAATTTTAGTTTAGTTTGTAGTTTTTAGCATTTCTCCTTTGTTCTTTCTTACTTCTAGTTCTTAATCTTAATCTATTCAACTAGGTGGTGAGGGCCACTTCGTGGAATCACAAGAACAATAAAAGTGATGTTACCTGAGGGCACTTGTGGGGAGTGTAGGATACTTTTTGGCTGGTCTTTGTGGAATAAGAACAAAGAAGATAGTGCTGAGTGTTGTCAAGTATCTGAGAGATGAATGAAACTAAACTGGAGTAAGAAAAATTTATGAACTTATTGGAGTGACAACATAGTGAATCTTAGATATAGAAAAAAAAAAAATGTGGAAGCTCAAAAGGAGTCTAAGGAAGTTCAAATGTGGTCCCTCACAGAAGATAAATAACATTCATACATCCCAGGTATTCTACTCTTTTCTATCAGCCATCTTGCTAACTCTGCCTATACCCTCTGATCTCTTTTTCTCCTTGGCAAAAGTTTTTAAGGATTAGTTATAAGGAAAATCTTGTTGTATTACCCAAGCTTTGCTCCTTTGTATACTTTGTGATTTTGTGTAATTGTCCCACCAACATTTCAGATTTTGGATGAATGCCTGTAATACTGTTTTAGAGTTGGAATCCATTAGAATCTGTACTTTTTACACATAAATAAATATTTTTCTCCCACCATCTGCTGTGCGTGGTTCCTTGTTTGCTGTATTTGCCCTCATTGGCTAATGGTATTTTCATTCATAACTTCAAAGTAAGAATGTTGTTTTACTTAAAAACTATAGTATAAGAAAAACAAATAATGGTTTGTAATAACAATATATAAATGAAAGTATGTGAACGAACCATGTTAAATTTAGGACAAATTATAAATATATACTTAATGGTGAATAGTATATAGCAGTTGGTATATTCTGGTACAGAATTACTAAGAAATTAATTGTATATATCTTATACAAATTAAAATAATATGATAATATTAATATGACTATTTTTATATATATATTTTTTAATTTCAGGAAACCAAAACTTGGCTATATCTGATAACCTAGTTTCTTTCTCATCAACCTTAGACATCTGCTAGATATATTGCAGTGTTATATATTGCTTGAAGCTTTTTAATAATTGAATCTAATAATTAAGAAATCTTATATAACAATTATAAATTAGCCTTACCTGTTGTGCTATTGTTGCAGTTTTTGGAATAGTCATTTTAATGTTATTATACCCATAAGCAATAGCAATGTCTTCCATTATATCACAAGAATGTAGAATGTCATGTCTTGTTGGAGGAATTTCAACTAAGATTTGAGGTCTTTGTTTCTTCTTACGTTTTACATGAGATTTCAAACTCATTTTAGTCAGCATTTTTGCAATTTCATCTTCATTTAAACTAATAAAGTTTGATATATGAATCAATTTTTAAAAAATTATTTTTAAACCACATAATCCTAAATAAAAAAGTTAATATTTTATTACAGAAATAAATGAAAGCATAAAAAGAAAACATTACCATTTTATACATTTAGAATTTTTCAAAAAGAAATACAGACTTCTTGTAGAAAAATGTATAAATAAAAATCTAAATATTGCAGAAAATCCTTAAGGTAAGTTCATATTTCATGAGAATGGATTTAAAATAACAACTTTGATTTAGTACTACTACTTATTCAACTGTAAAATTGACATTAAATCCAGTTGATTTAATGTCAATTTTTATTTTATGGTGCTAAACTGAAGAATTTCAAACAGTAGAAACAACATACAGTAAAGTTACTAAGTTTAAGGATTAAAGTATAAATATTTATGAGAAAATAATGAAACAGAGAAAAAAAATATTTTTTTTTCTGTTTCATTATTTTCTCATAAATATTTGTCAGAATGGAAAAGAGAAAAAAAATATTTTTTTTTTCTCTTTTCCTACTTTTTTTTTCTCTTTTCCTCTTTTCCTAAGAGAAAAAAAATATTTTTTTTTTCTCTTTAGGTCCTACTTTGTCAGAATGGAAAAGAGAAAAAAAATATTTTTTTTTCTCTTTTCCATTCTGACAAAGTAGGACCTAACCTTTATTCTTAAATCTTTGTAAAAAATGGTATCATCATCAAAATTAATTTTGCTTAATGGTAATTTTTAGTGATCAAATGTTTATTTCTATCAGGCAATAAAGTAAATTTAGTGATAACATTATTCTCTCAAGAAAAAGATCATCAAAGAATATGAATAACATTCTTCCAACATTATTCACACATTTTTTAATACAATTCCACATTTATTTTTTTAACACTTACTTAATTCCAACAAATCTATTCACTGCATCCATAGTTACAGAATCTTGTCTATAGTGTAATTCCTGAAAAATTATAAAATAAAAATATAACATTTATAAACTTTAAGGAATAAAGTTTTAATTTCTTAAAAAAAAAAAATTCAATTTTATGTAAATAAAATATAATATTGATTCTACATTATTTAATAAAATCTTTAAAACTAACTAAATAAAACTTAAAATAAAAATTATTTCTTACTGGATAACAAGTTTCAGTACCATCTGAATTAACAACCAAAGCCTCTTCAATCCTATCAAAACAAAATATAAAATATAAAATTTTAATTACTTTAATTTTAATCATTCTCATTCAGATTGTAAACTGAATATCTATTTCAATATTAAATTAAGACAGATTATTATTATTATTATTATTATTTATGAAAACAAAATAAACCATTAAGTTAATTTTAAAAAGTTTTAATTTTCTATATTATTATCTTTCTTTATAATTTATAATTCATTAATATTATAGATTTCATTTGTTAATAAAATTTTCCATTGCATTCCAAGAAGATTAAATTATTATAGTTGATAAATTCATAAAATGCTTTTAAATTACACTTAATATGTAAGAATGTACAGCTAAAATAATTTTTAAATAAATTTATTAGCATTTTTCAATTTCTAAAACAAATTTCTCACTGCCTTTAATAATTGTCAAATTTTAACCACAATAACCAGTAAAATCTGCAAACATGCAAGAGGCAGAACCTCTTTAAAACAAGCCAAGAAATTAGTTATTTCAGCATTACTGATAAATTTTACCCATAAGATATCCTATCTAAGTTGAAACATGTAAGATGTGAATAAAAAGCAATGTGTTACACCTAATATTAGCTAGAGCCTATCAAAGATTTTGTCTTTGATAGGCTTTAGCTAATATTAGGTGTAACACATTGCTTTTCATTAGGTGTAACACATTGCTTAATATTAGGTGTAACATTTGTTTGAGCTTCTGGCACAAACAAATGTTGAATTTAATGAGCTTATAAATTGTTTTGAAGACATAATATATCTATGTGATTTAGATCTAATGATATGTCAATACAAAAAATGCAATTGATACCATTGACAAGAATATAATATCAACAACAAAACAAAATACAGTAGAACCTCGATTATCCGGACTAATTGGGGATGAAGGTAGCCCAGATAAGGAAAAATCCGGATAATCGAAAATCCGGATAATGGAGGTCTGGATAATGGAGGTTCTACTGTATATTTAATACTAGTAAACTTTAATAAAAAATTTTGAACATGTATATCAAATCTTGCAACAAATTCAGAGATAAGATCTTTTGGTTCTTAAACATTCCAAAGAAGAATATCTGCCATTTTTCAATTCCAGACAACTTCATGACTATAGAGAACATCATAATGAGACTTTTCATTGGCTGTACTTCAATACAAATTTTTCAGTGTATAAAAAAGAAAAAAAAAACAAAAACTTGCATTACTCAATTTTGCATTAATTTTTCATAGAACTTCAGAAAATATTTATTTTGTTTTGTTTCCATTCATATTTACATCATATGCTATGCGTGTTCTTGAAATAAGTCTAATTTTGTTTTTTAACTCTTTAAGCTCTGAAAATTTCTTCTTTCTATGTATTTAGAGATGAAACTGTTATTAGCTCTCATGCTATGAGGATATTTTATACAGCAAAACTATTCAAACAACTTTCCCTTCAACCAATTTCATCTTGAAGCGATTAAAGAAGTTTTGGCCAATTTCATGTTTAAAGAGTTAAAACAATGATAAAACAGAGTAATCTTTCTAATGTTTTAATAAGTTTAAAAACACATATATTACTGAAAATGCTGAATATTTCACCATTAATTATAACAAACTCAAAGAGTACTCCAAATTATCGAAACCAAATTCATGCAAGTAAACCACCCATCATGGCATCCATGATCTAAAAGTCAACATTTAAAGTAAGAAAACACTAATAATTTTCATTTAGAATATGGGTACTTAGCACACTCTTTCCTTTTTTTTGGTTGAAAATATATATAAGAATGCATGAGTACCTTATTTTCTGTGCATTTTTCCTTATATTTTAAATTCATTTCAATAAATAAATATAGTCTAAATTAATATTTGCTAAAATAAAAAGAAAATTCACATTATGTAGTAGTAACTATTTTCTTGTTCCAGCTTGTCTAGAACAAGAAATTTGTTAAGTTGAAATGAATGTATTCATTTTTTTCATTTATTCAAATGGAAATAAAAATTTTGAACAATGATATGATCCAAAAATAAGAATCAATCTCAAAAATTTTAACCAATGTTATTAAAAAGAACTTCTAAAAGTATAGGATTTAATTTACCATTAAGTTTGAACAACAGAAATGAGAGAAGGGTCAATAAAATTTTAACTGTAAATAAAATTAAACATATTTCTCTTGTTTGTTGCAAATTTTAAAAAAAAATGAATACATTCATTAAATGCCATTATTTTTAAAAAATTATTTTTTATGTTATTAAATAGTTAACATTATACTTATAAAAGTCTTCTTCTATCATGAGTATTATTTGAATACAGTAGAACCTCGAAAACTCGGCCTAATGTGGACCGAAGGGTGGCCGAGTTTGTGAAAATGCCGGGTTATCGGGAATGGGGTTAAAAAAGGATAAGTATGCTTGTTTCTTCAGAAAATAGTGTACTGTACTTGTATGTATTGTTTGCTGGAGAATACAACAGAGAATAAACTGCCCAAATACCCTTAAACAAAGGAAAAGTACGTACTTTATGAAGGCATAGAGCCTTTACTACATGAAAATGAAAATTAATGAATACACTGTGTACAGTAATTTACCTGATAAGACAGATCTCAGAAAAATACTTTATGAGAGCTTTTATACTTTTATAAAGCTGTCTATAATGAAAATTAATTAACTAAGGATTTTTTTACCCTGCCAGGGTGTGGCCGAGTTATCTGGAGCGCCGGGTTATCGAGAGCTGAGTTTTCGAGGTTCTACTGTATTAATTCTTTTTCAACAAACTTAAGCATGAACACCTTTTTATTTATCTTTTTCTTCAAAATATGAAATTTTATACAAATTAATTAATTTAAATGAAATATTTGTTCAATCTTATGTATTTCTGATAATCAAATATAAATAGACTGAAAAACATTCATTTCTTTTCACAAATTAATATTTATTATTATTATTTGAAATCTTTCTTATTTCATTTTCATTTTATAATTTAAACACAATTTTGACCAATTTATTGATTGCTTTTTAAATATGTTAGTGAACACTATTATAAAACTTTGATGAATTATTATAAATAATTTAAGAAGTTTGCAGTTATGAACTTTTATTTGTAATAAGAATTTACTCCATAATTATTATTACAATACGAATAGAGAAAAGAAAAAGAATTTGAAAATTTTTACAGAACTGTTCAGAAAAAATAATTTGACACCCACTTCTTATCAATAAATAATAATACTTAATATATTTTATCTTTAAAAAATTTACTGATAAGTAATATCATTAAAAAATATCAAAATAGTTGGACTATGTTTTACTATTAGCATCAATATTTTATATTATAGTAAACAAAGAAATATTTTAATATTGTTAAATAACTTTTTCTTATCAGAAAACTCCATTTTTTTCACAACAATTTTTTTGTATTAATTGTTGATTTATCTAAATAAATTTAATAGGTCAAAATTAAAAATTTTCTTTTCCAGGGAAATAATTTTTATTTGAAAATAGTATACAACAGAAGTTTTATCCTGAGTCACTTTATAACAGTAATTTCAACAAATATAACTATTATTTTGTCTATTTTATTGCCAAGTTGACATTTTTATAGTCCATGTGCAGAAATACCATTATTTTATAAGAGCTATAAAATAATGCTATAATCATTAAAAGTGTAATAAAAACTTACACTGTAATTTGAAATAAATGATTACATTATCAGTTCCCACAGAACAGACTTCAAAAAATAAATAAATAAATTATTAACATACTCTGCATTCAATGGTATATAGCAGTGGTGGGCAAGCAAGAGTTCAGTGGGAGCTGAAATGTAGGTTTTGCAAAATGCATGGGAGCCGCAGTTCTGTACTTTTTTATTCTGTACCGTGATTTTATTATATAATATAAATATTATATAAAACAAATATTGAATTTTTTAATAAACATATTTTCACAAAATTGTGGAAATAAAATTGTAAAAATAATAATAAAAAGCAGAAATTAACACTTTCAGCAAGAGCCACATGTAACTCAAAAAGAGCCACATGTGGCTCTCAAAGCTGCATTTGCCCATGATGGGTATATAGTATAATCTTTATATTAATGTAAATAAAAACTTAACACTTACGTGAAAGGTTCATCGCAGTACTGACTAAACATACATACAAGAACATCTAAAACTATTTTAGCTTTCTGTAGATCTACAGCTGTACATTCAATGAATACATTTCGAGTATTTAAGGTTATTTTTGAAGTATTTCCTAAAAATTCCATATTAAAAATATTTTAATTTAAAGAAATAAAATTTCTCATATTGAAAATAAAAAACTAACCATTGATAATTGGAGGCATAGAAAGTACAACATTATTCTGATCATAAATAACTGGATATACAGGTTTATCTCTAATAATGTGCAAATAATGTCTTAGATGACTGTCAGTCTGAAAAGTTATTATTAAATATTAACAAAACATATTGAAAAAATTTTATAAAAAAATAATAATAAGAACAATCAAGTTTCTAAATTAGAAAGCTACTAATGCTGTACTAAACTGTAATCCTTGTTTGCATGTATTAAAAGTTTATGTCTCACCATAAATTAAAATATTTATTATTATAATAATAATGATGGATCACAGAAGATATGAAAACACATGTGAAAAAGAAAATAAATAAAGGTTAGATCGCAAACATTAAGTTCTCTTTAAATTAACAACATATCTAATTGTATAATAATCCCTAATCATATACTATTAATAAAAATAAAGGAACATAAAAGAGCTATTGTTGTAAGCAAGTTATTAATCCATTACAGAATAGCATTCTGTTAAATTTATAAAAGAAAAAAAAAGCAAATACATGCCTAAGTCTTCACAGAAATACTATGCCATAATCTAGTAAATAAAACTTCTTGCAATTTATTTGATGTTCTTTTTATTTATATTACATATGCTATCAGTTAATAAAATGTTTGTTTTATTTATATTTTATGTTCCATTACTAAGTTTATCTAAATGTATTTACATTTTTACATTATATTTCTTATATTTCATTGTTCTGGAATTTCTATTTGAAAAAACTTTATAATAATAGTAAAAATACACTGAATTTATAGAATTCATTTATTTTATATATTTTTCAATAGCAACCTGCTTTAAATTCTATTATATTTCCTAGTATAATATAAAAGACACTTTACTCACAAGAAAAGATAGTTAATATAATAATTAGGATTAATTAATTAATTAATATAATAGATAATTAAGATAGTTATTGGTATATGAGATTTTAAGAAAATGTAATTTACAATTTGTAAATAAAAAATATATATTGAAATTATCTGTGTATTTTAATTTTATACTTTTAAAACTTTTACATATATTTTCAATATATATTTTTAATTTTAATTATTTAAAGTACATATATTTAAATATTCAATACTACTAATAATAATATACTTAATAATAAAATACTTACTGAATACAATTCCATTATTTCTGTTGCAGAAAAGGCTTTATTTTGATTTAAAGGAACAAATTTAATTTCAGAAGGAGGCTTGGCATCATAAATAAATGGACCTTCTATTGTATCTAAATCATGAGTTCCAATTGCAACAAGACTACGTTTCCTAAAAAGATAATTATGAATCTTTACACAAATACAAATAAATTTGATTTACCCTATTCCCTTTTTAACAGTCTGTGGACTAGTTATTAAAAACCTGCATCTCATCAAGATGTGCAGTTTGCATATCAGGGTGGACTTTATGCAAAAAAATTAAAATTAAACTGAATTAAAAATTCCTTTTGATAACAATAATACCAATAACTGTTTTATTTGAAATCACTTTTAAATTAACATACATTTCTTGAAAACAATCAGAATTCCAGCCATCAAATTCATCATAATTATTATTTGATTGTAATGAGTCTATTGACCACGAATCCCCTTTGCCAATAGCCTCATCTTGCATCTCTTCATTTATTAAGAATAAAATCTTATTAAAAATTTTATTTCAGCATTTTGGACCTCACCATGCAACAGCAATCATACTTACCTAATAACAAATATTTCTCAAAAATAAATTCCAATTGATTGAAGAATACTCAAATCTCACAAAAAATAAAGATTACCCATAATCTCTCATTATCATATCAAAAATCTTCTGAATTGTAAAAAATTCCACAAAGTGGCAACTGATCACATGCTAATGAGGTCAGATCTCTTAAGGATTTTCTGTTGCTGTTTCTGAGAAATTGAGCTACTTCATCATCAATAGTTGGTCTCATCGTATAGTCTGTAAACAATATGCAAGGATAAATACATAAAATTTTGAAATGAAAAGTATGTATAACACTGCACATACTATTGATAAGAGCAGACTATTGCAATGGGAATAGGATTTATCTTGTATATCAATATTCAAGAGAAAAGTTAAACATTCAGTTTGATGAAATTAAGTACTTATAAATTCTATTTTTCAAAAATAAATAAATATTAAGAAGATATTAAACCAATTAATCATTATTATATAATTTATTAGAGAAGTATTTTTGACTTGAGTTTTGTAATCAAAAAATAATAAAACTAATAAATCTGAAAACATTAACTTATTAAAAACAATTTTATTTCAAATCTTTTTAAATTTTATAAATTATTATGTATATATAACTGGAATACTGAAAGTAGAATAAAATAGATTAACAAACTAGTAAAATTAAAAATAAAACTAGCATGTAATATTAATGTCTTTTCTGGATACCTTATACAGAAGAAAAATAATAATAAACTATTTACTAATGAAATAAAAATAAATTTGTTTCATCTAGCAAATATCATAGCACAAAAAATGACATCAATCAATAGAATCATAAACATATTTGTTCCCATAACGTTTATTACAAATATTACAGTATAGGTGGTCCTTGACTTTTGGACATTTGACATTCAGACAATTTCTCTATCACAGATAATACTTTATACTCTTTCATTCTTCTCTATCATTACATAATACACTTTAACTGCTATTCAAACACTGAATTCAATCTTTTGTACATTTTCAGCTAATGAACAAAACTTTTAAGCTATTGTGCATATAATAATAATGATGGATCACAGAAGATATGAAAACACATGTGAAAAAGAAAATAAATAAAGGTTAGATCGCAAACATTAAGTTCTCTTTAAATTAACAACATATCTAATTGTATAATAATCCCTAATCATATACTATTAATAAAAATAAAGGAACATAAAAGAGCTATTGTTGTAAGCAAGTTATTAATCCATTACAGAATAGCATTCTGTTAAATTTATAAAAGAAAAAAAAAGCAAATACATGCCTAAGTCTTCACAGAAATACTATGCCATAATCTAGTAAATAAAACTTCTTGCAATTTATTTGATGTTCTTTTTATTTATATTACATATGCTATCAGTTAATAAAATGTTTGTTTTATTTATATTTTATGTTCCATTACTAAGTTTATCTAAATGTATTTACATTTTTACATTATATTTCTTATATTTCATTGTTCTGGAATTTCTATTTGAAAAAACTTTATAATAATAGTAAAAATACACTGAATTTATAGAATTCATTTATTTTATATATTTTTCAATAGCAACCTGCTTTAAATTCTATTNATGTTTTATGTACTGTAACATACTCACTATAAAAAAAGTAAACTTTTCTAACTTAATAAAACACTTTATAATTTTCCTTTTAGCCGTGTAGAAATGGAATTTCTTCATAGCATGCAATTTTATGACAAAACATGCAACTTTCAAATATTAAACTTTTGTACATATTTTTAAGTATATATCACATCAAAAAACCAGGGACTGTTTTACTGCTGTTCCATCTTCAAACTAAAAATAATCATGTTACATCACAGTTAAGCAGAGGCTATTCATTCTTCAACGGCCAACCCACTTTGTGCATTTTGGCCTCAAAGAAAAGCCTTGGGCAGGCAACGTTGGAAGGAGGCTCCAAGCACCCCAAACGAACTGCAGTTACATCTGGAAGATTTACAATTTTCTTTGTTTTCCTTAGTACAGCCGGAGTTGGGTCCTTCTGTAAGACCAAGGCGTGCAACTAGTTGAGAACATCTTTGCAGTTCTTTTAAGGAGCTTGGAACCCCCTTCCAGCATTGCCTGCCCAAGGCTTTTCTTTGAGGCCAAAATGCACAAAGCAGGCTGGCCATTGAGGCCACTAGTTAACAAGTGGTCCCACCCCACCTATTCACTCTTATTTAAATAAATTAGAAAAATAAAAATTTTTGATTAGTCTGAATTTGACTCCATAAAATGTCAATATATTGTACAATAATTTATATTTTGAATAATTTTATTTATATAATTTCAACATAATTTATCTACATGTTTATTGTAAATACAATTTAAATAAAGTCAAAATTTACCTGCACAAATTTTGATGTAATTTATCTTGCAAATCAATAAAACTATTATATCTTTCTTTTGTGAAAGTAATATTTCTCAAAACTGCAGCAACAGCAAAAGGCCTGACTCTAGTTGTCTAAAATAAAATAATGTTATTTACAATTAATAACTCATTAAAATTAAATTGTTATTCTCTATATATTATCATTTCATTAGACTTAAACCATTAAATTAAACAGATGTATTACATTGATAATTAACTTTGTTTGCTTTAAAGTGTAATGCAATTATATTTTAAGACCGATATAACTACTGAAAAAATTTTTGTTTACTATATAAATCAGTATGCATTGTTACCTTAAACTTTTAAGATAAGGTCAAAAGTAATTTATTTTCAGAGAAAAATTATTTTTTTATTTATCCAAAAATATGTTTTTATGAAAGTGTACCAGAAAGACAGACTAAATAGAATTCTCTCTCTAATCAAGATATATTGCCTTCAAATTATCCAAATTTATGTTTAATAATTTGAATTAACTGTGTTTTTTAAATACTAATTTAAATACATATGAAAGGAACAATAGTAAGATTCAAATTACCCAATAAATCAAATTAATCATATTCAATTGTATTTATAAATGTATTTCATGTGTCTAGATTATCATCATAAATAAATTTATGTTCAATGTCACATTTACAGGATTTTAATTGTTGCTTTAAGCCAGTAAAAAGTGGCATTGCTTGTAAAATTTAGAAATTAAAACTAATCACAAAGTAAAATTAAAAATCTTTACCTCTGATTTGATTATCAACTGTTGTAAAACCCCAGAAGGTTTCACTCTTCGATAATGTGGAATAGTAGCTCTAAAAATTAAAAACAAAATAAATAAAAATTATTATACTTATTAAATATTTATTTATATATTTTTCAATAAACAATTCCAAAATATGAAATATTAATTAATATTTTAAAAATTTTGAACTAAATATCAATTAAATCAAATTGTTTACAAGATTATTTAGAATATGTTATTCAAAAATATTTATATTTAGACTTACAATTGAGAAATTTATAACAACATTAACATAATCATTATCATTAGGATAATTAAATTTCATTATTAAATCAAACAGGGATTTTTTCCATTCAGAAAAAGCAACATATGAAAATCTTCACATCCTTTTTTTCATCTCTAAAGTTTTACTCAATTCTATTCTGTACATTTGTTTCATTATATATATATACAATAAAACTTGCTAATATGACAACTGAAGGGACCAGCTCAAAGTATTCATCTTATGCAGGTGGTCACATTAGCAGGTTTCACTGTATATATAATGAAACAAATGTACAGAATAAAGTAGGTTTCACCGTAATTACTATTATTATTATTATTTTCAAGAAATAGATTAATTTTCTAATCAAGTAATGCCACATAATAAACTATTTATAAATTTTAATTTTTTCAACAATGTATATTTTCAAATTGTGATATCTAAATTTAAAACTTTTACTATGTTGCAAATATTTAAAATTGGTGTTTTTTGGTTGAATGTACATATCCTTCAGTAAAATACAACAACAGAAAATTCTGTAAAATCTGACTGGAACTGCAACTACCTTATATAGTAGATTCCTAATTATTCAGGTAATGTCAACTATGAATATCTCAGATAACATGGAGTGTTTGGTACAAAGTAATTTACAAAATACAAGAAAATCAAAGTTTTAAGAAAATTATCATTAAAATTTCTTCAATTTTTTTAAAATTCACCTTGTCATAAAAATTATTTATACAAAAGTCAATTTCTAAAGTACCTTTCAACAACAATACATCTCCTAGCCAAAACTTTTAAAATAAACTGTTTTCTTATCTTCATTCACAAAATACTCTTCACAATTAACTCCATATAATGCAAAGTCTCAGTTAAGCAGATCTTGATTAATCAGGAATATACCAAACTGCCAATCTTCTTGATTATATTAAATAACTGTATTTTTTATGATTTTTATAGTGAATGAGATTACTATGTTAACTGTATTAAAAGTAACTCTGTCAATAATATATGTAATTTTATATTATCTATCAATTATTGTAATATTTATCCTGTTAAGATGATTATCTTGACTATAAGAATTATTCTGTCCAAGTGTAACTTTTATGCTTTATTTTCAAAAATTACATTTGGAGTATATGTGTAATATTATTCTGCATATGAATGAGATTTTCAGTCTGTTTTTGATAAATAATTTTTGCCATTTGATCTTACCTGTATTTTGAAAAGGAACTTTTCAAACAGATATCATACACCCTGTAATTTCATAAATCATACATCTCAAGTGTCATATTACGTAAAATTTCATTTATGTTAATTTTTTCCGCTGTTGATTATATTAAGAAATAAATCTTCTAAGACAAACTAAGAAATATGATGTTTTTTATTAAATGCAAATGCAAAGAAACCCATGAGATAAAATTTGTTAAATGCAAATTTATGAAGCTCTTAAAAATGTTTTCTATTTTCTACAGTTTACTCAAGTTTTGTCAGTTTACTTACATCAAATCCAAGAAAACAAAGCATTTGAAAAAAAAACTAATTTAAAGAAAACTGAAGAAAGCTGTTAAATAATTAAACAAATGTGTTTTTCTTAATATTTAAATTAAACACTTCAGAACTCAACATTGCTTTTATAATTTTAAGTACTGTACTTCTATACAATGCACTGAATTTATTATGTAAGTAACTTAATTATATAAATTCTCAGTAAGTAAATATAGAGCAGGAAATCAATTTAACATAATGGAAAATAATTAACAACTTTTGTTAATATTAAATTAATTGTATTATTCGTCAAATTTCCATATTCTTACACAATATAAATAAAACAATTTTGGATAAGTAAAAATCATGAAAATTTTACATAGATAATAGCATATTATATTATTTTATATTAAAAATAAATTTTAAATATGAAATTCATATAAAAAAGAACACAGAAAACTTACTAAAATATCATTAATGTAAATGAATGTATTTTCATCATTAAATGTAAAATTTAAAAACAATTTACTTACTTTCCTTGAAATATTAAAAGAGCTCTTGCAAGACCTTCTAAGCATAGCAGATCATATCTATAAAATAATGAAATATTTAATAATATATATTTTCGATTTTTATTCTATGAAAAATAAAGGTTATCAATATCATTATTATATTTAAATAATAACAACATAATTCAATCCAATAATTACATAACAAAAATGTTGGAAAACAGCTATTATGTGTAGTTTAAAAATTACTAAGTGGATTAATATTGATCATTTACACAATATATAAATATATTTAAGTGGAGAAATGCAAAAAATATACACAGAAAAAAAAACGCATAAAGAACCATAAAATCATGACTTTCTGAACATCAAAATGCACAACCAAGAAACTAAACAACTCAACCATCATCACTTCACTTATTATTATTTGCATTAATCATGATATTTAAATATGGTAAAATCTTCTTTTTAGGCTCTTTTATGAAAACAAAGGAAATTTTGCAGAAAAAAGGCCTTCAGTACATTTATCAGTGAGGTAATCTCTATAAAATGACATACATTTCATTAAAAAATGGCATTGGTAATTCCAACCTTCCTTTGTTAGGTAAAACAGAATTCCTAATTCATACAAATGAAATCCTGTTTATATTTAAAAACACTTCTTCATTGTTATAGAATGGGTTCATAGATTCATTAATTTGCAATTATATCTATATCTAAATGCTGTTTTTCACTATATACATAAATAATTGGCCTAAAAATAAATGGCTGCTTAACTTTAAGCCAAATTACCTTATTTAAATAAAATTAGAAAAAATAAATAATATAAGAACAAAGTTTTCTTATTCCATTTTTGTTGAGTGTACCTGATGATGATGATATGTTAAATGATATGTCTGTAGTTTGAAATATTATATAAATTTGTACAGTAAAAACCAATTACCTGAGATAATGTGGACCTCAAATAAAACTGATGGCCATGCCATTTAGAATTAAAAATTATGAATATAAAAGATTTAATGATATAGAACTTTTAAACCTCTTTAAATATTAGTGAATTTAATCATATATAACAACAATTTTTACTTCATTTATTATACAGCTAATATACATGCTATAGTTTTAAGAATAAAAGTATGTATTATTGTAGTTACATTTTAATATAAATGATTTGTCTCATAATAAAAGGTAATAGAAATGAATCATTCTGTAACAAATGTTATCATTTTAAACTTTCTTTTATAAACTACAGTATTAGAAAAGTAGTGTATTCACTTACAAGTTTACATTGGATAATGCAAAGCTTCATATAATCAGAGTTTTACAATAATTATTTTAACATCTCAAGACAGTTTAAATTTCATATAACTGCTAAAAACAATATGTGAAACTAAAATCTCATTATTTTCTTTAAATTCACTTTTCATGAATAATAATCATTGTAATAAAAGAAATACAGCCTTCAAGAAGGCCACAAAAAATGACAGTCATCATCTAGTTATGGCTGACCTTGATAACACAAAGTAGCAGTGTGCAGAATACATGCAGGAGTCATGTAGTCATGCATTCAGTGCACTGTTAATACTATCTCTGATTCATATTATTGTTCTGGAAGCAAACACTATATGGATAAAACAAGAGCACAATCTTAGATTGTATTATTAATCTAGCTTAAAAGTATTAATAATACTTGTAATTATTAACAAGCTACCATCTACATCTTTACAATCTTAGGCTGCATTCACATTGCTGACAAAAACAACTACAGATCCTAAACAATGATGATATATCTTTCATTGTATTCATTCATTGCCAAATGTTTACATTGTTCACTAGTTTTTGTGTTACATCATGTGCAATTTACATTAGGCTTAACATTATTTCATGGATTTCTGCACTTTTAGGTTAGGCAAAGCTTGTCTCTGTTTTCAAAATGGATATAATTTCCTTCCAACTGTTGTTTTTTTTTTAATCAACATCTCTATAGTCTTTTCTGGACATGTCATAGACATAAAGAGTCAAGATGATTTCTTCAACATACAAGATTAGTTGTTTTTCCATTTTGTTCAAAGAGAATTGTGGGAAGTTTATGTGATTTGCAATACCATTAGAACAATGGCAAATGTTGAATCTTAGCTAACTTTCAAACAATGAACAACTAAGATGATAATGCAACAATAACAACTACCATGAATGTTTTACAGATAAAGATGAGTGATAAAAATATCAGTTTTTGTCATTGTCATTCAGTGTAAACACAGCGTTAAAAGATGTTATTCATAAAATCAGATGGATTACTTCAATCTCCTGTTACTTTTTACATCAGAAGTTAAAATGAACTATTATTAATTTAGGTCTGAATATTTCATCCTGAATATCTTTTTACATATAAATATGTATATAATGGCATACAAATATGTAATTAATTATTACAAGAAAATTAGAATATATTTTATTACCTAAAATTAATATTTTAGTATAAACTAACCTGTTTGCTGGTATTTCAATTCGATAAATTTCTTCTTCAGATGCTTCTAAAGATTTTTCTTCACCTTGTTCCTTTGAGATCATCTGTTTTTCTGTTGTCTAACCAAATTATTAATTATCATTATTAATATTATTATTATTAAGGACAAATAGTTATGGGAAAAAATCTAATAAAAGATGATTATCAATATATATTTTTTCAATAATAAACATTATATAAATAATTTCTGTAATAAAATCTAAATTAAGAAATGAAAAAAATAAAATAAATTTAAAGAAGTAAAGTTTTTATTAAAAAAAACAAGTTTTATTAGATTAATTCTTATATTCTTTCATAATTATGTATAAAAATTTCACTGAGAATTGCCTAGTAATTCTAATTGACTAAATTATAAAATATATTTATATAATAAATATATTAAAACAGAAAATATGAGTGTTAAACATTCAAAATAATACAGTTTTTAATTTAAAAACTGTATTATTTAATTTAAAAACTGTTCAATGTTAATTGTTTACAGTCAACCCCCCTATAACATCATTGATTATTCCGTTTTATATGAATTCCATGTTGTACGAGTCACTTAAATTTTACAAATACGTGAGCCGTTCACAGCCCGGTACACGTATTTGTAAAATCTAAGTGACTCGTACAACATGGAATTCATATAAAAC